TCAAAATTCCAAATGATAAAAATACTAATAATTAAATAAATATTTATCAAGTAAATTTTGCTAATTATTGCCTTTAAATCACTTTTAAGTTTAGTTAAATTATAATTTATAATAATATTTTTATATTAAATGTAATAGTGATAATTAATTCAATAAATTTCAATTCTTTTTAACAAATATTACTTAATATGGCAACATTAAAAATTTGATATAATTTGAATATTCTTAAACTAACATAAAGAAGAAAATGAATGGGTATACAAAATTTTTCTAAATAAAAGAGTTTTATATTAATCTTAAAAAAATTTGAAACCAATACATTTGTATATTTTTCATTGAACATCATATGATATTGACCTTCTTTGTCATATGGAAGTGATGCAATTCTGTATAACCAATCAATCTTTCATCTAATTTTTCTACTTAAGATGATTTTCTATTGATGCTACCATTAATTAAATATAATTTTATGTTCTATCAATTAAAAACTTAAAATTTCTTTTATTTAAAAAATTTTATTATATAAAAATTTTAAAAAACAAAATTTTAAAAATAAAATAAAATAGAATTCTAATCTTGGTACTTATCATGTTTAATTAAGAAAATGTCAATTATAAGATTAATAACAAACTTGTTATGTAATACCTATACAATTTACAATTATTTCATATTCAGCATTAAAAACATAAATTTTCATAAATGAATATAATTTAGGCATAAAAACATTTAAAAGATAGCTCCAATAAATTTTGTCAAACCTCAAAAGAATTCACAAAAAACAATTAATTTTACTTTGCTTTACTTTATAATTTTTTTCTTAAAATAATTTACATAAGGCCATTCAATTACTTGGATGACAAAAAAAAGTAAGTAATTTAATATAATTGAGAAAGATTAAATAATCTTGAGATATAAATTAATCATATATAAATATATTAAGATAAAAGTTGAGAGAAAATTAAGTTAATTATTGTTTCAATCAAGGTAAAAAATTTTCATGGCAATTTAACAACCCAATCTTGAACTATCGATAGCTTCACTATCTCTTGAATTATTTAATTCTACAGGTGGAAAGTCTAATTAAAGTATTCAATGATTTGCATAGTACTAATTATTGGTGAAGTGTGTGCAATTTATTTGCATTTGATTTGATATTAATTTTTATTACTAGGAATAACAATTATAAAATTCTAAAAGAAAAAAAACACAAAAGAGAAATTAATTATAAATGTCATACCAAAGCGCAAGAATAATATATTAAAAAATTATTTCAAGGGATTAAAAATATTTAATTATGTTATGAATGATTAAATAACCAATTCATAAAATATATAAATAATAAAATCATTATCATACATATATAGTTAATATATTAAAACAAAAAATTGAAAGGCAAAAAATAAAAAAATATATGTTTAAATGACTTAATTATGATTATTTTTAATGAGTTTATTTATCAACATAAACTGCATATACAATTGTTTTTGCAATAATTAAAGAAACAATTTTCATATTATTATTTTATTCTTATTCGCATTAAGCTTTTATATTGTTTTATTTGCATTTTCATTTGATATAAAAGATCATTTTACTTATAAAAAGAGTTTAATAGTAAAAATAAAATCATTTAAATTAAAATTTATAAAAAAATTACTAATGGTATTTTAATAAATTATTTTTAATATTTTTGAAATTAAAATTTTATAAAGGATTTAGTCAATAACTTTTAGCATTTTTTTAGTCTAATAATAAAAATTTTATTTAAATTAAAATCTATAAAAAAATTAACTAAAAATATTTTAGTCAATCACTTTTAAAATTTTTTAAACTAAAATTTTAAAATTTTAAGTATTTAATTTTTCATAAACTCTATTTTTAATTTTAGTTGATTTACATTAAACTTAAATAAATTAATTAAAGTTATATATTTAAAGATAAATTTTTTAATTTAAAATTTTATAAAGGTATTTAGGTTCATCACTATTAATATTTTTTAAGTTCGCACATTTATATATAAAGGATATAATTGAATGCCAAATAACATATACTATTTTAATATATTATTTTAAGTATTTAATCTCAACCTATTTTTTCATATTTAAATATACATTTTTTATGTAAACTTGATTAGAGTTATAAATTTAAATTATATTAGGATGATTCTAAAACGTATTTTTTAGGCATCTATTAAAAACATGTCATCCTATAGTTTTTAAAAATCTAGTTATAATATCATACATCTATCAACATAAAACTAACTCTCATTCAAACTCTATGATTCAACAAAAGAAAAAAAAATTATTCTCTACAAAAAGTGAAAGTTTTAGATATTAATTTAAGGAGGAAAGACAATAGACATAAAATCACAAAGCTACAAGATGGAAGAAACAAGTGCTTCAGCCATTTGAGAGAGTAATTGATTGATTAGTGAAAGAAAATTGATGGAGGGATTGACGCATCTAGGGAAATTGCTGCACTCTTGCTAGGTCTCCTAATATGGCATACCTGCCTGGTGGACAGAACATGCTTCTAGCTATGAATCCATTTAGGCCATGACGGCTGCTTGAATGATGGTAATTTCCATTACCTGTATATTTTACATGGCATTTGCATTCATTGTTACTTCCTTGCTTAATATGTTCATTTGATAATCTTCACTGCTTACATCACTTGAGTTTTTTGGCACAAAATGGATACTGCTTTCCTTATGTTAAAAAGGGAGGTTGCTTTTTTTATCTTCTGCATTTTTTTGAGAATTGTGGATGTTTGTTTGTTATAACATATTGCTAATTTGGCGGTAATTAGTGAGAGACATTTAGGTTGTCATTAAAAAGTTGTGATTCCTTATCTTTGTTGAGATTGTACCCTGTTCTTGCTCACTTCAGCAATGTTTTTATGTCATGATGCGGAGACTAAGAAGCTGCCTTAGGGGGAAATGTGTCTAACCAATGTTTTATGTGGTTTAGCTGATTCAGCTGTTATCAGGAAAAAGAATTACATTATCTTTTTGAAAAGGCTATGGTTACTTATCTACGGTGAGGCAGTATAGTATCTTGCTCTAGCGTTCATTAGGTCACATTGGTCTGCTGCTGAACTGTCTGAACTAATTGTGAAGTGTGGTTCCTTTCTACATTATCTTACTAATGCACTCTACCTTTGATTTGTTCTCCTGTTATTTGATCGTGCAATGTTAATTATGTGAGATGTGGTGCCTACTAAGTTCTTTAATTAATATTAACTGGTAGTTTATAATGTGTTGCTGATTTAGTTGATTTGAGTATTAACATGAAATTGAGAACAAATCAGACCAAGAGCAAGCTACTAATCCTTACCAAAACATTAAAAAGTTGGTGCTTACTATTGGTCTGATTTGTTCAGAATTACTATCATGACGCTGTGTCCATCCACCATCTATTTCATGAGGGTGTTGCTTAGAAGTAAAAATGCCTGCAGTTCATCGCTCTCCTCGTCAAGATAGAATTCACAATTGAGTTTTGCCTTTTGTTTGGTATTTTCATTCATTTTCGATTACATGGCGAATGCAATTATGATACTTCACAGAAAGCAGTATATGTAATACCTTCTAAGGGCAGTGACTTTTGCACTGATACTTTTTGGAATTCAGGCCTTATGATGAAGATAAACTATGACCTTTACTGCTGTTGTAATGGTTCTGATTTTGTTTTTCCTTTGGCTGTTGCAGGATCTTATGACTTGGAGTGAGGCTGGACAGGCTGTGAATTTGCATGTCTTTTGCATTATTGATGGCAACTTTCTGATGTTTGAAACCATCTTATTTGTCCTAAAAAAAAAGAACTTTTAAGGACCAGATGTTTAACATTATAAAAGTTTTTGATGTTAAGTTGGAGAATATGTGGCTTTTAGATTTAGATCATAAGTATAGTCAGACATTTTAGAATTTCAAAGATGGTTTTGCTGCTTTATATGTTCAATTCATGGTTGTTTCCAAGTATCCTTAAAGCTTTTCTTGTGTGGTTCCCATTGCTAATAATATTCTTCCAAGTTGTTTAACAACAGATGCTTGATGTTCTATTGGTCTAAAAGCTGCCTGAAGGAATTTGAGAAATGTAGATGCTTAATAGTTGCTATGTAGATTGTTTGATGTTCTGATGTCGGATAAAGTCATGAAGATGATTATAATACAGAGGGATGGGCTCATTTAATTTTTTTTCTCACCTGCTCTTTTAATGGTAATTATAACTTTGATTAGTTGATGTTCTTCGATTATGCAACTTCAATGTTCATCAGAGCGTTAGCCTATAGAGGTTAGTGTGAATCCAATTCTCAAAAATGCCTCAAGCTGATGTAAATTAGCTCCTCAATAATCTTAGACGTAAATTAGTCAACACGATAAAATATAGTAGCAATACTATAATTTTAAAGCAAGATGATCAAGTTATACATCATACACATTAACTTCATCCATAAGACAAGCATAGAACAAATCATACCAATGCAGATTTCCAATGACAGCAATCAGCTAACATAAACAATAGGTTTTACTACATAATTAATTACAAGTAAGAAGAGGTAAAAGCCACAATCATGTCTTCTTTGCAAGAGGAAGGATTGTATGCTGCAACATACATACATACATACATATATATATATATATATATGGACATCTGTCAAAATTAACTAAATTATTTAAAGGAATGACAAAAAAGAAACCAGTTTAAAAGTTGAAAACTCAAATGAAAATTTTCCAAGGTTGAAGACTAAAAATGAAATCAAAATAAAATGTTAGAGATCATACATGAAATTCACCCTTTCTTTTAAATACAGATTAAATTGTTAGTATTTTTCATTATTATAAAATATTATCAAAATTTACTTATGCTATACCAAGAGCAAAATTAAATTATTAATATTTTTTTATTATTATCATAGTTCAAAAAATTATTTATTAAGATGAATTTTTAGAGATAAAAATTACATAAAACTAATATATATAAGAAGAAAAAACAACTTCAGCACCTCACTAATATTAAACATAAATTAGTCCATACATTATAATAATGCATTGCAAGTTAACGATCTCACAATAAATCCATACAAACAACAAGAACACAAGGAGGGACCAAGGACAGCAATAGACACACAATAGGTTTTTACAGAGTTTTAAACAATCACATAATACTTATTATTATTATTATTATTATTTTAATATACACAAGCACAGAAGAGGTAGAAGCCTATCATCTCTTCTTCTTCCCATGGATAACAGCTCCTCTGCTTCAGTCTTGCATGTATACTCCCTAGAAATATAAAACACCAGATAAAATTATAATTATACTATCAAGTGATTTGTATAGAGAAAGTTTGAACAAAAGTAATTTGGAGAGAGTAATAGACAGAGAGTACCGGCGCCCATGCTAACTCTATGGATAAGCCAGGATGTGCGTTTAAGGCTTGAATATAGTCTTCCTCGCGAACACGCGGTCCATGCCCTATGTCTAATATAATCAGACAGTTGAGATGTTCGTTTTCGTGAAGTTTGGCTCTCTTAGCCTCTTCCACATCTAGCACATTTCCCACCACTTCCATATAAAGATATTCACGAAGGAGGTTCAGGTTTTCCAGATCTCCAACACTGAATTCTTTGGCGTGATTGCCATCTACTCTCGCTATGACTCTGGTTAAATGCCTCAGAGAAGTTAATCTCCCAATCCCTTTTGGGTAGTATTCTAGGCTCTTACAACCATCAGTACCAAGATACCTCAGCTTGATCAATTTCCCTATACCTTCTGGTAGTTTCTCAAGATTTATACATCCATAGAGATCCAAGTATTGCAAATTATGCAGTTCACACACTACTTCGGGCAATTCCTTTAAAGTCTCACAGCAACCCAAATTAAGGTATCTCAAATGAATTAACATCCCTATTTCATCTGGAATTTCTTTTACATTTGCGCAAGAACGCACATTACCCATGCAAAAATCCAATAATCTTAGACGTTTCGCTCCCTTGAAGAAGGCTTGCAAGGCTTCACCAGTTACATCACACGTTTCACCATCAGCTACAAGGCTCCGTAGTTTCTCTATGCATTCTATAGACACAGGAAATTGACCCCCTTCTGCAATATTTACCCTCAAATGATGATTCCTTTTGGAAGGTAAATCCAGCCTCACATTTTCACTGCTGTCAACCTCCACTCCCACAATTTCTTCATTTGTCAAATATTGGACAAAATCATGTACCATGTCATGCATCTTACATACAATTATTTTGCCATGACTATCTTTATGAAAATCTTGGAAAAAAGAACGAGATGCTAAGTAGTTGAAGTACTCACCACCTTTTTCTTCTTCCATCCCTGAACTCTCCTTAGACTTTAGATAACCATGTGCCATCCAAACCTTAATTAATTCAGTAGGCCAAAAACTAAAATCTTTGGGAAAGATTGCACAATACAATAAGCATGATCTTACTTGTGAGGGCAAATCATAATAACTTAGCAAGAGAGGTTTGAAAATGTATTCTTGTGCAACATTTAATGTCCATATCTCACTGTTAAGTATAATTTGCCACTCATTCCTAGTATTTTTCTCCCGCAATGAACCTCCCAGAGTCTTAGCAGCAAGTGGTAAACCTTTACACTTCTTTGCTATTTCCCTTCCAATACCCTCCAAGTTTTCACGCAACTCATTTCCCTTTCCCACAAAGGCCAATTGACTAAGTATTAACCAGCAAACTTCATCAGATAATTCCTTCAAACGAAACACTTGAGATTGAGAGGATCCCATCCCAGTGGCAACTGATTCTATACGAGTAGTCACCAAAATCCTACTTCCAGACGTGCCTTGTTGAAGAGCAGCTTTTAGTGGCTCCCACTTTTCATCATGGTCTGTCCACACATCATCTAAAACAAGCAAGAATTTTGAACCTTTGATTTTTTCACAAATTTTGGTCAGAACATGTTGTAAGGGACTTGTATTTCGGAGGTTGGTAGGTGAATTTTGATCGAGGCCTTCTAATATTGCTCTCGCAATTTTGTTTTGATCAAAAGTGTCCGAGACACACACCCAAATTACATCGTGGAAGTGTGCTTGAACTTGATCATCATTAAAAATCAATTGAGCAAGAGCTGTTTTTCCGATCCCTCCCATCCCTACTAGAGAGATGGTCTGAATGCAGCCTTCTTCACTAGTCCCATTCAACAATTTCTCCGCTATCTCTTTTTTAATCTCATCTCGACCATGTAACTTGGACACATCAATAAAAGATGTGCTCTCTACTCGTCTAAATTGTTTGGTTTCTCTTTTTGTCAAATGATATCTATCTTTCTCCTTAGCAATGTGATCTAGCCTTTCATTGATTCCTTTTATTTTGATAGCAATGTCATGATGCCTAGGAACTTGACAAAAAGAAGAAACCCATGAAATTAAGGAAGTTTTCAACCTCTTGGGAATAGAAGCACTTACATCTAATTCAGGATCTGTTTGTAACTTGGAGAGTGCAGTCCTCCACTCATCCAACACGTCCTCCATGTCATAAGACACTTCTTTGAGCTTATCTAACCAACCTTTCACGTTTTTCTCCACAATTTGCTTTTCCTCTGCATCTTCAACCGCATCGCGGATGGCCTTAAAATTGCTTTCAAGGTTTTCGACATCAGCATCTGTCACCAACTTCAGCTCTTGCCGCGCATTCTCAATGGTGATAGCTGTAAGTTGCTCCAAGATGGAAGAAACAAGTGCTTCGGCCATTTTGAGAGAGAGAGAGAGAGATTAATTGATTGATTAGGGAAAGAAAATTGATGGGCGATTAACCATACAATTCAACTTTATTCAGCAACAACATTTACTAGCTGCTCTATAATTGCAGAAACAAGTGCTTCTGCCATTTTCCCAGAAGAAAAAGAGTTGTCGGTAATGGTCAAAGGGAAGTTATAGGGAGCTGAGATCTGGAATTTCGGGGAAACTACATTGGTGACATTGGGATTGGGTAGCAAGTAAAATGGGGACCACATCTATAATTGTTGACTGTTGACTGTTGACTGGTAACAACTCTAAACCAAATGATGAAGCTTTTCACATCAACTGCTAAAGCAACTGCAAATATATATATATTTTTTTGACAAAATTATCAAATAAGTAACATAAATAATTTTCATGTAGTGATTAAAAATTTTTTTATGAAAATAAAAAATCCCAAGAGCTTTTTATAATAATAAAATAATAAAAATAATAATACTTCTTTATTATCTAACTTTAGCACCTCACAAATATTAAACATAAATTAGTCCATACATTAAAATAATGCATTGCAAGTTAAAAATCTCACAATAAATCCATACAAACAACAATAACACAAGGAGGGACCAAGTACAGCAATAGACGCACAATAAGCTTTTACAGAGTTTTAAACAATCACATAATACTGAATTTTTTTTTTTTTAAATAAACACAAGCACAAAAGAGGTAGAAGCCTATCAGCTCTTTTTCTTCCCATGGATAACGGCTCCTCTGCTTCAGTCTTTTATTTATATTTCCTGGAACTATAAAACACAAGATAAAATTATAATTATATTATCAAGTGATTTGTATAGAGAAAGTTTGAACATAAGTAATTTGGAGAGAGTAATAGATAGAAAGAGTACCGGCGGCCATCAAAAACAAAATTTCAGTTGGCCTAGACCCTGATCTGTACATTGGAGATCATCCAAAGAATGGATGCCTATCCATTTCTCTCTCTTAACCATGCTAAGCCACTGCAAGTAAGAAAATCATGGATATCATCTTCTGTGAACAATGTTTTATCTGCAGTGTCAAGTGCCAACAGCTCTGCACTCAGCCTCATTGTAAAGGTACAAACTCAATAGCGAATCCTTAGGCTTGTCTCGTAATATCTGATAAACAATTTTGCAATTTACTTATAGGAAATGGAGCGAGTTAGGGACTTCAAATGGCCTCATCAAGGCGGAGAGTATAATTTCTTAAAGGGGTGTCCTTGTCAAGACTCCAGACAACCTGTAGTCATCCTCTATCCAAAATGCTTGTTTGGTTTGACACCCGAACTTAACTCAATTGCTTCCTTAGTTGCATCTGCATTTCCATCGCTAACGTTCCTTCTGGTGTAGTCCCCTATGCTTGACTGATATAACATCCCATCGTAATAAGGGTAGCCTTCACTTCCTGCCATACAAGAATCATGACAGGCTTCAAATGTTTATGACCTTGATAAGACAAATAGCTTTAATAAAAGTAAAAAGAATCTTGACAGTCAAATTATAATCAGAAAGTGAAACGAAGCAAAAAATTTTTACCAGATACCAGTTACTCCAAACAGATTCATAGCACAATTTGAAATTTTGATCAAGTTCCAAATATAAAATTGAAAAGAAGGAGAGGAAGAAGAAACCTTGGAAGCTTTTCACTCGAATTAAAAACAAAACATACCATCTCCAGAGGTCTACTTCATTCCCAAAGGAAGGACTTCACAAGAAGTAGCTGCATCAGTGGTGTTAATGGCCAGAGGATCAGCACCACGATCTAATGCCTGCTCTAGTTTAACTGTTGATTGGTAACCTGCTGTAAACCAAATGATGAAGCCTGAGGGCATAAAACCGGTTAAAACCACAATCCAACCCTCCATAAACTTGAAGATTGTAGGGGAATAAATGTATGTACTGACAAGCACCAATACATCTGTTGTAGTGGGTGAGTGATCCTATCAACACCTCCATCCCCAATTCCTCAATTTAATGGTATTATGAATTTAAGCATAATTTATGAAAAGTAAATACAGAATTAAATAAAAAAATTAAAGTTGTAATTTGTAAAGTTACAGTGTGCAGACTATAGATTGTTGAACTTTTACAACTCAAGTGTTGTACCCCACAGAACTTCCAGAAAATTATGAATGAGGAAAGAATATTACATAACATGCAAACAAATTTCTGTTCCCCAAAGATCTCCTAACATTAGTTCACCCTAGGCTACTGTTCCACAGACATTTCTTCACGCCAATAATTTGCCATCAGCTTCTCAATAATATTCTTCAATGCAGGAGCGCTTACCCTGCACTTCTGTTCAGCAAAGCAAGATTTACCTTCTTCAGCTGCCTTGCAAAGCTGTGGATCCAATGGCACCTTTCCGAGGAATGGTACTCCCATTTCTGTACACATTTTTGCTGCACCACCACCACTACTATCAAAGACTTCACTGGCAGCAATGAGATCTAGCATTTCCGGTGCTTTCTCCCTCATATACTCGATAACCTTCTCAGTGAGATCAGTATGTTCACCCATCTCAGTCATCCTCAAAAACCTGAAATCTGTCAATGGCTGACAAAAGCCGCTCATGTTCTCAACAACTCCAAGAACTGATACCCCCACTTTTATGCAGAAACTAACTTCTTTACACACATCAATCAAAGAGACTTGCTGTGGCGTGGTGACAATGATAGCTCCATCTATACCAGTAGCCTGAAGGAACTGGACAATTAAGATATGCTAATCAGAGGTCCCTGGTGGGGCATCAACAACCAGAAAATCGAGCTCTCCCCAATATACATCTTTAACGAATTGCTTGATGAGCCCCTTTTTACGTGGTCCTCCTCTCCAAATGAAAGCTTCATCAGGATTAGGGAGCATGAATCCAATTGACATTACCCCAAGGTTGGACTCCACATAAACAGAAGACCAGCCAAGGTTGCTCTGGTGAATGTCTTGCCCTTCTAGGCCAAGCATTTTTGGAATGCTTGGACCGCAAATATCAATATCCAGTAGACCCACCTGGAAATTCTTTGCTGCTAGTGCAAATGAGAGTTGGGCAGAGAAAGTGCTCTTGCCAACTCCTCCCTTCCCTGATAAAACCAGTATCTTATGCCTGACAGCAGCCATTCTTTCTGCAATTGCAAGCAAGTCAGCAGAATGTAATGGATTAAATATTAATATGTTAGTAATCAATTCATATGACAGATAACATGGTCAAGCTAGGACAGAAGCAAAAGAGCTTGAAGTTTTATAAACCGTCATGAATATGTGATTAGCCATAAGATAGTCAATAACCCTTGCATACAACACCCACATATGCCACATATAAAATAGAAGAGAGGAAAAAGCAAAAGGCAATATAAAAACCAAAATGGAGAGAGGCAAATTACATAGGCCAAAACAAATTCATCAGTTCTCATTTATGGCATATATGTTCACTTTAAACAGTTGCTCTTTAATATATGAGGTAAAACCTAAGACAATTAACTAATTGTCAAATGCATCATTACAACTGCCAAGCTTTAGACAGTTAAGGCAATTATATGTGAACTCATTATAAAAATTTAAAAGAAGAAGATGTGGCAAATAGTTAAAAGAAATTACAAGAACGTTGAAAACACAAGACAGCCTTCATAGTTCAAAAAGAGCTGGTTTAAAGGGTGATAATCAGAGACAAAAGTCAAAACCCTCAGATAGATAAGAACCAATGCACTGGCATATGCAACTTACAGCAAATTTCGAGAAGACAATATTCGAAATCATCTTATACTAGTTTCAGTTTCCTATAAGAATTGAAAATCCAGTTAAAGCACTAAGCTATTGGACCCAAATCAGGTGTAAGCTTCCTAAAACACACAATACTAGAACCCTTGAAGCATTCTCTTATTATTCAAAACACGAGAGCTGCATCTCCATTAATATTTATTAACAAATTCTAGCTCCAATCGATTATATAACAACCATGCTGGTGATATCTCCAGATGCTATTTTCTCCAGTAAAGCTCCATATGCTATTTCTAAGTTGTTAAAATTTCAAAAGAAACCTGAAATTCTATTCTAGCCATAAAAAACAGTTCACAAACAAACCTCAAACCATCACCATGAAAATAATAAATGAAAAAGAAAATAAAAACAAGACCCAGAAAATATAATGATGGGAAAGAGGGAAAGAGCAAACCTGGGTCAGGGCCCTTAGGAACAGTCGCACAATCTTCTTGATTAGGGCAACCTCGGCATGCATCGGATTTACCCGCGGACTCCGATTGAGGACCAGGACAATCTGAACAGAAATGAAGAAAATTAATAAAAACGCAGAACTAGAAATAACAATTAATTACCAAACCCGAAAAAACATAATTTCATTGGCGTTTTCCGGGATTTCTCCGTTCTCCATGGGTCGATGTTTTTGCTGAAAAAAAGTAGTGAGAAAAAGAGAGAGCTTCGAGTTCTAACTATGGCGGCAGCAAAAAAATGAGTTTTTCGACTTAAATAAGGCAACGACTGTCGACCGTTCTTAATTTAACTGCGAATTTTCTTTTTGGCTGCTTAAGTATTAATTATTTTTTCAGTTCATGGGCTTTGGCAGAATGGAAATGCCATTGCCTAAAGATGGATAAAGACCAAATGGACTTAACCAAAAAATCGTCCATTTAGCAACCTTTCGATTTAAGAGAAAAATTGATCATCCTCGACCTGGCAATCTAAATATTCAATGACACGATATGAATACTCTAGGAATATAAAATTTAAAAATAACATAATTTAAAATTTAAATAATAATTTTATATAAATATAATAATATAAAAAATAAATTTTATATTTCTGTATAATATATAATTTTCGTGTAAAATGTAATAAAAACATATAAATTTTAATATTTTACATGAATATTATTCAAATCATCATTCAAATCATCAGATCTAGATCTTATTCACCTTTGTGCCCACACTGCATAACATGAAAACGAAGATTAGATGCAGTTAATGGCTAATTAAGAGTAGCAAATGATTTCTGTCATGAAGAACAAAGATTAAAGCATTGTTTTGTCCAAGAAAATATAATCTACAGGTCAGAAACCAAAGACAAGAAAGGACACTGCAAAGTCTCCTACTATTCATTCATTACATAAGGGAATAAGGTGAACTTTCATAGGTTATTGTTGTTTTGACATCAAAAACAATCCATCGGTGGACATGTTGGTGTTCGATGCAAAGGGAAAGAAGAACAATGACTGGAGAATAAGAGCTCCCGTTGATCAGATCAGATTACAGTTATCTTCCAATCTTTGCAACAAGATCCTATGAAAATAACGGATTTACTCCTGATGCGTCTTGGGTTACGATGAACATGTAGCATTGTTTCCCTGGCTACTGGAGAGCAGACACCATCCAGATTCCAGACCATTTTTCTTTGTTCTGCTTGCCAATATTGCTTCGCCTCATTCACAAGGATTGGATGAAGAACAATGCAATGACACAGACAGAAAGCATTCTGAACACTTGCTTCATGTCCTCCCACCAAAAAAACAGCCCGCCTTAAGAAATGTTTATTCATGCCCAGTAATTCTTTTCTTTTCTTTTCTTTTTTTTTTTGTTTTACCTTCTCTTTCTTTTTCCATTTTATGTTCTTTTTTTCACCAGCTTATCTGTCTTCAGCATCTCATTCTTGTTCCTGCCAACCAACCTCGATTTTTCACAAGATCAAAAGAAGTGACCTCAATTCTTCACTGCATGAACCAACAAAGTTAAGGTAGCAATTTGAAGCTGCATAAGGTGCATGGATCATGTCAAACTTCATTACTAGGGCATCTATGCACGTATTCAACAGCCACCTGCTAGGTTGTGCAGATGTCTTGTCCACAGTCTGCAGCCAAAGGGAATAGAATGTCTTCTAAGCTAGCCATAAAAACAGAACTGATACCTTGTCTCTTGATGAAAGACGGTGTGCTTAGAAGAGGAGGCACCCATTACTTCTGGCTTTTCTTCACGATTAAGGATTTGCTTCCAACAATTAAAACAAAGCAAATCTAGAGTAAATGTTTCCTCATAATCACAATCCTTAAAACAGCACCCACAACAAATACAGCGTGCAATGCAGAGAATGCAAGCCCTGCACAACTGAGCAGCATGATGTGTTCTTCTGCAAGTCTCTGATGGGCAATCATAAACTAGTTTCAGTTTTTGACATCTGGGGCAAACCTCAATGTCAATGGCCCTATCATCATCACACATGAGATGCAACTGCCCCTGACGAAAAAATTGTGGTTTTTGTGCTCCCAATTGCATTGGTTTATCTGCACCAAGCAAGAACTTCAACTCTTTGAATTGCTCCTCTGTTACACCAAAGCGTCCGCCTATTCTTAAGTACTTTATTCCCGGGAACCCAGCAGACCTGAAGGCTCTTAAATTGGACAAAATGCCCTCAACACTGAGTCTTGTACATTCTGGCACACTTAGCTGCATCCAAAAGGTGCAAATTTGTTAACTTGCTTTGACTTAAGAGAGAAGAAAAACAGTGTCAAATCCAGCTTCAATAAATTCTAGTAAGCTCTGAAGTTTCAAGGAGATTAAAATATGGACTTTTCAACAACAATCAATTTCAATAAATGACCAGTTATAAAATTTTGAAACTAATATAGACAATTTTGTGGTGGCTAGAGCAGCATAGCACCACAATTACCAGAATCTTAGCACCCATTGAAATCCTCAAGTGCCTTTGAATTTTACAAATACCACTCTATAAAATACTTTTATCCAGTGAATGCTATCAAAAAGACAAGGAACAATCCATGTGTTAGTTAATTAACTTATATGGAATTCCCAAGTATACTACAAACTGACCCAAGAATTTTACATATATTTATATCTACGAATTCTATAACAAATCAATCACTGTATAAGAATTGAACATATTGCTTGCACTGCAAACACTAACCTTATTAAGCCTGGGATTGCTTTCAAGCGCAAGCTTCAAGCCATCATCAGTGATCTTTACGCATCCCACCAGACTCAAGCATTCAAGAGTGCCTTGAGCCCTGCTAGTTAATTTCAAAAGAGCATCATCGGTAATCCTTTTACTCAATGAATGTTCAATATAGATGCTCCTCCACAGAAGAGGATCACTTCTAACCGCATCCCGCAAAGACCTACAGACCCTTTCGACTGCAAGGAGATCCTCAACACCAAGATAACCAAGAGCAAAAAACAAAGCATCATTTGGAGCAGTTCCTTCGTTATCATCACAAAAAACTCCCTTGCAATCCTCCAATCCTCTACCTTCATCATTGAACAGAAAATCTCCGTTGGAAAGTCCATTACCAATCCCAAATCCATTAAAATCATCATTTGGGATTGATATTTCGTTGATTTCAAAGTTACCTTCTTCCTGTTGAAAACTCATGGTGCCATTCCAAACCCAATTCATACCCTTAAAGAAAGATGATTGATCACCAATCTTTTTATCAACATCTTCGGAACCAAATCCATAAAAACTAGAGTTACCTTGTTCCTGTTGGAAACTCATGGTACCATTCCAAACCCAATTTAGACCCTTAAACAAATGTTGATCAGCAATCTTCTTTTCATCACCATCTTGTTTACCAAACACACAGAAATCTGACCCAAAATCATTCTCAAAACCCTCAATCCAACCTGTTATTGCTGCAGCAAAAGTAGACCTTATTTCCATCCCAAATGGATCTGCAGGCAATCTAGCTACAATATCATCATTAACAGCCTCAGAAAAGCCTTTCGATTCACTGTTGCCACTTCCACTTAAATGGGTTTTTTCTACATCCCAGTTGCAACTCCAAGAATTCCCAAAATCATCCCAATTCAAAGCCATTTTTTTTATTCTTCAATCACCAACAAATCCCACAAAAAAAAAAATTACCCTCTATCAAGAACCCTAAACTCAGCCAAGAATTGAAAGAAATAAGATGATTCAACAACCAGAATAAATGAATCAAATTTATAGAAGTGTAATCAAAATACAAGAAAACCAATTTTTCAGGTGACAAAACAAGACCTAAAGAAAAACATAAGACGCCAGAAATTCAATAGAGTTTCTTGCAAAAACCTAATGAAAGGACCCTAATTTAAGCTGAAAAAAAAATCTTTTTTATCCTTTTATGTGAATTTGAAGGTAAAAACTGGAACTTTGAAACAATGAGAGAGAGACAGAGAACTGAAGAAGCACAAGGGATTTGAAAGAAAAAAAAAAAGAATTTTTTTTTATTATGAGAGAATATAATTCATGAGACAAAGAATCAAAAGTTTTTGACCAAACTTTTCCATGCAAAGAGCAATGCGGAGAGAAAGAGAAACAGAAAAACAAAAAGGGAAAAGAAATAAGAGAAACAGAGGAAACAAAGATGGCTAAAAATAAGAGAGAAGAAGGAGAGAAAGAAGGCAGAGGAAACAAAGTTCCTGGCCAATTGAGTTTAACCCTTTGAAGAGTTTTATTTAGGTAGTGACTTTCAAAAAAAAAATCAGAGTGATTTTTTCATATAAAATATAATTAATTAATAGCTTTGTATTTCTTTTTTTTTTTTTAATTTTTTGGGCACTTTCTATCTATTATTAGTGTAAATAAATTATTGTTATTAATCATATAGCTTATTTAATACAAAAGATAATCGAGCTTGATAAATACATTTTATGATTGAATTTTTTAAAATTTTTAAATAAAACCTAATAAAAAAGCTAAATTTTGAATATCCCTTCTCTAAGTTTGGGTAAATGTAAAATATAAATTTCCATCATTTAAAATTAATGGGTTATATTGCTATATTTTGACAATTAATTTGGCATGGTATATGATGAGGATAAAACAGTGTGATATTGACATTTAATCTAGTATTAAATTTTAATGAATTTTAATAATTTTTCTTTCACAAAATCCAAATAATGTTATCTTCAAAGCATTTGGTTGCATTAAAATTAGTGTGTTAAAGCATCATTTCACAAGCCTTTCTCACCTCATCAAATCTACTTTGTTATTCTTAGGTTTCCCATAATTTTCAATCTTTTGGAAACAAATTGTTTTTATCATAATCCCATGCCCCCAACTAATTAGGGTGCAACCATTAATTCTAATAGTATAATAACACGGTTAAGGTTTAAAATCATGTCCATTGTTGCTATGTCACTAAACCCATTTGGGTTAGGGTTGTTGCAACATATTTGGTATCTTTGTACCATGTTTTGACAAAGTAAAAGAATTAAATTAGAACTAGATTTACGATTTATGTATTTATATAATTTAATATATTAAAATTTATATATTTATATTATGTCTTATATAAAAATTATATATTATAATATATATCAATATAAAATATAAAATATATTTTTTTTATTTTATTAAATTTATAAATAATTATTTTTAAAATTTTAAATTATATTATTTTATATTTATTTTTAATATATATTTATATCGTATTTTAAATTTTATAATACGTTGAGAAAATTTAAAGAGAGAGAGAGAGAGAGAGAGAGAGAGAGAGAGAGAGAGAGAGAGATGTGTGTGGTTGATAAAAAGGAAGCTTAATGAGAGCTGCAAGGAAAGTTAGGGATCAACATGGGGTTTACCTTCCCTCCAAGGTTTTCTTTGCTTTAGCTATCTAACCATTCTTTGTTTGGTTCCCTCATCTTCCAAGTATTGTGGAAAACAAAAAAAATATTCTTCCAATGAAATATATTATTGCATTTTTTGGCATATAGACTCTTTTGTCATTGAGAAATAATACAGCAGATCTAATTCAGAAGTGAAGATCAGATTTTGTATGATGCCAGCTCATCTTTATTCCCTTAGAAGTTTGGTTAGAAAAGTATAATCCTTTAGCTCAAATGGAAAATCTTGGAATCTTTTGCCCAAAAAGGTAAAAAATTCAAGGAAGTTCTTTGAATGGATTATTATTATCATTGAATATGGAGCTAAGGGTTTCTTGCAAAACTACAAAAGATGGCTCAATATCAAAGGTTCCCTTCTATGACAAAGAAACCCTTAACAAAGTGACATAGTTTAAAAATTTTTAATAAAAATTATATATAAAATTAATAAAATAAAAATATATTTTTATATTTTTAAATTAATATAAATTATAATAAGTGATTTTTATATAAAATAAAATATTATTATTTTATATGAAATAAATATACAAATTATTTAATCTACGCCTGACGATATCAGAAGCAATAGGAATGTCATTTTGAGTCCCATGTTTTAAGTTATTTATTCCTAAATATTATTAGTATCGTTTCAGCGTCGTTTGATTGCAATTGTCGGGCCTATTTCTGTTAATGCAACCGTCACTGGATCATTAAAAAGGGGTTCACTTGCTAACGGTTACTGGATCGAGACAACGCCCAAAAAAAAAAAAAATGAAATCAGATGTTTCAAACCGTAATCGGCAGATCAGATTGTCTTGGCACGTGATGAACGTGAAATTCAATAGAATGAACGGTCTTGATTACTAGTAGAGTCCAGGTAAGATGGATATTGGATAGTCTTGACACGAGGTGATCAAGTCAACTATAAAAATCCAAAAATATCCTACCGGTCGTTATATTTCAAATTTCAATAATTTCATTAAAAAAATACATTACATTTTTTATATTAAAATATGAACTATTATTTTATATATTTTTATAAATTTTTTTAATTTTATAAAGGAAATTTAGATATTATTTTATATTTTTATTTATCTTGTTAATTATTTTAAATATAATCTAATGATGATATGTGATAATCCAAATGTTAATTCAATATCTAAGTAGTTGACAATGAAACTCTAATATAAATGTTTTAAATTCAAATCATGACGAGAATTTTTCAATAAGAAACACTTACATCCTTAGTGCAAAAAGTATTTATTTAAATTAAAATAAATAAAAAATTATAACCAAAAAATAAAATATTAAATATTAAATTTTAATTACAAATTCATTTTTCTTTTCCTTTTATCTTGCATAGACAGGTGGTTGAAGTACAAAGGGACAAATTATTAATTTTTTTTAAACTAATGAAAAAACCAAAATTTTTTTTTAAAAATCCCAAACCACGGAATGGAATTGGTGGTGGTTGAGCACAATTTGTCAACCACAAATTCTAGATATGGGATGGGCATAGTAAAGTAGATTAAACTCAAAAAGAAATAAAATATAATCTAATTTATCTTTTGTTTTGCTTATCAAAGCCTAACCATATGCCGCTCCACAAATAGAGCGATACCACGTGACAAACGCAATCTATTTCCATATCGTATGGATGTATGGTTTACGTGTCTTCATTTCTTGAAATAATAACCCCTTGAGAAACTTATTCGCTAATGATGATGACATTATCTAATTTATTTTATTAATGAAATACACCAATATATTCGCATCTAACCCTGTAAGTATTAACATCCTTCACTAGGGTCATATGAAAAGTGTAACCAGTTAGACACCATTTAACAACTTTCTCCTATGATCTGGCATTACAATTGACAGATTGTTGGAGTCCAAGACTGTTGAGATCAAATGCTGAAACTCTCCTACAGGAACAAGGCCAAGATTCAACATCACTATGGAGATATGGATGGAGAATCACACCTCTCAAAAGGGAATAACAAGCTCACTTTTGCAGTGGTCAAATCACATTTTAAACCACTTTGGCTTGGCAGGTTTTTTCTCAGATGCCTTCCTTTCTTGAGCAATGGTGGAGGGTACTGCTCTGGCAGCAGCAGGTTCTGGGGCAGATTGAACTGGCTCTGGCTGCTCAGCGATGATTTCCAAACCTTTCAAAGACATGATCTCATCTTGAAGGAAGGGGGCTGAATTGGCAGCTGCATCATCACCTAAACATTTCAAAGTGGCATTAACCAGAGTGAATCATATTTTGAGGAGGAATTAAGAGGGGGAAATGTTAAGCATATCAACCATTCAGAAGTCAACAATAAAAACAAGAAACTCAGTGGAAATTTTCAAGGGAATTCTACGAAGTTGAACTTAACATGTCAAGGAAGTAATATTCAACAGCCTTACACTCGTTTATTACCTGCCAAACATTAAATTAAGCCGATGTTAAACATGTCAATAGAAAAATTAGTTATTAGACATGGTAATGACAACTGTAAAGAAGATTATGTTGCTACAACTAGGCGCTGGCATGATCATAAGTGTGACAATAGGGCTAAGAACAACTGACACAAAAGATTAAATGACGCATACATGTGAAAGCACACACTAACCTTTTGGCAGATCATACGAAAAATACACAATTGCACCAGGAATGAAACCAGCAGAGAAAAAATCCTGTGTCATGTCCTTTATTTGCTTCTTAGGAGGAGTAGTATCTGAAACATGATCAGATGTTAGGCATTCAGTGCATTGGTTCCACAACCAACATCCAGCCAGTAGCATATAACAGATCAAAAGTGTTACATTAAAATATGCTTACATAAATAGAATGGTAAATCTGGTCGAGCAATCACTTTTTTGATAAGGTCAACCAAGCTCTGAATTGTCTCTGATGGATGAAAAGCAACCTCTAATGTGTGGTTATCAGGAAAGCGAACCCTTATCACAGCCTGCACATGAACATATAACCCTAACAAAAAGTAAAGCCATACAAACCTACACTAAGATTCACTAATCATCCTTGCTAAAGTTCTTTCATCATTGGGATCTAAACACTCTAAACACATAAAAAACTAAAAGATTCCCAAAAGGTGTAGCAAGTACCTTTGTTATTCTAGATCTTTGTGCTGCCTGTTCTGCTTCTCGAATTTTTCGTGTCTTCAAGAACTTATCTGTTCACAATTTTATTCACTTCAAAATGTATAAATATATCTCCAACAAACAATTTTCAAATATCCTGGTTACAGCAAATCAGTGATTATTTTATAAATCTGGCGATTATGAAGAACAAGAACGTGTACATACATGTCCTTTTCAGGACAGACAGCATGCCATGGTTACTTTGACATAACTGAACCCAAAATCAACCAATAAAAATTATCTGAACCAAGCTAAAAGATGGAATTGATTATAAGTTATATCCATCAACAAAAGTACCTTTCTTTTTAGTTCCCATTAGTCGATAATAATCATCTTCAGTGAACTCATAGAAGTCATCTGATTCCTCTGCTGAGAAAATAAATAACATTGCATTTTATCAGTTCACAAAAGAACTGACACTTCGAATCAATAAGCAAATTAAAAGTCTGAAAATATGTCTTAGCAGGTTGTACCAGTGTTGGACACTTCATTTTGTGTTGGCAATAGTCCTGCAGTTTCAAGGACATGAATTTCTCGTCCAAATTTCTCTTTTGCAGCAGCAAGCTTAGCCTAAAATCATTCAAAGGTAGTCAAAATAAATAAATAAATAACAAGCATAGCAGCAGTCTGCACCTGACACAAGTTAAAGGAGTCCCAAAATCAAAAGTCCTACTGAATGTTTTCACCAAATATCATTATACAAAAGAATGGAAAAGCAGTGTCCTTGGCACCTATGAAGGAAGACAATATGACTAATACTATACGACACTGTTCTGAGGTTGTACTTAAAATGCTCTTTTTAAGACCAGAATCATGACGATTCAAAAATGATATACTTGAGATCTTTTCCAACATCTATATATCTGTTCTACAAACACCAGAGGCAGCACAACATGCAGTTAGAACAAAAACAGAATTAAAAACTGGTAGACCAAATCAGAACGAGATTGCTAAAATAGGTTTATGAAAGACAGTCACTCAAAGAATCAAACAAAGAAGGGAAAGAAGTAAACAGCAACAGCAACAAACTAAGCCTTATATCTCATAACTCTGGGGTCGGCTAAAGAAGGGAAAGAAGTAATAAACTTTAAATCACTTGGTACTCATTCGAAGCACTTTTATTTCCCCTGGTTTCCCTTTTATCTAATTACTCATATTAACTTTTTGAAAGCACTTTCACCTTAAAAAAAAAAAGGATGCCACCAGGCACCAACCAACTTTAGCTGTTGTATTTGAAGCACTGCCATCATCAGTTCATAAATGCACCACGCAAGATAATAAAGATTGTTTTAATACCTGGTCTAGGCACCATAAACCAATCAAGATACTAAATATTGAAAAAGAAACCAAGATGAAGCTTAATTCCCTCACAATTAAGCTAATTTCAGTAATTTGTTATGGTAAAAGGCTTGAGCTCAACTAGCAATATAGTGACTCTTAACTTATTCACTTTTGTCAATTCCACCATAATGCAGCAAAATTCCCTCTTAAATAATTATACCAATATCTCTTTTTCACTGAGTTAAATCTTTCATTTACTGTCTTGTAGCATCTAAAATCAAGAAACAGAAACAGAAACAGACCCAATTGAGTAAACAACAAGAGGAACCAGACCAATAACAGGAACCAATAATCAGAGCAAAACCCAAGATCAACCCATCATTAAAAACAAGATGTTGAACCCCAAAATAGATATTAAATCAAGAAAAACATAAAAAAAGGACAGACCTTGGCTGATGCAACCTCCATGGAATCAATGATAGTGAATCTTCTCCTCTTCAAAGCCGCTGGCCAAGAACTATCTACAATCATCAGCAGAAAATAAAAGTTTTCAGTTCTCTCTCTCACTCTTTCTTTTGGTGGGTTGCTTCTGTAAAAGCTCCTGGTTGCTTTATCTCGTGGAACTTGTTTGATGCTTTTTTACTTTGATTCTTTTAAATGTTATTCCTTTCTTCCTTTAAATGTTATTCCTTTCTTCCTTTATAAGCATCGGCACGTGCTCTAGCCATTGGCCCATGACCTTTCCTCTTTTACAAGAAAACAAAGATAATTTGGGCTTTAATTGGCTTGGGCCATCTGACCTTCGGCTTGACACTTTTGGGCCTTTTCTTTGCATACCTACTTTACACTTTTTGATATATTTGTTAGATTTTTTTATTTTTAATTAAATTTTTTACCTCCTTTTTGGTGGAGAATATATTTAGCATTGGTTTAAATAAGATTCGATTTGATTTAATATTTTTGAATAATATATAATATTATAAATTTTAAAAATTTAATTTAAGTATTAATTGATTTTTTTAAAATTTATTTAATCTGATTAAATTTTACAAGTTCCATTAGATTCGTTTTATAGATTTTTATTTTTTTATATATTTGTTTTAATTTTATTTTTAATATATTTAAATATATTAAGATCTAAAATAATTAGTTTTATTTTATAAAATTTTTTAAAAAATATATAATTCAATTTTTTTTTGTTTTTATTTCTTAATCTAATTTAATATATATTTAATATTAAACTTAATCCAAATTAAAAAAAAAAAAACTAATTCAAACTAAACTGAATATTACAATTTCAAATCAAATTTTATTTTTTTTAACACCCCTACATGGCATTACCAACAATGTTATATTTTGGTTACAGTAATGTGTGAAATTAATCAAATTTAATGGTAAAAAATTCAAGTTTTTATAAAGTGATATTTATTTGAGTACAAGGAGGTGGGAGAAATTTGAAATCGAGACCTCTCCTGTAAGCTCTTCTTGACCATTAGGCCAAGAGACAAGGGACATAAATAATTTTATTTATCCAAAAATAAATTAAAATACAGTTGTTACATCAAAATTATTCTAGCCAATATACAAAGAATCATACATAAAAAATAGTGTCATTTAAATCCCAAGAAATACAAATATTGTTATTTATAGAGTTTGCTCAATCTTATTAACCTCAATCCGACCTCATCTTTAACATGATCAAGAACTTGGATAAAAATTTTCTGCAAATTTTCATATAACCTATTGTTTTTTTCCTTCCACATGATAAATGTAAATCAAATTTAATATAATAAAAAGGTTGGATTTTTTTTTTATCATTCAATGGAGTCAGAGCCCTACATTAAAATTATCTTAATTATTATATCAAGTAGCTGAAGACAAAAAATTAGAGTTTTATTCAATACCAAACCTCACAAATTTGTTGCTTTGAGTATCAAGCTGTACTTGGCTTGTTTATGAGCCAAATTGAAATATTTGTGAGTGGTTTCATTTTAATACATGTTATTTGCAAACTTTAAATGTGAAAAAGTGTTTAATTATACTATTATCAATCACCATCGGATATTATTCTAAATCTTATAATTTAAAATATAATATAATAACACGATATAAATATGATACAAAAAAATGATGCGAAATAAATATGACATAAAATTTTAATAATAATTATATATTAAATAATAAAATTAAAAATATAATTTATATTTTTATATTAACATAAATTATAATACTTAATTTTTATATATAATATTAAATAAATAATAAATTTTAATATTTAATATGACACGAATATACGAATTATCAAATTTTCTTTATTACATACCCCTCTTTCTACTTCCTTTGCCTTCCAACAATCGTTTTCTTTTTAAACCATAAATTGTCACTCAAGTTAAGCAAAAACAAAGTCATTGGCTTACCAAAGCATTCAATTATACAGTTTTATTGTGAATTATGATTTTTCTTTTTTTTTTCATTAATTTGAGCCCACTTTTAATAATTTCAAGCACTTGTTTCACACAAAATACCTTCATAATAGTTGCTTTCAACTAAATCAATAGCAAAAAAAAAAAAATCTTATAATAAACAAATTAACTATCCTCATTTTTTTTAAGTGAAAAATATTATTATAATATACTGTTTTGGGAGCAAGTAATTGTTTTTGTAAAAAAAAAAGCAAATTATTATTATTATTATTTGGAAAATTGAAAAATGCGAACCATGGTAAAAACAAACAACCTCCGTCTGGAAAACCTGATGCCGTCACCTAATCATTTTCAAAGCAGGCCGGCGACGGTTTATCCGGGGCCAGTTAGCGTTAATTTTGTTCCTTTCCGAAGGAACACGTCAGCCTCGACTCATTTTTAATTCACCACCGCACGTTAGGACCAACCCTTTTGCTTTCTTTTTCTCTCTCTATCAATCTCAAACGGCTAAACGTGACACCCTGTATTCCTTCCCCGGTCCCATTCCAAAATTTCAAAAAAGTCCCCCAACTTTCTCAAAATTAAAATCTGATCCCAGTTCAAAAATCAGGCATTTCTAAATATCCATTTTTGATCCTTTTCTCGAGAAAAAAAAGATTTTCCGAGAAACAGAGCGAGAGATGACAATGGATAGAGAGAAGGAGAGAGAGATAGAGCTCGAAAGCGCAATGTACACGAATTGCTTGCTTTTAGGTTTGGATCCGTCTATAATCGGACTCGGAACCTCCAACGGAACCCCACGGGTCGGACTCTTCCGTCATTCCAACCCTAAACTAGGCGAACAGCTTCTTTACTTCATCCTCTCTTCTCTTCGTGGCCCCACTCAATCTGCCAGAGTAATGATCATTGTTTCCGGTTCGGTTTACTTTTAATCTGGTCCGTATTGGTTCTGAGTTTAGTTTTGCTTTTGGATCTTTCAGGATTTCGATAGAGTTTGGCCGATTTTTGACTCAGCGCAATCTCGTGATTTTCGAAAGGTTGTTTTTTTCGATTTAATACTTTTCGTTTTTCTTTTTGAGTTTTACAGTTTTGTTTGAATTATTATTTGAATTATATTTATTTTTTAATAATTTAGGTTGTGCAAGGGATAATTAGTGAGCTGGAAGCACAAGGAGCTCTACCGAGGAGTAATTCTAGGGTTTCTTCGCTTGCTACTTGCTGTGGACCGAGGTTGGCTAGTTAATTTCTGTTTGGTTGCCAAGAAAATTCAAGAAAGCTAAGCAAAATGGAAAAGTGTATTAATTATCTTTGCTCTTTTACTTAGTTCTATTTGCCTTAGGCTCATTAGAGTGAATATTTTACTGTATTTTGGCACTGAATGTCAGTGTAAGATTCAAAAAGTCTGATTTGTTTTATTTACGAGTAGGTTTCCTTGGTTGATGAAATTTATTAATTCGTCATCACATTAAGTTTTCTTATGTGTTTGATTGTAGGTTTGTTGAACTTTTATGGCAACTTTCATTGCATGCGTTGAGAGAGGTTCATAGACGGACTTTTGCATCAGATGTTGCTTCTAACCCGTTGCCTGCGCCATTGACTGATGTTGCTTTTTCACATGCTGCTACACTACTTCCTGTAACAAAGGTAGTGCTGTTCTATAGACTATTAATATGGAGTACAATTATAGTTCCTTATAATAAGTCGTACTTCATTTTCCTGTGTTTGTAGGTTTTATTTTCTCATATCATAGTTCACTTCATGCATAGTTTCAGCATTAGTTTCAAAATTGCATTTTTTTTTATTTGACCTTCATTAGCAGTGAAGTAAGGTGCTTATTTTTTAAACAGGCTAGAATAGCACTTGAACGGAGGAGATTTCTGAAAAATGCAGAAACAGCAGTGCAGAGACAGGCTATGTGGTCAAATTTGGCTCATGAAATGACTGCAGAGTTTCGTGGTCTTTGTGCTGAGGAGGTAAGCAAATAATAGTTAAGCACTCATTTGAATGCTTTTTGAATATTTATGTCAAATTATTAATATAATCCCCTTGCCCCTTTTCCTTTTTGTTAAGGGATGACATTGACTTAATACCTTTAACTAATGCCTTAGAAAACCTGGATCTTAGGCTTATTTGCAGCAAGAGCTGGAAAAACTACATGACTTGAGGAACAAAGTGAAGTTGGAAGGGGAGCTATGGGATGATCTTGTCTCTACTTCAAGTCAGAATTCTCATTTGGTTTCAAAAGCCACCCGCTTGTGGGACTCTATATTATCTCGTAAAAGTAAGTCCAAATGAATCAACCATGTTCATTTTTCTCTTCATTAAATTGTTTGATTTTCATAGCCTTGATATCATCAACCTCTATGTCCAGGTCAGCATGAAGTTCTTGCTTCAGGCCCTATTGAGGATTTGATAGCTCATCGGGAGCATAGGTAATTTGCTGCCGCACATCTTTTTTATCCTTTTGGATGGTGCATATGAAACTCTTTTTCTCCCCTTTTCACGATATTATTTTCCAGGTACCGCATCTCTGGATCGTCTTTGCTTGCAGCTATGGATCAGAGTTCTCAAGTTCCTTATACAGACGTCTTATCTGTTCAGTCTGGTGATTTGGATGACAAAGAACAGAATGATGAATATCACACGCAGATCAATGAAGAAACACTTTCTCGGATAGATGATAGAAGTGGAAGAGTCCACCAGCCTGTTGATGTAGCAGAAATTATCAGACGTTGGACGCATGCATTACAACGCATTCATAAACAGTCACTTCTGCTGGTATGCTGTTTTATTTTGTTTTTATTCAGTCAGCTTTCTTAGCTTGTACTAATACTTGGCCATCATATACTAAACTTCTAATATCATAATGTCTATATAGGACCAAGTACATATTTTTCAATATTAAGTTTGAAGTCCTGGCAAAGAAATATGTGCTGGGTGTTCTTGTATTTCTATGGACAAAACCTTTATTAGTTATAAGCAAAGCCCTTCACTTAAAATTGTCCATCTTTTGGAGATGAGAACATGATATTGTTCATGGTATATCAGAAATGAGCAATTATCAGTTTGCACTTTCTAAATTATTTGAAAATAATTTGGAAATTCAAAATAATGCGTCTCAGTTTTATGGATTTATGGATTGCATTTTGCTAATTACCAGTGTTGAAGTAAGGTGTTAGTATGCAATAATAGTATTGCTATTGCTCTGCAGGCAAAAGCTAATGATGGAGAGGGTCCTGATATTTTACAAAGTACACATGATGGTGACACAAGTGGCCATGCTGAGTCATTAGCTGCAACTCTTGCTGAGCATCAGCAACACCTGGCTAGCTTTCAGGTAATGAAATAGCCACAGTACATTAATTAGTTATTTAGAAATTCTAAGTACTGTGAATTAGAGCATAAATTTGAGCAATTTCAGTGTTCTAGTTTGATTAACATCTGGGGCAGTTATACATATCCTTTGTATCTTATCCTCATCAAGTAGGTTTTTCATTTAATTAATTGTTGGGCTGAAGGTCCTAGAAACATAAATAGTACTTGGCAAGTAGGTTGCTGAAGTCTTCAAGAACCTTAAATATTGCTAGATCTGATTTTCTTAACTTACTGTTTGCTTGGTATTTGTTAAAGAATTTAGCGGGTACAGAGATTTAAATCCACCTTTTATAGCCCGGAATTGGGAAATTCTCTTGGCAACTGCTGAAGGATGATAAAATCTTGATGATCTAGAACCCTAAAAATCTAGCAATTTATTTAGTTTATGAAAGTTTTGGTTTAAATTATTTGGAGATTGTGAACTGACTGAATGTGAATATGAGTTTTGTTTCCCTCTTCTTTGCTTTGCTTCATACATGCATATTTACAACTTACAAATATACTTACAAATGTGCCTCTCCTAAACCATAAATTGCTGCCATGGTTTCTAAGTTATCTTTGAAGGGTCTTTTTGGAACCTCCTTGTCAACTCAGGACACTGTTCTTACTTATTTTCTAGGTGACATGTACAGGTTTCTATTCTAAATTTCTAACACATTTCAAATGCAGGTACTTATTAATCAACTAAAGGAAGTTGCTCCAGCAATCCAAAAGTCAATATCAGAGTGTACAGAGAAAGTAAATAGCATTTCCTCCAACTTACCTACAATGGCTAAACATCATGGTCAAGCCACCTCACCTATTCAAGCTCAGAGCAGTGGAAGGATGTTGGTAAATGTTCAATCAGTATTTCATGTCCTGCACACATTGAAACTATTTTGAGACTTAGAATATTTGTGTTTCTAGAACTTATGACTCATTTAGAAGTTGTTTTTCTGGATCATGCAGGAAAGTAGATCTGATGATGTTGGTGACATTACTTCAAAAATGTCCACTGTTCACCTTGAGAAGATTTCATCTGGTCCTCCTGCTTTAAAGCTCCCACAGTTATTTAGTTTAACCCCAAATTCATCTGGAAAAGGTGGAAACATGCAAAAGCGACATACTTTAGTTCCTCAGACCAACCAAATTGACACTTTATCTGAAAGAAGCTCTGTGGAGCAGCCTCTAGCAAACAATCGCCTAGATAACCCACCCAAAGGTTTGCTGCCTTTCATGCTCCACTTGTCTCCCTACATATAATTGGCTTATTGCATTTCCTTTTATCAGTTGAAAGACAAGTAATTTAACTCCTTTAGTAAAAGAATTGATTCTCGATTTCATGTTGCAGACAGTGACGTTTCTTATGTTCAGAACTTAAAGAGATCTGTTAGGCAAGCTGCATTGTCAATGCCATCGTGCAATTCAGAGTCATCACTAAACAGTCAATCTGATGAAGGTTCTGAACACTTCTTTGTACCTGTTTCATCAACTAATTTTTTTCGTGGGGGACCAGAAACTAAAGTGGGCTCGATAAGGAGTAAGAGATTATTTTCAACTCAAACGGACAATTCCTTGCTTGACAACCATGGGAGTAACTATGATGATCTACCACATATATTGAACAATCTGGATTCTCTTAGTAATTATGATCAAGTAAATGGATTTCTATCAGCTGCTACTTCAAGTTATGCAGCTTCCAATGGGCATAGGTCATTTTTTGACATAGAAGAAGTGCAGGATCAGGTCTTCTCCCCTCCTTTGCTGATGGACACATCCTTATTAGTTGATTCTTATGAGGATTTGCTCGGTATGTTGGTTTGCTTGCAAACTGTTACCATTATTATGCATCCATGTAGGCATCGTGCTTTAAGTGTATAATATGATTCTTTAGATTAATGTTTTACTTTTGTTTATCCATTAATTATCACATCTACCAAATCAATGCAAGATTATAGTCCTCTAACTGGGAATTTTACCATGGTTTTGACTTTTGGGCAGAGTTCTATTTGTTTTTGTTTTCGTTTTCGTTTTCTACCTTATGGGGAATCATTTTTGATTTGGAGGTTTGTTTGTGCAGCTCCACTTTCAGAAACAGAAACTGCCTTGATGGAGCATTGAGATATAGTTTAGACGATCCTGCTCGGATGGTTTTGTTTTTGAACCCTGGTTGGGATGTGCAGCACTCTCCCATTGATTTGTTGTATGCACGATGCTTGTATTTACTTTCAGAGACAGATCTACAACGGGGGCAGGTACTCCCACTGAAATCTTGAAGATTTCTTGGTATTATTTTGTAACTAAAACAAGTTTAAGAAAAGTTGTAATTTTGCCCACACTGAATTTAAATTTGGTTATTGTTCATACTCTGTGTATTGAATGTTGAAGAGCTCTTTGGTACTGACGAGTATTGAGGTAAGATCGCTCGTCGAAGTTTCGTAATTTTTTAATACAATATGAAGATAAATCAAGGCAATCTAAAGTATTCTTTAATCTCTTAGTGCTTGTAATGCGTATTTCATTAGATCGTGTTCTCTGATTACTTGGCGGACACATTTATTTTATGCACAAAGCTGTAGATGACGTTCATTGCTTGCAAACGAGGTTTATTGACTGTGTTTTTGGATTATTTTTAGAATGAGAAACGAATTGGGAAAGAGTCTGTGCATAGCCTTAGTATTTGATCTCTTCTTTCGGTTTCAGATATGATATATTTGACCTTTTCATCTGTGCTTGAATATGTAGACTTTCATTCTTGTCATCAGCAATTTGGATTGTGATCCTTCACCAACTTCTTATTCATTGGATTTAACAGGTGAACATTTCCAAGTACAATTAAAAAGAAAAAAAAAAAAGAAAAGAGTAGCTAAAAAGATTTCATTATTGTCGTTTATGCTTTTTTTTTTTTTTTTAATCTTGTTAGGGATTTTTTTGGGTTTTATTTCCGTTTAATTTCTTTTTCGTAGTCTTAAAGGATACATTTCACCGTTTCGGTTCATAAAATTAGATTTCGTGAACCAAATTATGCAAAAAAATGTTTTCCTTTACCAACAAATAAAATAAGCAAGTTTCTCTTGTAGTAATCTTTAAAAAAAATTCAAAATATTAATGCATTAAAAGGGTTCCAACATAAATTCATATTATACTTACTAAAAATCCAATCACAGGCAACAATAAGTATATATATTTTTTATTTTGTAAATACGATAAAAGATCATTTTTATGAAATCAAATCACAGTTAATGTAATTGTCAAAAACATTTACTAATTTAATTATGTAATATCTTCGTAAACTTTGATCTTTATCAAAATATTATTTTGGGTTCATCTAAATTTTCTTGTTCATAAAATAGTAAGGTAGCTATAATATTTTAATAAATGATTTAATTTAATTTATTCATATAATCAATTTTGATTTTTACGATATTTTTTATTTTTGTATTATTATTTTTTGTAAAAATATATTTTATTTAAGAAAAAAATACGTTATTTTCTAAAAAAGGGAAAACCTTTGTATTGAGAAAACAGGGAAAGGTGTCAAGAAATTATTGGATGAAGAATTTATAGTGGTAATTAAGTTATCTAACATTGTAATTCAAGCTTCTAATGATTTTAAAACAGCTCATAAAGAATTCTAAAATACAAGTAAATATTTCCTTTTTCAACTAATGTAGTTTTTCATGCACGCGCCAAAAAACACGTGGGGTCGTTTGCCCGGCTACAAAGGAAAACTGTGCCAAAGTGAAGATGTTCAAGAGTAATCTATTAAGCTTTGGATGACAACCGGCTGCGACATGGATCTGTCAAGTCTGCCAAAATCCCACTCGCAGTCAATAGGTGCGTGAGAACCACCACTCAATAAACTGTTATCGATTTCTCATTTTTAACCTTTCCTCATTCTCTCCGAAGTGAAATATAGGTGGGTTTTCAAAAACCTAAGGGGTGATTTAGTCAATTGATTCTATCTTCATCTGGTTGAAATCAAAAGAGAAAAGTGTGAGCTTTGAGGTTGAAATGAAATTTTGCTGAGAAAGTTTAGAAAAGATCAAATCTTTACAAAGAAAAAAAAAAAAAGTGTGATTAATTAGAACAATTATTTTCCTTTAAGAAAAACAAAACATCAACAACAACGACCAAAGGTTGATTGATGATGGTTTTTCTAAATCCATAGTTTCTCTTTAGATTCTAAAATCTCTCTCTCTCTGAGAAAGGAAGGGGTTGCTCAACTATCTCTTTTACAAGTGTAGGATTTTGTTCTTTTTTTTTTTTTTTTTCATTTTGTGTTCCTTGTTTTTTCTTGGTTTTAGACCCAAGCTCTCCTTCCTTCTTAATATTGGTGAAAGTTTTGTCTTGTTTTTTTTATGTTTTGGCTTATGTTCTTTTGGATAATTTTGTAGGTTGCTTTTGGTGGAAAATGCTGGCTGGGTTTTTAAGATCAAACCCAGATCTTGTTACCTTTTGATCTAGCTGAACGCTTTTGTTAATCTTTGGAAGCTGAGGAAAAATGGAGTTAAAAGGAGACAACTGGTGAATATTCTTTTTCCCTTTCCTTTTAAAGTAATTTAGCAAGAAATTAAAGTTTTTGGGGTTGAATTTTATGGTTTGGATGGTGATAATAATTGGGTATTTTTGTTATTTTTTTATCGGTTAGGCATATGGGTTTTTGGATATAAATCAAAATGATGCATGCTTTGCCACTGAAGTGGAGAAAAGAAGATGAACTTTATTGAGATTATCTATGCTGATTGGGGCTTTTGTCATAGTTGATTGATCATGGACTGGTTTTCTGTGTTTTAGATTTTTCAACAAATGAAGTGGGTTGATGTTTCTGTTCAAGCAAACCAGGAATTTCTCTGTTGGAATTGAGTAATAACTCAGTGAGGATGGAATTGCACATTTATTGGTGGATTGGCTCTTCAGTGGCTTTTGCTTTATGAGTTGACAGTTTTGGCAACCATGTTTTCCTTTCTGGGCATTTGATGGTGCAATTGCTTTAAAGGGTTTTCTTTGCATATCCGATTGTTCAGTGCATGAGAAGAGATTCCTGTTTAAGTTACAATGATCAAACAAATACTTAATAGGCTCCCACGGAAACCATCTAAGTCAAGTGACAATCGTGAAGGAGGAGGAACCTCTACCTCTTCATCAAATGCTTCTACCAATTCAAGAAACAGCGATTTAGCTAGTAACCGCTATGCAAACTCGAGCGGTCCACCCTTTTCTGGTTTTAGTTCTACTCCAAATCCAGGGCTGAATCAAGGCAATAAGATTTCTCAAGTGTTGAATGCAAAGCTGAATGGGAATATGGTTGCTGCTTCTTTTGAGGCATTGCCTAGTTTTAGAGATGTTCCAAATTCTGAGAAGCAGAACTTGTTTATCAGAAAACTAAACTTGTGTTGCATTGTGTTTGACTTCACTGACCCAACGAAAAACCTCAAAGAGAAGGATATCAAGCGGCAAACTTTGCTAGAGCTGGTGGATTATGTTTCATCTGCTAATGGGAAATTTTCAGAGATTGTAATGCAAGAAATTGTAAAGATGGTGTCTGCAAATTTGTTTAGGGCACTTACTTCTCCACCACGTGAGAACAAGGTTTTAGAAGCATATGATTTGGAAGAGGAGGAGCCCTCAATGGACCCTGCATGGCTTCATTTGCAAGTTGTTTATGAATTTCTCTTGAGGTTTGTGGCATCAACTGAGACAGATGCAAAAATGGCCAAGCGGTATATTGATCATTCTTTTGTTCTAAGGTTGTTAGATCTTTTTGATTCAGAGGACCCCAGAGAAAGGGAGTATTTGAAAACTGTTCTGCATCGCATCTATGGAAAATTTATGGTCCATCGTCCATTCATCAGGAAATCAATCAACAACATCTTCTACCGCTTTATTTTTGAAACTGAAAAACACAATGGAATTGCGGAGCTATTAGAAATACTGGGAAGTATAATCAATGGGTTTGCTTTGCCACTGAAGGAAGAGCATAAGCTGTTTCTTGTTCGTGCATTGATACCACTTCACAAACCGAAGTGCATACCCATGTACCATCAGCAGTTATCTTACTGCATTACTCAATTTGTGGAGAAAGATTGTAAGCTTGCTGATACTGTTATACGGGGCTTGCTAAAGTATTGGCCAATTACAAATAGCTCAAAAGAAGTCATGTTCTTGGGTGAACTGGAGGAAGTTTTAGAAGCCACACAACCTGCTGAGTTTCAACGCTGCATGGTACCCTTGTTCCGCCAGATAGGCCGTTGCTTGAGTAGTTCTCATTTTCAGGTAGGGATTTCGTCAGTTCACTACTTGCAACTTTCGTCTGGTTTTTTTATTTTATTTTATTTTATTTTATTTATGAAAGTCCCTCAACAAACTGAACAAATTATAAATAGACAAGTAAATAAACTTTTAAAAAAAAGGGAAAGCTTTAATGGTTTAGATCAAGTGGCTTCATTAAAAGCAAAAGCAACTGGTTGACATGATTTTTCTTTCTTGTCCTGTTCCTTTTGATTGTCCCTTCTCCTGTTAGCATGATAAAATCTTGTATGTCATCTTTTGCTGATGCACTATACAATCCTAATTTACTGAATATCTAAACGAGTAACCTGAGGTGGGCTTAACTTGATTATGTAAATACATATGATCAAGACCAAATGTTGCAGTATCAAATCCAAGAAAAGCTGTTGTGAACTTGTGATCTATTCTACAGGGATAGTTCTACAAGAAACTGATGCATTATGATAAACTGTAATCTTTGACTGGTTTTAACCATGTAAAATATATCCTTCATCTCGTTGGATTATATTTCTTGACTTTCAAACTGGTGTTGATCTTATCTGGACTCTGCCACAGAAAGTTTATATCCAAAATTGAGGTTGGAACTTTATTGACGTTCACTACTTAAGCTTCCACTTTTTCATTCTACTCATAAAGAGAGGAGAGATAGAAATGTGTAGTTGGGTTAAGCTAATAACTTGAAAACTTTGATGCTCTGACAACATCTAATCAAAGGAATTTAGATGTGTGGATGTCATGAAGAAAAACACAGGTCTCTAACTCCTCTAACCATTAACCTCCTAAAAAGAATGAACTAGTAATTGTTCCACGACCAACCTCTTATGACAAAGCTGTATTCTGTCAATGTTGACAAACTGCAGGATTTCATTATAATTAAACAAATCAAAAGAAAAAGAGGTCACTGTTCACCAGATAAAGAGTTTAAATCTTCAAAGTTTTGAAATTGAAAGACAACAAGGACATAAAAAAAACAAATTATGTCTTTTCCCACTAGATTTGGTTGCCTAAATGGATCATATTGTGCCATCATGCTCTATTTAGGATCTCATTTTGAATGAAATCTTTAAGGCTTTGCTTGATAGAGAGGATGGAAAGAGGTAATGATGGAAAATTTATTAATCTAAAGGCTAAGCTACATAACAGGACAGTAGTTATGAATTTTAACCATTTGATTAACAAGTTTTCCATCTTTACCTCTTTCTATCCTTCCTACCAAGCAAAGCCCACAAGTTAGAGACTGAAATGATTACAAATAACTGAAAATCCAGGTATCCAGGTTGATATGGTTTGTGTTTGAATTGATTAACTCTCTTGTCAAATTTATCATGTAGTATTAACTTGCAGTTGCTAAAAGATGCCATACGGTTTGTGATTAATAGATTTTAACTATTAGAAAATCTCTGCATCAAAATACCTGCTGGTATCTATGGTTACAAGATTCATGTGTGTTTAGTAAATTTAAGTTTAACTGTAGAGTGTTCCCCTTTAATTTAGTTGGATTGCTATGCGCTGACAAGAGGATGAATTTACTCTTTAGTTTGTTTTGTGGCAATTGGGGGAATATCTCCATGGTGTCTGGTTTTTTTTATGAATGAAAGGCTTTATTGTCTGAAGATGTCCAGATATTGTTGCTGGATTGTAACTTTCTAATCATAGTTGTATTTATGATGTGAAACTGCATTGAGTCTTTATCGAGTCTTTATCGAGTCTTTACAAATTTCAATACTTTGTTTGTAGGTGGCAGAGAGGGCTTTGTTCTTATGGAACAATGATCATATTGAGAACCTAATAAAACAGAATCGTAAAGTCATACTTCCAATTATCTTCCCCTCCTTGGAAAAGAATGCAAGAAACCACTGGAATCAGGCAGTGCAGAGCTTGACTCTAAATGTCCGCAAGATTTTCTCTGACACCGACCCTGAGCTCTTTGAGGAGTGCTTGCATAAGTTTGAGGAAGACGAAGCACGAGAAAATGAGGTTAAATCAAAACGCGAAGCCACATGGAAACGATTAGAAGAGGTTGCTGCAATGAAAGCAGCAAGTAACGAACCTGTGCTTGTCTCCCCAAAAATAACTACTCGCAAGCCATCTTGCTAGGACAAGAGATTGCCATTGTAGCGGCTGATGTTTCATGTCAAGATCGGTATGCAAACCACAGGTTGGTGGACATGATGATTTTGAGAACAAGAAGATGAAGCTGAGTTTTTCATTGCATCAACTGATCACCTTCTGAATATCTGGTTTGCTAGATTTTGATGTCACTGGGATTCATTAAAGATTGATGCTATGTGGGGTACCTCTAAGCCTCTTTCGCTCATATTTATGCATAGAATGTGTATATAATGGATTGGGGACAAAAAAACAAATGAGTTTGGCTTGTAAAGTAGACATCTTTTCCATTCATAATCTTTTAAGGGTGGATTCAACATCAGTCTGTTTCTTTTACTACTGTTGAATTACTTTCGGTTATTTCATTTACATCTTTTTTTAACTCTTCCGAAGCACCTTGATGTATAAACATTTTAAAGTACTTGGAAACCCAACCACCTGTTGAAAGTTTTGGCCAATGGTTTAGGTATCTTGTGTTTTTGTAAAGCACTCTCTTCTTAAAAAACAATTTTTTAACTAGACATTGATTTGTGGACGTATTTATTTGGGTCCAAGATAAAATTGACGTGATGAGATTGAAAATAGTAATAAAATTTATTATAATTATAATTAAAAAAATAAGTTATTATAATTGAGATTGAAAAATAATTTAATAAAAAATTTATATTGATTTAATTTTATTGAAATTGATATTTGAATTTAATTAAAAATATGATGAGTTTAATATGAAGCGATGAAATTATAATTAAAATTTAGTTTGAATTTTATAATTGATATAATATTATTATATCATTAATTAAATTTAAATAAAATTTATTCAATATAAATTTATTATTAAAATTTTTTTAATCATAATTACATTATTATTATTATTTTTAATTTTATCAAAATTAATCTTCATATCAAAGTTGATTGAAATAAAAAATTTTAAATATTAAAAAAAAAACTTATCTATACATGAAATATTGATATCTTCGTTAAGATTTTCAAATAATTCAAAGCTTCAATCATTTAAAAAAAAAAAAAGAAATACAAAATGATGGAGGATTTAGAGTTTAATTACTAGGCCTTAACTTCCCTCCTACTCCTTTTTTAACACAATGATGGGAACTTCAAACAATGACATTTCCCAAGAAAACTTGTCAGCTTGGCAATTATTTGCCACACCCAAATTTCATGCATTACATACGAAATCCATGCTTCTAATCCTTGTACCTCCCACTTACAAGGTCAATTATGTCATTAGAGTACAACTTTTAATTCCTGTTCCATATGGTTTTCACTAACATATCCTCAGAGTATACCAAACCTATCATTAAAAAAAAAAAAGCAAAAATGGAAAACGAAAACATCTCAATAAAGTTGCTGGTTGCATGTATGCTGTGACCCCATCATCTACCTAAGTCTCCCTTCTCTCTTTCCTTGTGTTTCTTTCTTCCTCTGCTTGTATCTAATTTGCCATTGAAAAACACCATCAGATTCAAGCAAAACTCCCCAAATTTAAAAAACCTAATCAGCCAAATCCATGTGAAATTTCATTCATTTACTAACCATTTCAAGTTTCAAACTTTCCCCTTCAAAACCATGACTTTACCTCAACGTTAACCTCCCGCAGACTCAGAAGCTGAAGGAAGACAGGAAGGAAAAAGCTTTATCTTTATTTCTGGTTTCTGCAAACCCATCAGGAAAACCCTGAAAAATTAAGACCCAGAATTGTTTTCCCAACAAAAAAGCATAAAAAAGAATTTTTTATTTTTTGTAAAAATTAGAAATTTAAGGGAAATGCCAAGCGTGGCTGTGAAATTGTACAGTGTATTCTTCAAGTTCCTATTGAAGCACCGTTTGCAGAACCGGATCCAAACCCCTCTCGACCAATCCTCCAATCCATACGGTGTCACGACCCGACCTGAAGAATCAGTTTCCGCCTCCAATCCTTCTTTCACTGACGGTGTCGCCACTAAAGACATCCACATCGACCCTTTCACTTCCCTTTCTATACGGATCTTCCTCCCTGAATCGTCCCTATCCCCTCCAGAACAACCCGAGCCGAAATCCAAGCCCAAGTTGTCCCAACAAGATGACCCCAATTACCTTATTCATCGGAGGAATAGTTATGGGCCGCCTAATATCGGAGCCCCGAAAAATGATCCAAGAAGAAGCAGTTTTGAAGTGTTGAATTTAAGATCCGAAAACAATGCTTATCGAGGTTATTCACCATTTCCTCAAAATTGTCGAAAATTGCCGATAGTGTTACAGTTTCACGGCGGCGGTTGGGTGAGTGGGAGCAATGATTCGGTTGCCAACGATTTCTTTTGTCGTAGGATAGCGAAATTGTGTGATGTTATAGTTGTGGCGGTCGGTTATAGGTTGGCGCCGGAGAATAAGTATCCGGCGGCGTTTGAGGATGGATTGAAGGTGTTGAATTGGTTAGGAAAGCAAGCGAATTTAGCGGAGTGTAGTAAGTCGATGGGGAGTGGGGCGCGTGGGGTTGGAGCAGAGTTTACGAAGGCTGAAGTTCAGAGACATATTGTGGATGCCTTCGGGGCTTCTATGGTCGAGCCGTGGTTGGCCGCTCATGGAGATCCGTCAAGGTTATTCCTTTTTTCTTAAAGTTTTGATCTTGGCTGTATTTGTTTTTGTTAATGAATTGATTTGGTTGAAAGGGTAGGAGTTAGATAAGTGTAATTTGATTACAGCATGAATGGGATGCTGTGATCTTTGATTGTGTTTGTTGTTCTTGTTAGATTTTCTATGATTGATGTATTTTTGACTGGATATCTGCTGTGCATTGGTTGTAGTTTGGTTTATTCATCAATTTGGTTAAGGATGGGGGGTTAGAAACTGCAATTTTATAGGGTAAGTTTGACTTTATAAGCTTAAATTCGTTCAGTGTCAGTCGAAGCAATGTAGGTAAATTTTGATCTTAATTGATTTTATATTTGTTACAATGATTGGCATGGATTTTGTATGCATTCTGTGCTTTTCATTTTTATTTGTTTGAAATGGTTTGGAATTAGAAAGTGCATCTTGATTAGGGCAATGTGAGCTGTGAGCTTGAATTTCTAAGATTTAGTTAGATAGATATAGGTAGAATGAATCCTTGTGAAAGAGGTTTAGATTGTGAACCTTTTGAAAGTAATTTCATTTGGATAACTTGTGATCTAGCTCTCTCATCTGAATTGCATAACTGGGCAATAAGTCTTTGACGTTCGAAGTTTGTCAAATCTGATTGCCCTTTCTGGTTGTAGAGGCTTTGGAAACTATATTATTCAATCTCTGAACCTGAAATTTCCTGGAAATTTTCTGTGGCTTAGTCTTTTGTCTTTTGTGCATCATGACCTCCTCTTCATTGAACACAGTTCAATATTTCAATTTCTTTTGTCTTTTCTGGATAAGGTTTTGAGTGTATGTAATGTCAAGCACTTCTCTTCCTTTCATTTCTGTTTCAAATTTGATTGCCTTAGATATCCTTGAAATATAAATATGTTCATGCTAGCCCTTGGTTCTAGCATTTGCCTACCTATTTTGTTAGTTTGATTGAGGTTTTTTGCATGGAGGTTCCTTATTGAGCTCTTAGATGGTCAAAAAGTGTGCATGCATCATTTTCTACACTATTTGAGGATAAAAATTGTTTTCACGTTCCCTTGCAGCAAGTTGGCTTATTTTATTGCTGTATTTTGTCTGAAGGATGTACCTAGTGCTACTGATTTAACCCAAGTATCAGAAAGAGAACGTAAACTTTAAGAACCTTCTATTAGATTTTGTCTGGATTTATTTCTTCCATTAGGTTGGGTATTGATTGCTGAATTGCTTATCGTATGGACCTTTATCATCGGTAGTTATGATCTATACTAGGCTTTGATGTTATTTATCCTCTCATATGGCTAGCAGATTCATATGCTTTGCTTGCTTGAACATGATTTTAATGCTTGTTGTTGACCAACTTATGCCCAAAGTTTTCTAATTTTATGTTGTATCATGCAGCGTCTCACATTTAACATGTTATGATCAAGCGTCTTTGAGAGAGTATATGGTCTAGAGTTTGAGTTAGTCGCTTAATGTCTCGTTGACAATTGATTGTATTGTGTTCTGTGTTGTGTCTCAAGTATGACCAACAAATTTCGGGATCATAATCTCTGGTATTAGTTGAGTACATAGTTGTCATGTGGAATGGACATGCAAAGAATATTGAGTCAACCTGGAAATCCCACTGAGTGAGGTAGAATTCAGGTTGAAGAAGAATCTATCTGAAGGCATCCATGTTTGAACTCATGCCCGACATTTGGATGAGATAAAATATTGGCAAATTATATTTTATTGCTAAGCTGTAAAATTGCCTGGTTCTTAGTTTTTTTTCTCTAATATATGGGTCATTCTCTTCTATCTTGCATAAAAATTTTTATTGCTATTTTGGCTAATCTTTAATTGTGATATCGTTGAAACAGATGTGTTCTACTTGGGGTGAGTTGTGGAGCAAACATCGCAGATTATGTGGCTCGCAAAGCTGTTGAGGCTGGCAGGCTTCTGGATCCTGTCAAGGTTGTAGCACAGGTCCTAATGTACCCATTCTTCATTGGAAATGTTCCCACACAGTCCGAAATAAAGTTGGCAAACTCCTACTTCTATGACAAGGCAATGTGCCTACTTGCATGGAAACTCTTTCTTCCCGAGGAAGAGTTCAGCCTTGACCACCCAGCTGCCAATCCACTCATCCCAAACAGGAGCCCACCTCTGAAGCTCATGCCCCCAACACTGACAGTTGTAGCAGAACATGACTGGATGAGAGACCGGGCCATTGCTTACTCAGAGGCGCTTCGGAAGGTAAATGTTGATGCACCTGTTCTTGAGTATAAGGATGCAGTTCACGAATTTGCAACCCTTGACATGCTTCTAAAGACCCCTCAGGCTGAGGCCTGTGCCGAGGACATTGCCATCTGGGTTAAGAAGTACATCTCATTGCGAGGTCACGAGTTCTCTTATTAAGTGGAAGGTTTCAAATGTGGAAACAGATTTGTGGCAGAGCATCATCCACCAGCATCATTTTCTGTTATTCAGTTGAAAGAGAATGATGCAACGTTACCTCACACAGGATGGGAATAATATATTGCATTTGTTCTTTCTCGCTAATCCATCATCTACTTTCCAAATATCCTGTTCTGTTATTTTTGTAAGATAGAGAACTTTTCCGATTGTAGATTAGTGAGCTGTGAGATGAGATTACTCCTTTTTGAGTGTTGCACACCACATTGGGATGTTGTCAGTAACATTTTTTTCCTGTGAATTATAATGTACTATTTCTCCTGAATAGACAGTTTTATTCAATGGCAACTTACCATGCAACCATCAAGCTTGTGCCATATAGATCTTCTCTTTGTTTTCAACTTTACACTGTCAACCTTGAAATACTTTTGTCTGATTGGAAAAATTGCAGAGATAAACAATTTTGGATCCGGTTTTCACAAATTCTATGATCTCCAAATTGTCCAATGGATGATTCATCAAGGATAAGGACATCCAATTAATACCAGCACATTGTGACTACCAAGGCTGGGAGTAATTTGGTAGGCATACAAGAAGTTAAACTCCAATATGTTATCATCATTGGCAGAATCTTGTCTGCGGTGCAATGCTTAGTTGTTTCTTGTTATGTCCTATGTCTGTTACATTGTTGACAAGACAATGATTTTATTTCAATCTTCTTGTTGGTTTTAAACAAGATAAGGAGTTGAGAGCTCCCAATTTCCAGTATAAATACCAATTGCAAATCAATAGATTTCCCGGGCATGGTTGCTTCATTTTATATACAAAGCTGGTTCTCAAATCTATCCCCAGATAGAATCAGGAACCATGGAGAGGCTGAAGCTGCATTTATGAAACTGAGGCTTCACAAGAAATGGAATGGGTGTTGTACATCTTTTCTGCTTGATTTGCCCCAATATTGGAAGCATATTTGAGGGAGAGAGTTAAAATGTGGAGGTTGAAAGCCATGGCTGCAAGCCTCCTGGACCTCAGGTGGATCAACCACCTCTATCAAACAGGCGTTTGCCATACATGTTTGCAAAAGCTGATGGAGTAAAGTTCCAAGTTTTTCCATCAACCAGGTTGAAATAGTAGTCTGAATATCAAGTTGGCCTAAATGGCAGAATAAAGATGCGACATTGTTTGAATTCTTTTCAAGCTTTGATGGAACGCCTTAATAAAATTTTCTATCTACTTTACCCACTGTTTGATAGTGTTTTTCCATCATCTAAAAGCAACTGAATTTCACACAATTTTCTTTACTCAACGTCTATGTCTCAACTAATTTTCTTTAAAATGTTTTTCTTTCTTTGATAAGTTAGAATTTTTTGGGTACAACTCGAATAGGAAAAAGATTAACATATGCTACTGGAATTTGAATTTCAATCATGTTCGTATTTTTATATAAGTGTTAGAATTTGAACTCTAAACTTATTTGATATCATTTTTAAAAAATAATTACATTAATTAATTAAATTCAAATTCAAATTTTATTTATTTGTAATGTTAAATGGTATAAAAAATTAACAAAAAAGCCAAACTTAAGTAATCCGATAATTATTATCATAATCAAAATAGTGCCCATTGTCATATTAAAAAAAACAAACAATGTTTAAATATTTTAAAGTTGATATATATATATATATATATATATATATATATAGTGACAAACAAGAAACCTAACATGACAATTGAATTTCTTGTTTCAACTTTAGTAAAATATTCCCAAATTAGTATAACATTTCAACTTGTAAATCACCTAAAGTGATTAGAAATTGTCGCTTTCATATTGCATAAATAATTAAATTAAACAATTAGATTAATCCATATCTTTCTCTAATCTATATTTAATTAATAAAACCAAAAATAAATCGATATATTTGTTATCAAAGGTGAAAATTTTATCTTTGGACTTGATCAAGTAAAAGATTCCCATGAAATATTTACTTGATCATAGTTGATAATCATGTGTTCTGTTGATAGAATGTTGAAATCTTAATTTAGTAAAATTTTTGGATGAAACTCGGGATACCATGAAGGATTGATGCATCCCTATTCTCTGCAACCACACAAAAAGGTCATCAACAAAATAAAACAGGATATATTTTGTGAAAGCTCAGAGAGGGCATAGCAATTGGGTGATCTGACACCTGCAGCCAAGACACCAGTGAGGGAACAAAACATTGGTGCTGCAAGATTATGAAGCATCAGTGGTTCAATGAATATGACACTTTTTGGCAAACCAACAGTGGTTGCAGCACAGCACCCTCTCTTTCCTGGGCATCATGTGATTCTTTATATTGATCCAAAATCTGCAAGAATAGGACTAGTAATGATGAGCCTCCAGAGAGAAAATGAAGCCTGGTGTGGCAGTGTCAAACAAACAAACATGGTGATGTTTGATATAATCAACTGTAGACTAAGGTAGTTGAATACAACCTCATTCAATTGGAACATAATACAAAGAATTTGGAGATCAGACCTGTGCTTTAAACCTTGCTTTCAATATACAAAAAAAGAGTTAGTATAGCATTGAATCGAGGAATTTACATATAAAGATACACACGTTGTTTAAGGAAGACAATTATTGTCAGCAAAGAATACCTGGGTGGTGCCATATGATGAAATCTTAAAGATCAGGAAAGTCAATTTTGATACAGACTGGCCTCTTGTATGAATGTTAATGGCTTTAGATGCCATTGCTCGCAAATTTGCTCTAGCTAAAAGAGGGGTTCTCGTTTGCTAAAAGACTTCATGAATTCATCTCTTTGCAACCTTAAAGCTAATGCAGCATCCTCATCTTGGCTTGGTGTTCTCATGCTTGCATCCGTGCTTAAACGTGAAAGATCCTCTCCCTGCAGCCTTAAAGCCAATGCTGCATCCTCATCTCGGCTCATCACCCGTCTTCTCCTCACACAGTCACACTTGCATCTCTGGTAGGTAGACAATCCGAGGTCTAATACTTCGAGTCCTTCTGGTACTAGGACTTCCACTCTCTGGTCTTTGACACTCAACTTCCCGGCTATTTAAGGATCCAGAAGACTTCCTTGCTTCAACTTCTTTGGGAAACAAAAGCTGTAACCGTGTCCACATTGCAAGATCTTCCATTGCCTCATATTGAAACAGGAACTATACAAGTGCAAAAGTTCATAAAATGACGTTAATCAATCAGTTAATTTATAGCTGGGGCCTGGAACAGAAACTACAATCAAAGAGAAAAGGGTTTCACCAAAGTGGCAATCAATTAAGAGGCTACTACAGATTTTGGTTTTGTTGAATTAAATATGAAATTGGCTTTTGTACTTGTGTCCAAAAGGAGTGGTACTTGGTTGTCTTTAATCAATCAAAGCTGAATATGTTAATCACATAGTCAAAATCTGAAGATTCATACAGCATAAGAAAGCTCTTCTGACTTCTCTAAGTCATCCATTGTGATGAATTCTTATGCTAGTAATAGTGATGATATGCAGTTGAAGGCCTTGGTGATGCAATTGCAGATTGACAGGGACCTGACAAGAGCGAGCATTATCAAGACAGTGAAAGATAAGGGCTGCAACCAGGAGTTAGAAGCTGAGCTGATAAAAATAGAAATGAAGTTGAGGAAGGAAGAAGATGAGCCGAGAGTTCTTAAATCAACAGCTGAGTTGGGAGCTAAAATAAAGCCAGTAGATGGAGTAAATAATGTGATGATATTAGCTGGCCAAAGCACTAACAGGCAGCAAAGAATATGATTAATGCAGCTCATAACATAACATAACAGGACTCCTTCTCTAAGCCCTACGTTTCCTTAAAAACAAAACCATGAAGAAATAAATCAAAAAGCAAATAAAAAGAAAACAAATAAAGGGTCTTCCAATTTTGCGATTATTAGTTACCTTCTTAAAGTGGTGGATGGTGGAATCTTGAATATCAAATCAGAGCATTTCTTTTGTTTAGATTGTCGATCAGGGGTGTCTCCGACGACGAGATGAGCAATGATCAGAGCTTCCTCGTCCCAACCAGCCATCGCAGCCACGGATTTAAATCTGGGACTAAACAATGAATCGATATTTTGGCTATTTTCAATTTAATCTTGTGAGGTTTGTTTTGGTACTTCTTTTGCCATTTTCTTGGATTTTCTTTCTTTCCCGGTTTATTCATAAGGAAAAGAAAAACGCTTTCATTCCTAACGGCCAAATTTTTTGAATTTCGTTTGAGCCGTCGGCTATTGCAACGGCTATAATTCCGAGCCTTAATGGATTTTGTCATAGAAAAAGTCCATCCAAAAAAAGAATGATAAATTCATAAATTCAAATCATATAAAGAAAATAAAAGAAAAAACAAGTCATTATAGTACTCTATGCCTTCTCTTGCTCTTTCTACTCTAAACTAGGCCCTGTCGCTTGCAGATCATTTGCATTCTGCCATGGTAGAAAGGAAGTTCCTGGGTTGGCAAAGTTTTGCAGAACCCTGTCTCTTAGCCCAGTGTCCGTGACCTCACAGAAACGGCTTGACCAGTCCACAGGTTCGACAGCTCTTGTCCCCAGCCCAGGGGCTCGATCTTTGGACCCTACATTTTGCTCATCTTGCCAATCAGCCACATATGTAGCCACTCTCCTATAGAACTTCTCCTTGAACACTTCCCAAACTTGGTACTTGTAGTGATTCACAACCATCATTGTTTTATCTACATCCACGAATCTAAAACCATCCCTCAAATGGAAATGATGTACCACATTGATTAATGTAGAATTCAATGCCTCTGGTCGAACTATACTCTTGTGCCTCTCTGGTGCCGCCATCCGACATGTGTACCCAACCATCACACCTCGCTGTGGCACATGTTTGAGCCCCGATGGTCCAAAACTATGACATGAGACTCGCATTTCACCAATAGGGATGTTCCCAGATTCAGTATCGAAACTAGTTGTGATTGAGCTTAAATTTCTAATCACATCATGTAACATTAACCCTGTTGGCAAGTGAAAAAACTCATCTACATCAATAAATCCAACCCAATCACAAGAATCCCTAGCTCTCAAGGCACAATGTGCAAATCCTCCTTCTTGGGTCTTAATCCAAGGCCAGATGTGCCGAGAAATATTATAATTAGCATCCATTAATGACTCGATAACACTATCTGTGTCATCCTCACTATTGTTATCATAAATGTACCAACGTTGTATCCCAATTTGGGCATGGTACATGACCCATTCCTTCAAAAACCTTGCTTGATTACGTGCCATGGTGCAAATGCAAATTTCATGTGGTTTTCGGGTGGGTCCCGGGTCATGACCCGAATCCGCTAAGTGCCCCAGTCGGGCTACGGAAGGTAATATTCCATTGCCCTTTATCCTAACCGAAGCCTTAACAGAACTATTGACTTTTCGTTGATTGTTCAAAACACTTAAAGGAGTTTTGCACCGTACGATCTCTTGAGCAATTGATAAAACCTCTGATCTTAACAATAGTTCCAACCTCGTAAAATCCCAGCCGTACACACACTCATATCTGGATGCATTGGAAACTCTTTCTGGCCGTAGATTAAGCCCCCTGACAAAAACAACTGTAGTATTATCATTATCAATCAAAGCCTCGTAAGCCAGTGAGTCCCACTGATGAGTGGGCCCAGGTGGTAAGACCCCATTTGATTTTGAACCGACGGTTACAATCATCCCACGTGGACAACTGGGACATCGTACGATCTGCTCACCGAGCTTCTCGGTATCAACACGAGCTGGCGGCTGCTTAAACCGAGGCTTGGTTGGGTTATCATGAGCCGAGAGATAAATGCAAACGAGTTCGTCTTTGGTAAATAAACGAGCCGATGGAGGGTATTTTAGGAAAAGTATCACTTGATCAGGGAGCAAAACGGTTTCACGAATTGAGAGTACCGGAGGTACCCGAGTTTCGTTGGAGACGGCGGCGTTTACGGTTGAAATTCGGCGCGTAAGGGCCAACACAGGATGGAACGTTTCTGTTTAAAAAAATCATTTAAACAGGATTAACAATAAAAATACGAAATTAAAAGCTAACAAAAAGCATAAAAAAATTATTAAATTACCTCCAAAAAGAAGGTGAAAGGTGGAGAAGGAGAAGCCAGTGAAGAGAACGAAAGAAAAGACGACGGTAGTGAACCAGAAGAACATGCTCCAGGAAACGACGTCGTGCCTCCTACGATCCCTCATCGATGTTGCGCTCTCTTCCAGACCAATGAAAAACAACCGAAGATCTTCTCATTCATCTGAGTCTTTAAATCCAAAAATTTTCTTTCTGTTTGTTTGGATTTTCTTAGAAGTGCTTGAAAACTGAAAGGAAATAAAACGCAGAGGAAAAGACAGAAGGAGAGAGAAAATTTGGGGAAGAAAGAGAGGCTGAAATCAAAATTACCTTGGCTGTTTCGACCGTTCGTGTCGGTTTATATTCGGTCGTTATTTGTTCTTCCGTTTTTTCGGTGATGATCTTCTGTGTTTCACTGTTCTTTTTTTTTTACCGGCTGAGTTCCAATCAGGTTCTGCCACTTCATCATCTTATGGTAAAAAGGGTATTTTAATTACTAATTTTAACGTGCGCTTTTGATACGAAGGAACACGCCTGTTAAAGGATGATTTATTCGTTCAGAAGATTGTCTAAGTTTTGAGAAAATTTTAATAAAAAATTAAAATTTATTAAATAAATTTGATCATAATTTTTTAAATTTATTTAAAAATTAAATCGAATTTTTTAAAAAATTAAAGTTTAAACTCAATCAATTTAGTTAAAATAAAATATAAAATTAAAATATAAAATTAAAATATTATAATTATGTGAGTATATATATATTTAAATTTTTATTTTTATATTTTAATTTTAAAATAAAATTTGAAAAATTTATATTCAAACTTAGATTCAATCCGACCTATAAACACTTCTATGAAAGAATAATAATAGAGTTTTTACTGACTAATTTGTTGTAAACTTGGTAATTTTATAACCCCATATTGTCCTCTCAAATTCATTCCACAAACAACAAATCTTTCTTCATAATATATATATATATATATATATATATATATATGGGCTCCAATATGATGTATGACATGATATTTCAATATTTTCATCAGCTGAGCAAGGAAAAGAAAATTTCATAGGCATCTTTGCTTTTCTAAAGTAATTTCTTTCTTGTTCTCATTTCATGGTTAGGTGTCATTGACAACTTGAGAGTAGTATATTTTAAGCAGTTGTCATTTTGGTAGGATTTTTCTTGCAGGATGCTTGATGTTGTTTTAAGTGCATTGGCAATTATATCACCAGCTAATCATCTTTGTTCTTGACTTGTTCCACCATAGATTATGTCATAGATTAGGACTCCTCCTCCAATACTTTCAAAATTTTCAGTCATGAAAATAATATATATATATATATATATATATGTAGTATAATGTGGAACATGTCAATGTTCTGTTCAAGTTAATTTAATAGTTGAAGTAAAGATCTATAATTAAATGTGGCCTTTGCTAAAAATTGTAGATTAAGATCCAAGAGGATTAGTTCAATTAGTAAGAGGAGATTTTAGTTTTTGTCGATCAAGATTCGATTTTTTTGAGAAATATTTTGAAAATAAAATTTTAAATGCATCAAATAGATGAAGAATAATATTATATATTTAAAATTGCCTTGGAAAGAATTAGGTCTCGCAAAACTTGGGATACCCATGATCTTATTATAAAAACATAATAATTATTGGAATAGTCTGGAGCCTATTTACATTGGAATGAACTGGATAAACCTGATAAAATTATAGCTGCAAAATGTTTGCTAACTAGTATTAAAAGGTGAAGCTTTGTCATCCAGAGCAATCTTGTTAGGAAATTCTAGCTTTTTGTTTCTCGAATTCCAACAAGGCCAGCATTGATCCTAATTATTGTGCATTATAGGGAATATTCATCACTTTGTATATGCATGAACCACAAGATATGACTGTATTACGAGGCTAACCATCTTCAATGGAGAAAATTGTGGAAGTTTTAATGAATATTGTGACCCTGTCTGCTCCTTTTCTACTTTCATTCCTGAATTATTTTCAGCTGCATGTTTAAACTTTTATATATAGGGAATCATTGATGGCAAGATCAAAGAGCTGAACCGGAGAAACCTGATTTATTACAGGAAATAATTAGCTCATTGATGTCAAGTCCTTGATTTCTTCGAATATATGCCCATTTTTTTTTATAGCTTTCAAGTTTCTTGTGTAAAACGTCAGATTGGAAAGTTGTTTCAAGTCAAAAAAGAACAAAGAAAAGCTGTATATGATTGCTACAGAAGAACCATTGAAGTGATGTTTTTATTAAAAACAAATAAAAATGAGACACCAGTGAGTTTTTTTTTTTTTTTTTTCAGTTCTGTTGTTTTCAATTCTCAAGTGTATAAACATTGACTGCTAAGTTAATCATTTTTGCATACATTGATTCGTTTGTCAAGGTACAAAACTCAAGTGGATCCATGGTAGGAATTTCGGGGCACTTACAAAGGAGAAAGTTTACCTCTAACGACAAAACTGGCCAGCTTCTTTTGGGGCCAAGGAATCCTATCAAATGTTTTAAATTTTCTTTGGTTTTTATATAAATCAAAACCAATGAGAAAGACTTTAGCTGCAGGAGTGACATTTGTGAACAACCAATTTTAAATTGCTTTTTCCATTCAAGCATGAATCTCTCTTCTTGTACAACATCTTGCCTTTGTTTTTTAATGTCTGGATGAGCTGGCTTTAGCATCTTTATGTTGGACTGCAAGTTCCTTTTAAGCACCCTTTGGATTTCAATTCTTGAACTTTAAAGAGGTCACTGGCTTTTGCTTGTCTAAGTTTCCAAAATGGGAAGACAACCTTGTTGTGATAAGGTTGGATTAAAGTGCGGTCCATGGACAATTGAGGAAGATCATAAGCTGATGAACTTCATACTGAACAATGGTATTCATTGCTGGCGAACGGTTCCCAAGCTTGCAGGTAATTGTTCTCACCAGGCACATGAACTTGTGACTATGTTAAGATGGTATGGCTTAAAAATGTTGGCATTTCATATGGTGATGCAGGTCTGTTAAGATGTGGAAAAAGTTGCAGATTAAGATGGATAAATTATCTAAGACCAGACCTTAAGAGAGGGGATTTTACAGAATCAGAAGAGGATCAGATTATTCAACTTCATTCGCGTCTCGGAAACAGGTAAACATAACTGTCTTCCAATTGCAATACTAGGTTAGTGACTAGAATGATCAGTTTATATTGCTAGTTAATTAATACTTCTAACACAAGAAAAAAATTTCTAGGTGGTCCAAGATTGCTTCACATTTTCCTGGTCGTACAGATAATGAAATCAAGAATCATTGGAATACTCGAATCAAGAAGAAGTTAAAGCTCCTTGGTCTAGACCCTGTGACACACAAACCTATTGAGAAGGCAGAGAAAACTGACGGTAAAAATAAGATGACTTCTGACTCTAATTCGTCTAATAAACAAGAAGCAAGCTTAGTGTCAAAGTCAGAGGATGATCATGGCATGACAGTTTCCCCAAGAAGAGATGAGAAACTAGAAGAAATTCAAGTAACTTTGGATGAAACAAATGATCTATTGAACAGCTATCAAATGTTGTGTGGAAGCTTTGATTTAGACTCATGGTTGAAGCAAGATACAAATACTTCCTCTTACACATCTTCATTCTCAATGGAAGAATCCAACAATCCTTCAATGGGTGAAACCGCCTCTATTCAAGAAAAGTCTCTAAAGCAATGGGTTGATAGTGTGGATTCATTTCTCTCATGGGATAGCTTTATTCATCTGGAAGAAAATTCTTTTTTCCTTGGGAAATAGGTCATTGAACAAAACTTCTTCCATGCCCAGGTTTCTTTAGAATCCTATCATTTTGGCAATAAAAAAGTTCAGAAAAGGTGTTTCAGATTGATGATATCTGCTATATCAAAACTGCAACTTCCTCTCCACTTCAACTCTTTTACCTTTTTACTTTGAAATTGTACTTATTAAAAAGGTATCTTTTTAAAATTAAATTATCTGGGGATTGATCATTGTATGTCTTGTTTATACTTTGTAGCAATTGACCAGAGAGCCATTAAAGCATGATCCACTGCCTTGCCCTTGATAAGTGTAATTGTAAATTTCTCTGTAGTGTCACACATCATTATGAAAGTGTCCAAGGTTTACTTCATTTGTTGCCTTTAAAACAACATATGGTCTTTTATTTAACTTGACATTACGGGCAAAAAGAGGAAAATGGAGAAAAAAGAAAGCTTTCTGCAATATAATGCATGAGCACTCTCATTTCTTTATCATTTAACTTTTTTGGCCTGCATCTGTAATGCACTTGAGGAAACAGCTTAGCTTATTTCTTTAGTTTATTTCAATTGTTGGGGATAGAGATAGCCTGATTAATTAGGTCATGCTAAGCACTTAAACTGATGCAAGCATCTGTATGTCATTCCAGGGAAAGGAATCTCAACATGGAACTCAATAATCAAACCCTGGTAAGTATGCATTTCGGGAATTGTGAATGTACTGGCTTTTAAGCCGATCAATGGTCTGATTGAAGAGAGACAATGCCCCAACGCATAAACATACTCTAAATTGTTGAACACCTTCTGTTGCAGTAACCAACCTTTCTATACCATATAGTTGTTCAGAAATATAGAGATTTATTACACCAATTTTACATATTCATCAGAACTTGGCTTGTAACTTGTAGGTTAAGTAATTTCAACTTCAGCTTCTTTTCTATTTCTTACAAAATTTGAGTTGCAGACAATGATAAACCAGTACAATATTGTATCATGCATTAATTCGTATGATTACCAAATACGTACGTAGATGAATCTATTACGTATGATTGGTCGTAGCATTTCTGATAGTCCTCAGTAACTTCTTGAAAATGATCAATCTGATAAATTGACAGTCAGGAAAACCAACCTCGGCAGCAGAAAAAGAAGAAAAAAAGGGAAAGAAAAAGACATAAAAATACAAAAGTTCATAAACATACAGTTAACTGTTGATTAATAGGGTATGAATTGACTCCAAAACTAATTACAATGACATATTTGACTAAATGAACAAAGGGATGAATTTAGACCAGTCAACCAATCGGAAACAAGATTCCTGGAACAACACTTGATCCTTGCTTAACCAAGCTGATTAGTATTATTTTCATAAGATATAGAAATCTGCTGAAGTATAAATTTAAGAACTCAAACTCTCTGCAAGTTGGTTTCTGCTTTAGTAAGTTATTGACATTTGATGATTTTTTGAACAAAGTTGACCGGTCTGAAGATAAATAAGATATAGTGTTATAACATGAACACGATTTAAAATTTTAATAATAATTATATATAAATTTTATAAAAAAAAATATTTTATATTTTTTTATTAATACGAATTATGACATGTAATTTTTCGTATAAAACATATCACGAATACAAAATTTTGAATAATTTATATGACACAAATACATGAGTTTCTGGATTTAAGTTTAGATGCTAAAATTTAAATTTTAGATTTTTTAAATGTTAATTTTTGATAATTATATGAATCAATTGAATTAAATACTGAATTCATTTGATGATTTCTTTTAAGCTTCAAGAAACAAAACCAAAAATTGAACTAAACCATGTCATTAGACTTACTCTTAAATTTATTGTCTCAATAGCCCCCTTTCACTGGAAAAGCAGTGTACACGTTACCAACCCACCAAAGATACCTTAACTTCCAATGATAAGAGATGATTTATCCTTTTAAAAAACATGTTTTACAATTATTTTTCTAGTCAAATATGATAGGCTTAGAAAGTTAAGAAGCTCCCAGACAACTTACATGATCAAATTAAATCCCAAAAGATCAGACATCCATTTGGCATTAACCAATGTAGGCCCATCATCAACGTACGAATCTAATTAATCGTCACTGCTGTCATCATTGATTTGTTAATAAAAAAATTAAGAATGGGTTCCTTGCTTTAATTTTGTTTTTTGGCAATATGATTACAGTTTTTTTTTTTTTTTTAATTAGAAAGTAAAGGAGGTTATCTTAATTTGAAAATCAAGATAAATCGTAAATTTATAAAAAAATTGATAGATTTTTTGAGATTTTTTAACTTACAAATAATTTATTAATAAAGAATAGTAAAAGTTTGAATTTGGATACTTAATATTTAAATTTTAAATTTTAATCACTTTTAATTAGATCTGATAATTTATATTATCGTATCGTTAAAAATATTTATTTGTATAATATTTTAAATAAAAATTACGTATCATAATTTATGTTGATACGAAAACATAACATATAATTTTTTAATTTTATTAAATTTATTTATGATTTTTTAAAAATTTTAAGTAATATTATTTTTATTTTTTATTTATATTATTTTCGTATCGTATTTTAAATTATTATGCCTAATGTTAATCCCTATTAACAATTAAAGTAATTTCATATTTTGTTCGAGTTGGCTATATGATGAATCAAAATTTTAATTTTGAAATTTTTTAACAAAAAATTTAATCTTATCATCCTGTTAAGTGGACGGATCATTGTTTTGTTTAAAAAAATTATTATTTATTATTCATATAATTGTTACTTAGGCTCTTAATCTCCCACAAATCCTTTTTGATAGGAATCGCCCACAAGAATTGAACAATAGGCCAAGTGGTGTAATTCTTTAATTATATTAATATTATTTTAAGATTGTTTTCTTTATCATAACTTGTAGAAATGAATAAATATCATTTCCAATATTTCTTTTTTTTTTTCAATTTAGACTTCATATGCAAATTTTAAAATATTTTAGTCACGATTACCTTGGCCGGCACGCAAGAAATTATAATTATGGAATTATCTCTTTATTTATTTATTTATAATAAAACAAACGTCAAAAGTTGAACAATATCCAAATGCCCCAACATTGTTCTTGAACAAGCTTAATAGGGCCTTGTCCCAGCCAGGTGTAGGAAATTGTCTGGCCCAAAATTGTTCTTGAGCAATCTTTTGGTGTAACTGAGGTGATGAACAGAGTTTGGGATGTCACAAACATTGATGAAAAACCAAAAAAAAAAAAAAAAAAGGAAATTACCAAGAAGAATATGCAGAATCTTACACTCAAAAAGCAAATAAAATTACTACAATTGCACTAGTTGGCCCTGGTCCCCTGTTGAATCATGAGAGTTACAATAACTCTATAACTTGTATTGTTTTGAGATTCACTTCCGACAACAAAATCCATCACCTCCAATTATTAAACATAATTATATATATTAATTGAAAACATTAACATTAATTTATTACACATTTATATCATTAAGTAGTATATATTTATGTTTAGCTCGTCCTGCCTAGACCATTAGATTACAACTTAAAAGAGTTCATCTTTCCTTCCATGATTCCTGGAATTGTCTTTGCATGTATAGTCATTGCTAGACCATATTACAATGTTTGTTGCTTACATACATTCTTCAAGGATTTTCCTCATATACATTTCCATTCTTATTATGATTTTCAGACATTATAGTAATATATAATATATACGGTTCGATTTTGATATACTGATAGTGAATTTTTTTAATTTCACAAATAAATTAAAAGATTATCATGTGTTTCATTTTTAAAATTTTTTGTGTTATAATCTATGGGATATGTGTCACCTTGTTGATTCTATTTGTAGAGTCTAAAAACTATATTATTAATGTATGTGATAATTTGTCATACATATATATATGGTAAAATGTTAAGGACCATCAAATTTCTTCATCTTTAATTTTGTGGTTGAACATTAATATCTAATTAATATTGTAGAAAATTCATATACAACTGTGAAAACTCAAGTTATTATAAATGCCAAGAAGCAGCCTTGCAAGTTGCACAAAAACATGCATGGCAACTACATGCATCATGTGAGGAAATCCTGAGTATTATATATTGCAACTAAGAATAAAAGAAACTAAAAAGAATTGATGTCAGGTTAAATATCTTGCTTTGTCTTGCCCATGCTTAAACATTTCATAAGGTATAATCACTTTGTTTGTCATCAATATATAAAATCTATTTCTTTTGTTAGTGAGGATGTCCAACTGATCAATTCAAACACCAATGTACATATACATACATATATATATATATATATATATGCGAATGAATTCACTTTACACTAGCGTAATTTTTATATTTTTTATCTTTATAATTAGATCAAAATTATTAAATTAAAAAAATTATTTTGATTCAAATGAGTTATGGTGGTAAAATTAAAATATTATTACTAAATATTATATATATATATGTATATAACACTGAATGAGGGGTGGTGCATTTGCATGGCATGGTGGTGAAACTTTGCAGGAAACATTCCTTTTAATCTCCATTAAGAAAAGTAATTTTAGGTTAAGTTTTATTCCATTTCTGTAGGTTTTCTTTGGAGGTATATATAAGATTCCTATAAATTTATTTAAAATGTGTGAAAAGGAAATAGAAAAAAACTTAGTTAATTATCTAGAGGGAATTAAAGCATAAACTGAGAAATATGCAATTCAATTTTCTTGGAAAATCAAGCAGATGTTTCTTTCCTAGAAATGTATTAATTGCAAATAGTCAATCATTTTTTATTCTTTTGCATTTTATTCTTGCAAAACTTTCCGTAAACTTATAGAGTCATTTGTTTTTTAATGATACTCTTAAAGATAATCAATAAAAGGTTGGCTCAATTGATAGGATGACTCTTCTCGACTGAGCATGATCTATTGTTCTTTAGACTGTTATGTACAATATATTTTATCTTATGAGAGGTGAAATAACCTTTCTACTCTAGGATATTTTCTTACAAAAAAAAAAATTTTGAAGATATATATATATATATATATATATCATTAACTTTCGAAAACCTTCACTCAACATTGCAGCATTAAATTTGGGATTAGTAATTGATTAAACAACATTGCCAATAACCTACAACAAGAAAGAAAATGCACGAAAGAAAGTTAATGGATAACAACAAAAATCCATTTACTCCTGTTGATCAGTACTTTCACCCCAATTCTTAATAGCTTGCAACACTGCTTGTTTCACCACTTGTGCATCAATAGATTCACTTTGTTCTTCATTCTGCAAAAAAACAAAACATTTCATTGTAATTATGATGCAAACCATATTTTTCCGTTAACAAAATTATAATTAGATAACTCAAGAATAATGAATCATATGAAAGATATAAGAGAAGATATATTACGTCTCCTCCAACTGCTTGTAATCGAAAACTGTCAGTGCAAGAAACCCTAGCTTCAAGAACATTAAGACCCAATTCCTCAAAGGCTTCCAATATAGAAACAAGTAGACCAGGGCAGCTCTTTTCTGAAAATACATTGATCAGAAAACCCTTCTCTAGGGTTTCTACTGTAACCTGCTATAAAATACATAGGGAAAATTAGTGCTCATGTACTAGGTTTTTACCATGTTGAAAGAGAGAAACGTACAGTTTTGAACTTGAAACAACAAAGGAAGAACAATACAAAAATGCATGATTTAATGAGGAAATTGAACAAGTTAACAAGTACAAAATATAAAAAAGAATTAATAAATGTAAATATCAGAGGTTGGAATAAATTACCATAGGCAATGGATTTTGATCATTTGAAGTTTGTGCAGCTGATATATCTTGATTCAGTCTTTCTACTTTCTGTTTTAGCTCTTCAATATACTTTGATGCATCTACTATGATTGATGTTTTGTTCAGCTGCCATAAGTTTACAATTAAAATGGGGTTAGCACAAAGTTGCTCTTGCTTTATTTTCCTTTTCTCTTTTAATTCATTTCCATTAATTTCCTCAGAGACACACGAGCAACATAGATTTAATAAGAAGGTTATATATATATATATATATATATATATTTATTTATTCAATGAGAGTCTATAGGAGGAAACCCTTGTAGCTTAAATACGTATAGTTTCCATCAGATACCAAATATATCTATCTATCTATCTATCTATCTAAAAGTAACCATTAAAATTCCGAAACTTCAAAGGCTAAAATCTTTCTCCTTTCCTATTCCTTTGATTCGAAAAATTAACTTGAGCATTGAATATCTTTGACAGGAAGCTGGAAACAGTGAATATAGATTATGATAAGGCAGCAACAAATGAATAATTGGCAAGAGGTAGACCCCAGAAAGAAAGAAAAAAATAGAAACAGTGACACAAAGAATTATTAAAACCAACAGTATAGCTATAGTACTGAAGAAAAGATGAACAAAGACTGAATTTGTTGAATAATATAAAAGAAAGAAAGCCAATGAAAGCAATTAGGGGCTCAGAAAAAACGTAGATAGATAGGAAATTTACAGCATGAGAGTTAGTAATGGAACGAAGAAGTTGCAGCTTCTCATGCAGTGCTGCTCTCTTGTGCTCCCTAGAAACCATATTCTTTTCGTGTATGGTTATGCAAATTTTCTCTTTATATCTTTGAGCTTTTCTCTCTTTTTATTGTCCCCTCTCCTCCTCTATTTCACTTGGTTTTCAACTCTCTGCAATGCTCTGAAAGGCTGTTTAAAAGAGAGGGGGACGAGCTCTCAAATCTATAGGATCCTCCTGTTTGCTTCCCACATGACTGCGTCATTTTCTTCCCACCACAATATAATATAGATTGCATCTCAATTTACCAGATTGCCCCTCGTAATTGTTAATATTTTTTTTCAATGAATATATATTATTGCATTTTATGTGATATACAATCCTACCACCAAGAATTTAGCTGATCAATTTCAAGCATGAAATAGATGATCATTGATGAACAATCATGTGTATGTGCTCATTAATATGCACCATACAAATTTAATTTAATATCTTCTTTCTTTCATTTCAATGGCAAAATAATACTGGCCTCATAGTTTTTTTTATAATTGTGTATGTGTGACATTTCAATCTCATATTAAAATATTTTAAAAATATGTTATTATACATAAGTAGAGGTTTAAATTCAAAATTTATAATACATCTTTTATAGGATAAAATTGTAAGACTTTCTTATTAAAGAGAATAATATCTCGCAGGTTAAATGTAAATTTTCATAAATAGTATCAGAATTAAGTTATCAGTTGGATAAGAGTTAAGTACTATACTATGAAAGGCAACCACATTTAGAATCTCAACATTTGATTAGATTTTGATTTTATGTGTATTTTGTGTTAAACTTGACAAAGATATCAAGTTTTAATGAAAGAATTTGTGACATTTTAATTTTATATCCAAATAATACCTCACAAATTAAATGTGAATATTCACAAATGATACGATCATGTGATTTTAGTTCTCAAACTCAATTATAAGAAAAGAAAAAAAAATTTAAAAGGGTATTTGGGGAAAATAAAAATGGGGATGGCATAAGGTAACAAATAAGGAGGGGAATGAGGGAATCATGAGCTCGTGATGGAGAGGAGTGAAAAATGGGCATCGAAAGAAGTGAAGAAGCAACAAAAGGATGGATGTTTAGTTTGTGTTATTGGAATGCCTCCAAAAACACTCCTCACGGGGGCCTTTTTAGACTCCTCCCCCTCTCCTTCTCCTCTCTGTCATCACCAGCTAGCCGTCACCTTTTTGTCTTCTCTCCCTCTCTCTCCACACGTGCCTTTCTCTACCCTTATTTCTCCTAATTAATCACTGTATATTTTCCCAACTTCTCATCAATATGAGAAATTTGGCAACTAATTGATCATGCACACAATTCTTGGAAATTGAATCCATGATCATTAACTTGCTCATGTAATTCATAGTAAGTTGGTGAAAAACCATTAATGGCAAAATCTTTGACTTGGTTTGATATACGTTATTTCCATGATAGCTATTGACTGATGTTCAATGTTACTTGCATATTATAAAATATATTAGCATGCAAAAAGTTCTCTTAATTTTGTCAATGGTTTATACTGAAAATCATGTATGAAATGTGATATTCCAAAGTTAGAAGGATTGAGAAGCTAAGCACTTATATGATATATCCAAAAGAACTCCTCATTATAAACCCCATTTTTACTCTTTAACATTAATATCTCCGGTAGGCCCAATAGCATATAAACAAATTAGACAACAATTTTTGTCAAGGATGTTAAGAACACCCCTTTCACTTTGGCATATGATCTCTCTATGCCTGGGAGGATATAGAAAATCTAAGCTAGCCTTCTATAAATGATAAAACCCCACATATCTATGGATCATATGAATCTATGCATCGGGAAGAGAAGAACTCGAAGCAAGAATTTCTGATCAATCGCTGGCCATTGTCCAATGAACTTGTCACGAGATGTTATGTATCATTCTATCACATAAACATGAGAGAGTTTTGTTTTTTTATCTTCTTCATATGCAAGCTATATCTAGTTTGGATCAATTGGCTCCTTGTAATTCCAGCATTGTCTCCATTCAACACAGCCAAATCATGTACCCACCTATTCACATGTGTGCCCTTTAATCATTACAACAAAACAATACTCTCCATACATATACCTGTGCCAACCTTTGTCTCTTGCCTTCCATGAAATGTTGCTCTTCAACCTCTCCTACATCAGTTTTCAGATTTTACCATTTCTTTTTTGTTTTTTTAACTTTCTATACTTGATCCCCATTTTTTCTCTTCAATCACAGTTGTAGATTTTTTTAAAAAAATTTTGGAGGAGAGAAACTCAAATGTGCTCCTTAAGTGCAAAATACATGCATAGTTATATTTATCATTGAACCAAATACTCGAATGTTTTTATATAGATTTGATTTCTTTTCAAACACAGAATTGTGCGGTTTAATTTTTTTTTTCTTTCTTCTCTTTCCTATTTTATTTTCTCATTTACATTCTGTTTGGTAAGAAGGAAAGAAAGAGAAAAACAAAAACAAAAAGTTTAAATATAATGATTGAGCTATAAGACAACATGTATTGCTATTTTATAACTTAACTGTTAAATTAAAATATTTTCCTTCCTTTCCTCATACTTTCCTTCCTACCAAATGGTTAAGGTTTTTTTTTTTTTTGCATTATATATTTCTGATGAAAAATATATATCCACCACAGTTAGAAATTAATGTGGGTTGAATGGGATGAATAATGCTTTATTATTTGATAATACTCATATCCCTTCAACACTTTTTTGTTGAATGAGTGTGACAGAATTGCTTATAAGTGGTATGAAACAAAAGAAAAAGTGAGAAAAAATACAAATAAAAAACAGAAGGAATTGTGTCTTCACACTCCTGGAAGCTTATCAATTTCTTCTTATATACAGTTGATCCCTTTCCTATCTAGCTAGCTCATGTCAATCAAATTAATGTACTCATCCCCACCTCTAACAAGATTAGGGTTTTAACGACATAGTTCATTTGCAAATGTGTAATAATTCTTTGATGCTTGAACTACTAATAATAAACCCTAGCTATAAATTACTTGTAAGGTTTTGATCGGCCGACTAAAATTTTTTTGTATTAAAAAATAATTTAAATCAATGTCAAGGAAATTGTACTTATCTAATGAATGATCATATAAGGAATTAAGATTCAATTTCCGTGAGACGAACATTTTGAAAATAAAATTTTGAATGTATCAAATTGATATACGAGTGCATGACCTTAAACAAAAGTTCGAAAAGTATTATTTGACCAAAGCTTTTGTTTCTCTCTACTCACTTTGGAATCAATGCATATTCTTGAAAAGGTGAAGCCCTTGATTTTGAACATGGTTGGACTAGTCATATGACTGATGAGGGAGGGAGATTTGTTAGTTGCAAAAAGGTTGGAGATTGAGAAGATTCTTTTTTGGATTTGATTGTTGCTGTTCACAAGATTCATAAAACAGAGTACGTGAAGAAAATTACATGCTGTTATTGTAAACCTGATAATGACATGCTAAACCCTAATTAAAGCACATATATATGCATGTATATATAAAAAGTGATTGAGAATTATTTGCTCATCTGAATTCATATCATGTGACAAAAAAAAAAACAAAGTGAAAAACAAAAGAAATTTCCAAAAAAGGATTCTATTTTATATAAGCCAAGTAATCGTAATACTGAATTCAGAAATGTTTCCCGTGACATTCCCTCCATTTTTTAGAAAGCTAAGCCCAAGACACATCTCCTAAGTAAAAAGCTTCAACATTCAAGAATTACTTGTTTCAAAAACTCGATTTAATCCGAATCACTTGTCTTTGGAAACGAATCGGATATGCAGGTTAATTACTTATTAATTACTTGAATTCGTCTTAATCTTAGGTTAAACTTGGCCAGAGAGGAACTTATATTATTATGATTATTTTTTTGGCAAATTCTTTTCTTTTTTTTTTTTTCTCATTGTATAAATTATCCTTTTGCAGAGTAGTAATATAGGATTCTTGTGACTTGGTATAGCAAAACTCACGTGAGTTTCACTTCGGGAAAGTACATTCACATGCAAATGTGACAATGGAAACAAAATTTATAAATCTGTAAAGTTAAGTGATAAGTGCTTTTGTTGCGTATGCATGTAGAGAGAGAAAAAAAAATTCATGTACGAAAAAAGAATCTAGAAAGATAACATAGAAAACAAAGACAAGATCAAAGTTTTGTTGGATAAATATGAGCATATAAATTATGGAGATTCACATTTAACTTATAAAATATTATCCGTTTTAATTTAAATATTTCATGATTTCGTTTCATAAAAAAATATTTTATAAATTTAGATTTAAATTTTTACTTATATATCATAAAAAAATTTTAAAACATTTTGATATGAAATTGAATTGTCGCATTAAAATTAAAAGAAACAAAGAAAAAGCCACATGTTTTGGAATTAAACCGGGTTAAAAAAAAAGTAGTTTTCAAGAAGCAAAATTCTTACTTCTAATTACTTTTTTATTTCTCTAAAATAAAAGGGTCGCTTTCATGACTCTTCACTCCTAGAAAATTTCTAATGTCTAATGCCTACAAATTGCTTCGCTGTTATGGTGACGAGAGAGCTATCCATGCAGACAAATTAGCCTTGCACTCTTGACAGCTTTAATAATTTGTCTTTTCCTTTAGAAAAAAATAAAAATCTTTTGCCAAGCAATGGCATATTGTTTTCTTCTCTATTTTTAGTGTTCTTTGTCCATTTTTCTTTGAATATTACAAAACATTTTGTCAAATTAAAAAAAATTCAAATCCCTAGCTAATATCTGACAACGTTTGATGTTTGCTTTTGATGTAAGAACAAAATTGCTAAAAAATAAAACTTGTGTTTCAACTTTCAAGAAGTACTATAGAGATAGTGAGATAATGAAAACTTATCCTCACACTATGTTGTGGACTGATTTTTAATTATTGTCACAATTTGAATTTAATCATTATAATTAAGAGTTCAATATTATATTAACAAATTATGCTATTGATATGATCCGATGGCCTTATATCTTTCTTAGTTGCTTAAAATAGTGAAAAACAGTCAAACAATGAAATTATTAGTGATAACTAAGCAAATCATGCCATTGCCAATGCAATATCATATATTTTGACTAGTGAATCACTTCAATTTTAAAAATATTTAAATTTCGAATCAAACTCAAGTGCTTCGCAAGTATATCTTAACTTATTTGCAACACTATAGTGATACTGTGTGTACCAACATGTTGTAGTACAGTCAGGATTGAATTGAATTGAATTGTGAGAAAATGAGTGGAATTTAGGTCACGGGGAGGAGTCATATCTTGAATGGTTACTTAGGTTCTTTGTGTCCAACATGATATACTTTCAGTTTTCATCACAGTTACAAACGATCAATATATAAAAAGCCAAATCCTTTACTGAAGAATATATGGAGCAAATCAGAAGTTGCTGGGGCAGGCATTTGTCCCTTCTTTCTTCGATTCACGTGTAAATGGAAGGAAGCAAAAAAAAAAAAAGCAGTACTATAGTTATAGGAAGAAACAGCCAAACACATATTATTGAATGGCATAGCCACGGCCGTATACAGGAGCGTCGTTAGGGGACAGGCATGGGCCATGGCCCCCAAAAAATTTTAACGTTGTTATTTAAGGGCGGATGCTTATTAAAGCTAGAGGGGATTTTGGCCCGCTTAAATTTTAAAAATTTTTAATAATACGAGGAAGAGATGGATGGTTATGTAAGTCAAAAGGGACTTTTACTTTGTTTAAAATTTTAAGAACAATCAAATTTGTTAAGAGAATTAAATAATCGATAAGTTTTGTTCATGATGTGAATGTATTATATCCATTTAATTTTGTTAAATTAATTAATAATACTTTGAAATCCGAATGGTATATTTATAAAAAACTAATAAAAGGGTATTGTAAAAATACCTGAAATCCAAATTTTTTTTAATAAACCGAAACTTCTCTTCATATAATATTTTTTTAATTTTATTTTAGATTTTTTATTTAGTTATAATGCAAATTTTTGCAACACAAAAGTTAAATTTGAATAATTTTTTAAAAGGTTAAAAAATTATTAACTTCTAATTTCAAAGTTTTAATTTTACTCTTTGAATGGTTTTTTTTTTTTCATGTTTTGATAAAAAAATATATTATTTAGCAATTGGTTTATTTGTGTTTTTTTAAAATCATTCACAATTTTAAGTAAAATGATCATTTAATGTATTATGTTTCTTTGTACATTTATTTATGAACCGATGAAATTTGTAATTTTGTAAATTATTTTTAGTATATTTTTTATATATATATTTATATTGATAATATATATAGTAGTTTACATATGAAGAAAAAAAATTAAAATTTAGTATACTAATTGATCCCCTCAAAATCAAATGTTAAAATTCGTCACTGTCATTATATATATCAGACTTATTTTTCATAAAACTTATTATTTGACCCTTTTCTTCAATTGAATTTATTATTTGACCTCGCTTCTTCATAGGGATATAAATGATGTATTAATACTTACAAGTTATTTAGGTTCGATTCGAATAAAACTAAAATTCGATTCAATTATTATCGAGTCGAGTTCGAGCTCGAATAATTTAACTTATCGATCGAGTCAAGTTCAAATATTTTTATATCCTACTCGAATAACTCACGAGTCTAATCAAATTTTTATATTTAAATATATTTTTATTATTTTAATTAATAAAATATCTGAAATTTAAGTTCGAACTCGAGCACCAATAATCAAACTTTTATTAAGTATATAAATCAAGTTTATTTTTATATATTAATCGAGTGAACTCGAATAGTTTAATTTCGATCACGAATCAAGTTCGAGCTAAAAAAATAAAAATTCAATCGAATTCGAATCGAGTATCAAGTCGCAAGTTGAGAGTTGAGCTTGAGCTCGAGCTTCTCACTATATCGATTCAATTCGACTCAACTCAATTACACTCGTACTACTTTTTATGTCTGACTTCCTCTTTAACCATAAAATCTATGGTTTCGTTAAGAATTTTCAAACTTATTACGAGCCGCAAAATAGGAGAGGTAGTACCATTTATATAGATGAGATTGAAGAGTTTTTAGCATTTGGACACTTATTTATTTCCTTCAAAATTGGTAACAAAAAGAGGACCTTTTTTGTTGTACACATTAAGGCCATAAGGCAATTAATAATTCTCAACAAAACATAAAAATCTAAGAGATTGTGAGAGTGCAATCAGTGCATAGACTAAAGTAATAATTAATTCTTGTTCCTTCCAAAAACAAGTTTTAACTCTTAACAATTAATTTGAATGATATCTTGGGTTTTTTTTTTTTTTTTTAGTTTCCTTTTCCATTTTAGAAATTAGCTAAGTCAGTTACTAATTAATTGGATACAAGAGTTGTTATACGTGCATACATACATACATACATACATACATATATATATATAGATTTTTTTTTCTTCTCCTAATAAGAGAATTATGTCACACATTGAAGATTTTGTTGATGAAATGTAATTTCAGTTTTATATGTATGTATTCATGTATTGAATTTTTTTTTTTTTGTGCAAAAAATATGTGAATAGATAAGTTACTTAATCTTCAAGTTAAAATAAATTTTATCGTATTCAATAATTTAAAAAAAATGATTGTAAATTATAAATTTAAAATAACCCTAACAAGAAGTTGAAGTCATTGATCTTAAACCTAATACTTTACAAAAAAAAAAAAAAAACTATCCTTAACACAATTAAGCCAGCCTTTTAGTTTACTATTGAACCCTTTAGCTTATGCTATCGTTCCTTGATGATGGGAGGACCGAAGGTGTAGGGCTAGCCAACGGAGTTTGCCCCAATTATTTTAAAGTATTTTATGGCTCACTACTAAGCCCAAACTAATGATGAGATTAGGCCCAATTTGTTTTAAGTGAAGCCCATATTAAGCCCAAACATTCAAAACAAAAAACAAGGGGCCGAACAGGAACTCATTTTCTTGAAAAAAAAAAAAAAAACGCTTTAGAAAATTCAAAGGCTGAGATTTTTTTTTTTTTAAAATGGAAAAACAGAAATCGGTCAATCTTGAGAAATATCCTCTTTTCTTTCTTTTTTTTTTTCCTTAAATCGTAAGACCCCTCGTTTGTTTGGTTTTTTTTTTTTTTTAATTCATTTCTGATCAACACAAGGAAAAAGGGGGGAAATGGGAGATCAATTAGTGAGAGGAGAAGAATTCGAGAACAAAGCAGAGAGAAAGCTAAGCAGCTGGGGCTTGTTTGGCTCGAAATATGAAGACGCCTCCGATCTCTTTGATAAAGCTGCCAATTGCTTCAAGCTCGCCAAATCCTGTACTTCTTTGCAATCTTTTTTCTTTAATGTTGTTTTCTTTTCTTTTTTAATTATTTTCTGTTTGTTTCTGGAGAAAATGCTGGATTAAAATAAAATGGAAGTTTCCAGGTCTTCTGGTTAATTTTGCGATTCAGAAACCGTAATCTCATATTTATAATTCTATCACTTTTAACAAAAGTTTTTTGTTTGTTTGTCGGGAAAATGTTGGACAGAGAAAACTTGCGAAGAAATGAAATATTCGAGATCTTTTGATTAATGTTGCTATTGAGGCGATCAAAATTAGAATTTTTTATCGCGATCAAAGGCTTTTTTCCATTATTTCTTAATTTTCATTGTTGCCGGTTAATTGCGATTGGGTCAAGAATCAATTTAGTTCTTTAAGATCAGATTATTGATTAATTACTTTATAATTCAATAGATATTTGAAATGTGGAGAAATTGGGTTTTTTTTTTTTTTAAAAAAAAAAGCTGTTAGTTTTTACTCTGTTGATATTTTTCTTTTTTCAAGGGGACAAAGCTGGATCAACCTATGTAAAGTTGGCAAATTGTCATTTGAAAGTAAGCACTTCGGCGAAATAGCATTCTGGGTTCTTAGTAATGAACTGTTTTGTAAGATTTAATTTGATTATTATTATTATTATTTTATCTGTAGTTAGAAAGCAAGCATGAAGCTGCTCAAGCTTATGTTGATGCTGCTCATTGCTATAAGAAAACAAATACAAAGGGTAAGTGTGGAGTGCATAGTTTCACTTCATGAAAATCGTTCACAACGTTTTAATGCTTTTACCCGTGACTAAATTGTGTTCCTATACAGAGGCTGTATCTTGCTTGCAGCAGGCAGTGAACATGTTTTGTGATATTGGAAGGCTTAGCATGGCTGCAAGGTATTTTAAGGTATTGTTTCTTCTTTAATATGTGAGTTTAATTTTATAGTGAGCATTTTTTTTTTTTCATTTTCTTTTGTTTGATTGGATTCTTATTGTTTCCTCAGTTTTCATTACCAATGTTGACAGTAGTGTTAAACCTTCTAGGCATTCATTTTTTTCATGGTTCTGTTACCGAATTCCCTCAACATCCACAACCATAACTTTGTAGTTATTCATATACATAGGTGCCTCTGTTATATGCAGGAAATTGCTGAATTATATGAGTCTGAGCAAAACATTGAGCAGGCTATTGATTATTATGAAAAGGCTGCAGATTTCTTCCAAAATGAAGAAGTATCTACTTCTGCCAACCAGTGTAAGCAGAAAGTTGCACAATTTGCTGCTCAGATAGAACAGTAAGCATGCTCACTTCTTGTAGACGTTGCTCTTGCAATGTTTTTTTTGTTGTCTGCTACTATGGATGCTTTGTAATCGTTATTGGTGTATTACATTGCTAACATGGTTGCATGTACACAGCCCCCCATGTAAAATTTGAGAAAAATTTTGATAGCTCTGCTTATGATATTTCTCCAGATACCAGAAAGCCATTGAGATTTATGAAGAGATAGCACGACACTCACTTACCAATAACTTGCTGAAGTATGGAGTTAAAGGGCATCTTCTTAATGCTGGCATTTGTCAGCTCTGCAAAGGTGATGTTGTTGCAATCACCAATGCATTAGAGCGATATCAGGTTGACTTGTTGGCTCCTTTTGCATTGTAACACTTTAACTTTTGGTTATATTAAACTTATATCTGCATTTGCTTTCCTCAGGACCTGGATCCAACTTTTTCCGGAACACGAGAGTATAGATTATTGGCTGTAAGTTATCATAAGAAAACAGTTTATTTCTTTTATTTTTTTAATTTATCTCTATCATTAAAGGAGTTGATGGGGTTCCTTTTATTTCTTTTGGTTTTGCTTAAAGATGCTTAATCAGTGGCTGTTATTTTGCCATTTGTCTTATTTTTCCTTTCTTTTATCCTTCATGTGCATTGCCTGATGATATAACGAGTTACTGCCTTTCCTCCGAATCAAAAAACTTCAAAAAACTTGTTAACTATATTATTCATTTACTATAAATGGTGGTAATTTTTAGAATCTGGTTCTTACCCTTTGAAATACAGATTTTAATGAGCTTATGCTCTCTGTGACAGGACATTGCTTCTGCTATTGATGAGGAAGATGTCACGAAGTTTACAGATGTTCTCAAGGAATTTGATAGCATGACCCCATTGGTACGTCAATCTCCATTACAAATGCCTCTTGGATGAGCTAGTAGAGTGGTCTTTTTACCACTGAAATTACAATTCTAAAGTGTTTGCTGTTTCCACAATATGCATTGCAGGATTCTTGGAAGACTACCCTTTTACTTCGAGTGAAGGAAAAGCTGAAAGCTAAAGAACTGGAGGAAGATGATCTTACCTAAAATAGCTTCATGTCATAATCACCTTGTGTTTCCGGTCTTTTAATGGCGATTGCTTTGTATTATGGTTCTATGTCCAGTTATACGCTTATAATCACTTATAACAATTGGTTTAGGAGATTTTACCTGTTTGGCTTTAAACTTGAGAAACTGTGCTGCTGGTGATTGGGTGAAAATGACATTGTAATTGGAACACTACAGCTTTTTTTCTTCTATGGATTCTTCCAAGTATTTTATTCATTGCGAAAGGAGGTGAAATTTAAATGGAGAAAAGAGTTGAAAATAATTTTATGATCAAGGGATTAATAGTATGATCAAGTTTCGATCTGCAAGATCATGGATTGCCTTTCTGAACATGCTCTTTAGATTTCCAGTTACATTCTATAAAGCATAAACTCTTCACTCAAGGAAACGCTACAAGAAGAAGAACTGGGTCCATAACATAAAATGTATTGGCAATATTGAAATGCATGCCACCCATATTTACAGCAACAGAAACAAATGTAGGTTATGCAGTAGTTTTCAAATAAAACTCAATCAAGTAAACAACCGGAGAACCTTTTGTTCCACAATTGAATTTCTCACCATAAATTTCTATCCAGATTGAGATTCAAGAAGGTGTCATGTTAAAATACAATAGAAATTTTCAGCCTCAATGGTAGGATACATAGTTCTCTCTGACAGATAGAAAGCACAAACAGCTAAACACCTCACCATGATTGATGATATAGAAACCTTATAGATCTAAAATGGTTTTTTCTTTCGCCCACTTGGCAAGATGCGTTTTAGCTCTTGTGAGCCCCTTTTTATTCCCCTGCAACAGAAACGTTGCACATTATAATGGTCTCTGAAAGCTCCATAAGACGATGGCAGTAAAAAAAACAAATGTTCAAAAGATGGCAGTAAAAAACAAGTGTTCAAAAGACTTACCTTTGGTACAAGTAAATGAAAAAGTAGAAAAGTGGCAGCAACATCAAAGTCAGAATGGATATAGAAATGTAAAGTATACTTGTACGCTTCTGCACATATCAAACAGGATGATCAATAACAATATATCCACATAAAGAATGACATATATAAGCTTTTTCTATAACAGAAAGGACATTTATAAATGCTATATTCATATAGCTTTTTCTATAAAAGTATATACAAGCAAACTTTATTGTTAATTGACCATTAATGTGTGTATGAGCATGTGTAAGGAAAGGTTAGAACAATTTAGGATAACAGCGAATTCTACCTTTCGTCCTTTGGAGAAGGGCTTTGGACCTCTGGCACAAGTGTGGGCATCACAGAATTGTCGCAAGAAGAATTCTATTGATTCAGAAATATAAGAAAGCAATATTAAAGGTTGGAAAACATGTAAATGCAGCAAACAAATAGCACTGATGATGGGAAAAAAATAAATACCATGAAGACGGACTGATACAGGACCATTGCTGACCGGAAAACAACTATCAGCAAGACTCTGCACAAAAGTCCCAAAATTATGACATGAAGAATGGTAGAATATATAATTAGCCTAAGAAATTATTCAGAGGGCACCTCACACAGATGTTTATTCCTTGCAGCAGCTGCAGGATTGCACTTAGTCTTGCGGGGTGCAGAATCCATGACAAAGTCACAATGCAAGGCACCACAGAGATCAGCCAGACACCTACCGTGACTCTGTATTCAACACAAGCATGCCATAATTCAAGGAGTTATTATTTTTTAAAAAACATGAAGCAGGCAGTGGACGCTAATCTATCCTATGATAGTCCACATACCACATTCAGAAAATCAAAATGTCTGTTGTCAAAATGCTTATCCAGATACTTCTCTTCATAGAAGCTCTTTCTACAGTACCCACATCGCCATTCATTTATATCTACATGGAGCTTGTGCTGTTCCTGATCTCTGAACAGATCATTGTCAGAGTGAAGCCTACATCCACTTGAAACTTTGTATCTCTCTTTCTCCACAAAGGGCATCAGATACTGCAACAAAGATGAAAGGCTACTGATTTCAATGACATACGGCAAGCAAAATATTTCAGATAATAGCATTTTAAAAGAGCAAACACCACCCATTTAATACCTCCTCAATTATTTTCCATGCTGACCTACTCCTTTCTCTTGAACAATGTACTATATGAGCATCCTCATGCTCTAGCTTAAGCGTTCTAAAAATCAAATTTGCAGTTTCACAAGCACATTAGTTACATATAAAAAGGGAAAAAGAGAAGAAAACATTATAACAATATCTCACAAAAATCAATGCACAACTAAGCTTCATGGTACTAAATCCAGCCATGTGATATTGAACAAAAAGAAATGCTACATTATTCGGGTCATCACAGTTGATAAGTGTCTAATAATTGAAGAAACAACAAGATCAAAGTACAACCCAAGTAACCAAGATCAAAGCTCATAGCATTACCCTGCAGCTGAAGATTCTTTGTGACCCTGTACAAACAAGAAACTCAAAGGGTTCAAATTGAGTGGCAAATCATGGCAAGAATAACAAAACAAATTGAAAGAATAAATGTCATACAAACACCATAGAATGGTTGCACTTACACAACAAGAAATCAAATGATAAAAAGTATCAATGCAGTCCAAAAATTCAAAATTCAATCTTTTTAGTAAAACTGAAATTGAAGACACAAATTATGATTACCCAAATCAAGAAAACCTCACAAAATTTACTCTTTACTTGAATTCAATATTCAGTGAGTTAACCATAAAATTTTCTTCATTTACATCACATTGATCATCATTTTGACGTTGGGTTTTGTTCGAAAGCAATAAATTTGATGAACAAAAGGGCCAAAATTACAAAGAAAGCTGTGATACCTCATTTTCTTGAAAAGGGGAAGTAGAGGAAGAAACTGATGGGATTTGGAGACAGATTGATAAGCAAAGAAACAAGAAAACGACTCGTTTTGACCACTTTCTCATTTCTCGAATTTCAATTTGGAATCTCTTCATTGGATTGAGAACAAAGATTTATTATTATTTTGATTTCGAAATCCGGCAAATTTCTTGGGTGTGGAAGAAGGACTGTCCTCGTGGAAGAAGCAAAACCGCCTCTTCATCCAGCCACTGCTGCCAATTGACAGCTGCCACGTAAAGTCCACCAATTTCGTTGACTTTCTCGCAGGAATGTCTTTATCTACTTTTTTACCAAAACTAGAGGTAAAAAAATAATTGAAAAAATAAAAAATTCATTAAAGGTAAAAGAAAATACAACCGAATCAAGTAATATATTTTTATTAATTTTTATATATATTTTAAACTTATATAAAATAAAAATAAAAATTTAAATTTAAATTTATTTAAATATATAAAATTTTATATTAAAAAAATAAATAAAAATTTTAATTTTAATTTTAAAGATTGATAAATTATATTAAATCAAATTAATAAAATTCAATTTGATTCAAATAATATAAATATTTAATTCAGACTCAAATTTTAAAAATTCAAAATATAATACAAAATCCCAAAAATAGAATAAAATCTAATCCAATTCAAACTTTTATCACCCTATTCAAAACTAATGATCTTTTGTTATTATCTCATTTGTCCTATACATTTCTTGTCACAAAATCATGGAGTAAAGACAATAATATGCTTCGAGGAATTGATTCTGTTTGAGTCTACTATTAATGGTATCCTCCTCTCCTCTTATCAAGCTGTTGACGTTACAGCACCTCATAAGCTGTGAGATCAGATGTTACTATATCCGGGATATGTTCCTGAACCCGGTGTCAAGTACGGAGTTCTCCACCATGGATCAACAAATGCTGGGCTACTTTTCCAGACCCACCTAATCCTTCAACACTTGAACAAACCAATGAGAACTTACTTCAAGGAGACTTGCTCAGCATCGAATATACAAAAACATTAAATGAAGAATTGTGTTTGCATCACAAGAGAAGAAACTGCACTGCCCCTACTGCCTTATTCAATCCAAAATTGGATACGACAAACGATGTCATGTCACAAATTCAAGGAAATTTGGTAGATTGGCTTGGAATGACCATATAAAAAGCAATCCTTTGCCCAGAAATCATTCTCAGGAATCATCTCTACCTAAAGCTACAGATGGTCTCTTCAGTACTTTAAGGTTCTGCATGGTTTATTCTATTATGGGTGTTTTCAGGCTTGGGTTTTATCTTTTATGTTAGTCATGTTAGTGTTGTTTTCGAGTTATAAAGGCGAGGGATCATCAAAAGGTAAAAGTAACAAAAACAGGAGAAGATCTTATACATGGTACTTAAAAATGAATGGAACCGTTAAGCAAATCCTCAAGTCTGATGTATCTCTGTAACATCAAGTTGCTTGTAGAGCAAAAAAAAAAAAAAAATATATATATATATATGTATTATAGAGGGAGGAACATGTCTGAGCCTGGTGAAGTGAATGCCAATGACATATAGTTCCAGATTAGAAGAACTGTCTCAATGCAGTACAAAAGTACAAGGTTTCTGAGGTTTTCTAACTGGCAAGAGGGATCATTGGTTGGCATCATAGGCCGAAACTCCTCCCAGTTAGAGGACCACTTTGACATGCTATTTTGGTCAAATTTTGGTTTGGGAATTGTGAAATATTATTATAATATATATATATATATATATTTTAGAGGGAGGAACATGGCTGAGCATGGTGAAGTGAATGCCAATGACATATATAGTTCCAGATTAGAAGAACTGTTTCAATGCAGTACAAAAGTACAAGGTTTCCGAGGTTTTCTAACTGGCAAGAGGGATCATTGGTTGGCATCATCGGCCGAAGCTCCTCCCAGTTAGATGACCACTTTGACATGCTATTTTGGTCAAATTTTGGTTTGGGAATTGTGAAATATTACTCTAGAGTTTATCTTGAGCTTCCAAGCTCTTGCAATATTAAAAGGGAACGTCAATCAGAAATGTATTATGCTACTGTTTTCAAGATGTTGGATCAGTCTCGGGCTCTGCTGTTTCCTTGCCGTTCTTCCACTATCATAGTGCCAAAAAAATGGAAAAGGTTAGGAAGAAATACTCTCTAAGATCTTTGCTTTGTTATAATAATTACTCCATCTGTTTCAGAATGCTTACCTCGATAATTCTTTGTTTCAAACTGATACATTCAGTCTTCTTACAGTTGCTAAAAGCTTCACCTAGTAATCTTATTGGACCAGAGCCATTCTGAGCATACAGGCCTTACCTTAACATCAAGGATTTTATATGGATCTTATTTTCTTATAATCCTTTTGTTTCTTTTGGGCCTTCATTACGCCCAGATAAAAGCCAGTAGCCTTGAGAACCCATATTCTTTAAAAATATTGATACATACACGACAACTATGGTAGCTTAACCCGTTTCCAACGAAGGGAGTTACCCCCATTTACTCAGTCAGTCATAGACAGTGCACGTCCTAAGTTATTACGTTATCTTTACTCATGGAATTGGTTCGTTACTCGTTAAAGAAAAAGCTTGTCTAATATTTCACTACCGTCTTATTAAAATATTATTTTAAAATTAAATATTTAATTTTTAATTTATCTGAAATTATTAAACACAGTTTACGTAAATTTGAAATTATTAAAAACACCATCAAGATGTTTGAAATTATATATTACTAGTTACTTGGATTTTGTTCTTACCACCTTCCTGATAGTTGGAGTATATCTACTCTTGATGTACAAAAATTTGTCTACAGTTCAAGAATGATGGTTTTGATGGTCCTATTCTTCTAGAATTAGATTGGTAGATGGAAGTAAAACTTGCAAGAATTCCTAGGAATCCAATCCCAAACTTGACAATGTTTTTGTTACTTAACACTGATGTTGCAACTACTGGTGGTTCAACATGGAACATCCATGAAACCTAACCCACTCCCACTTTTTTGCAAAGATGTTATTTGGTAAAAATAATGACAAAACCAACTTGAAGCTTAGTTCAGATAGCTTATATAATTATTTTTAAAAGATAATATTTAATAAATTTAAATTTAAAATTTGATATTTATAATCTTTTTTAATTTCTGACTATAACTTTATTTAAAAAAAATAATTCCAAAACCTTTCTCAATAGAGGTGAAAAAAATCGAAAAATCCAAAATTGATTCAAAATTATAGCATTTGATTTAGTTTTATTTGAATCTTTTTTTTCAGTTCAGATCAATGTCGGATATTAAATATACATATTAAATTTAGATCAAATTTTAGATGGAAATATGAAAAATTAAAAAAAATCAAATCGAACCAAATTATATATTTTTATTAATTTATATATATTTTTTAAGTTTTATAAAATAAAAATAATTATTTTATATAAAAATCTATATAAATATATTAAAAATCTTATTAAAATAACATATAAAAATAAAATAAAATAATTTAAAAATTGATAAATCAAATTAATAAATTTTGATTCAAATCAAATCAATTTAAAAAAAAATCAGTTCCAATTCAAATTAAAATTTAAAAATTTATAATATTATATATTATCTAAAAAAATTGATCAAAATCAAATTCAATATGATGGAATCCGTTATCACCCCTCTTCCTCAATCCCTTTCTCATGGCCCAAATGTAGATCCTTAGAAAGCATAACTGTCACTTTGCTTAAAAAATCAACTTAAAAAAACCTCTAAAACCAGACAAAAGCTAGAACATGTTAGTGGGTTGTCTCCATATTCAAACTGCCCAATGATCAGGGCTCTTTAAATTCAAATTTCCCAATAATATGGACGTTATAAGATTTCCATTGATTTCAACAAGTGGGCCCCAAGATGAAGCTGAAAAAAGGGTTGCATCTGTTCTAAATGTGGAAGTTGGACCCACTTTAAGACAATAAAAAAACAGTGTTCTGTATTTGCCTTTCTCATCTCCGTATGGCCAACCTTTTCCGTTTCCACAGTGCTTTTTTCATTTGAATTTCAAATTTAAATTGTTTTTTTTCCCCTTGTTTGGAGACAGAGCACATAAGCAGCTAGAATAATTGCTAGAGATTTGGATCTTGTGAGGTTTGAAACATTTGCAAAGACATGGGAGAATCAGCTTGTCTCATGCAACCATTTTCTTATACTGCAGGCATTCCCAATGAAGCCAAGGAGGTCAGTTCATGCATATTTTCTTTCTTCAAATCTATGATAGATTTTGGATGCTAATAATTCATTGAAACCGTTAAAGGTTCTTCCCTGTGTTGGTCCTACGTCCATAATGAATTCAACCCAGCATAGTTCTCTTGAATTGTACACTAAAGCTTCAATATTTGGATGATATTAATGTATATTCATGGTTTTAACTTGCTTTTTTTAAGTTTTCCATCTTCCTGTTTCAAAAATGGCAATAATTCTGAGAAACTGGTTGAGCTAGAATTTGAGTTTGAAACTTCTACCATGAGAAACTGCAGAAAAATTAGAAATATTTTTGTGATTACAGGGCAACCCAGTTCATGCACTTGGGCAGTCCATATCTTTTGGGAGGTTTATGTCAGAGTCCTTGGCTTGGGAGAAATGGTCAACATTTTCTCATAACAAATATGTTGAAGAGGCTGAGAGATATACTAGGCCAGGATCAGTTGCTCAAAAGAAAGCTTTCTTTGAAGCTCATTACAAGACCCTTGCAGCAAGGAAAGCAGCAGCCTTACTTGAGCAAGCCAATGCTGCAGCAAACAATGCTACAGAAAGTGAAGCTGGAGGTAGGGCCCGGCATACTATGAACTCAAACTCTCAAATGGCGGCCCCTGACCAACAAGTCAAGGCATCAAGTACAGAAACTGGCTCCATTTATGATAGTCAAGAGAATAATTCAGATTTTGTCAAGTTTGACAGCAGCAAGGTGGAAGGAGCTGACTCAGTTGCAGAACACAATGTTCTTTTGGAGAATAATTTGAAGAATGAATATTTTGAAAAGAATGGGGTTGTTGATAAGGCTGAAATTAGAGATGTGAAGCATAGAGAAGCAACCCAAGTGAAGAATTATGTGAAAGTTGAAAAGTCAAGAAAGGTCGGGGAGGCAATAGAATTGGAGCTCAGTGAAGGATCCCAGATGGAGAAACCTCTACTTAAGGTAAAGACTAACGAGTTAGTCCGTACGACATGGTTTTGTTTTATTTCGAATGTCAATGTCCTTGAATTTACATTGTTGCTGCTGTGATGCAGAGTGCCAGTACTAATCAAGATGAATTAGAGGTGACAAGCAAGAAGAAGCCACCACATTCTTCCTCAAAGATGTCAGCTTATGCAAGAACATCCAAGGTGCCATCTTCACCTGCTAAATTCACAGCTCCCATTCGTCCCAACAAGGGAAATAATCACACTCCGGTGGCCAAGAAGTCTGCAATGGACATTTCTGATAGAAAGAGATCAACTCCAAAATCAAGTCACAAGTCTATCAACTTCACCCCTGCGAAAGAATTTTGTAAAGTAACTACCACAATTATCCAGAACCAGAAGATAGATGGTTCAAGAATTGCTTCAAATTCTAAAGCATCTAAAGAATGTCCAACACCTTTAAGGACTCCAAACACGGTGCCATTTTTCTCTGCGACTTCACTCTTGTGTTTGATCTTTCAACTTGGCATGGCAGTTCTTGTCATGGATGCTAAATTGGGTTTCATTTATGTGCTGCAGGCTTCTACAAGTGGAAGACCGAAACAATCTTCAGCCACCCCTTGGTCCGAAAACAGAAGGTATCTGATCTATACCTAAGAAAAGATGCTAGTTATTGAAACTACTACGAAGTTTGCACATTATCCTCACATACCCTTTGTCATATGTATACATTACAGTGCTAGAACACCGGTTAATTCCTCAGCCAGTGTGAGCAAAACAGCTCGTGGAAAATGGCACTTTCTTCCAACAGAGTAAGAAACTTTTTTTTTCTTTGACTACTATAAATTGTTGTGAACATAAAAGAACTAAATGCTGGAAGAGATAGTCATATTATGTGTTAGTTATGGTGGCACGTGCCACTCAAAAGGGACTTGAAGTCCTGATTATTGTGTTTTCATGCCAGTTGTTCAAAGTTTTTGAGTGCCTGCAGAAAAAAATCGCAGTCGCCTGGTATATTTGCATCTTTCAGTTTGAGAACTGAAGAGAGAGCTGCAAGAAGAAAACAGGTAAGGCTCGACTTAGCCACCTACTTAACTGACCCACATTAATTGTGGATATGGGATGAATATGTATATACAACATTCACTCACTTCATCAATGTTGTCCATTTTTTCAGAGGCTTGAAGAGAAATTCAATGTCAGTCAGGAACAGAAAGTCCAGCAGCAAACAACACTCAAGGTTACTTCTTAACCCTGAGCATCCTCTTTATTTGTTATAGGATCAAATCAATATCACCTTTGTCATATTCTATACAGCATATGTGAACTAATCAGGTTTTAGTATTCTCTTTCTACATTTGCAGGAAAAAGCAGAAACAGAACTCAAAAAACTAAGTCAAAGCTTTTGCTTCAAGGCTAGACCACTGCCAGATTTTTATAAAGAAAGAAGAACAACGAAAGATCAGATGCAAAAGGTATACAAGCAAGTTGAAAAATGATTTTATATTGACCTCTTAGTCAGTAATACATAGCTAAGTTCTTTCTATTTACTTTAGGTTCCATTGACACAAGCAGAATCACCTGCCCTAGGAAGAAAATCCACTCCCAGCAAAGCAAGCGCTGCCCAAAGCAAAAACTCTCTTCCTTATCGTAAGTCTTCAATTAAGAATATTTGCTTTGAGCATGTCCAGGAAAAGAAAAACCAAATTTCAGTTCGTTCTCTCACTCCACGTGTTGCAATGACTGATCATGAGAATACATCTCCAAATATCCAGCATGCATAAGATTAACAACATTGTAAAATTTTGCATGTCAGTTGTTTGAGGCCAAAACTACTACTCAGTACCACTGTTGGATGCCTAGAATTAGATGAAAAGGAGGCTGTTTGTAAATGAATGGAAACTTCCCCAACAGAAGTTTACTTCCAATTCTTAGCAAATTCATATTTGTACGCACATTTCTTTCTGTAATTAGTAGCACTGTTTAATAAAATATTTTCAAACTTGTTGGGCCATGATACATGATATGGAGCAAGCATAATACTTGTTTGGTAATTAAAATTTTAATTTTTTTATAAAAAAGATTACTTGATAGAGAATTAGGTTACCAAAACTTAAACCCAAACTTCTCATAATTACATGAATAATTCAAGAACTTCAAAAAAAGAAAAAAAAAAAAATACAAACAAGCCCGATCACGTCTCTCTCAATAAACACCAGCCTTCATCTTCCTCATTTTGGTCTATCATGAATCCCACATCACAAATACTCATAGCATCATCATCATCATCATCATTATCATTACTATCAATTTTCTCTTCATCATCAACATATTCTTCAATCTCTTTCTCGTGTAGAGACCAAAAAATTGCCATAAAATCATTATCATCACTATCAATTTTGTCTTCATCATCAACATATTCTTCAATCTCTTTCTCATGTAGAGACCAAAAAATTGCCATAAAATCATTGTCATCACTATCAATTTTGTCTTCATCATCAACATATTCTTCAATCTCTTTCTCATGTAGAGACCAAAAATTTGCCATGAAATCATTATCATCACCATCAACAAGAGCACATGTACCACCATTATCATAGTCATCGTCATGATCGTTTACATGATCATCAATCTCATCTTGTTCAATACCACTATATAAATGTTCCAAAATCCCCGTAGCAGAAAACCCAGAAAACTTCAAACCTGGTCGCCGATCCACAACCCGCCAAGTAATCAGCCTAGGACTTACCACCATATTACTTGTCCTAAGCTTTCGAGTACCCTTGGTCTTGTCCTTGGACTTACTCACCGGATTCAGGTGACACCCAAGACATTGTGGCCTACCACATTTTCCCGTAAACTTGGAATGGTTGCTGGGTTTTGATGACACACTGGAAAATAATCCGGCAAACGGGAGTGAATCGAGTCTTTGAATGGAGCGTGATTTGGATTTCGGGTTCCATGGAGATAGCAGGACCGGATAAGTCCTAACCATACCATGTTGGCGAGCCTCCCTCTTCATGTTGTAGGCTGAATTGAATGATGAGAATGATAAATGGGGTTGGTTATTTCACCTGTTCGTAAATGACTTTATAGAGCATAGAATTGGGACCGTAAGCTTGGGTTGCAAGGATTTTGTCTGGTCGTGATCCTTGTTGGCCAAGGAGTTTATCAGTTTGACTAACAAGTCACTTTTGTGAACAGCATTACGAAAATAGAAAGCCAATGGCTCTTTCCTTCTTTAGCCGTCTTTATAGAACATAGAATTGGGACCATGTGCTTTGGAAGCGAGATTTTGTCTTGTCGTGATCCTTGTTGTCCAAGGAGTTAATCAGTTTGACTAACAAGTCATTTTTGCGAACAGATTATGAAAGTAGAAAAGTCAACGACTCTTTCCTTCTTTAGCTGTTGACCTGTTAAGTGTTAACCTTTTCCGGTTTAAGTGGCCTAGTGGTTTTTAAAGTTACAACATCAAAAACAAGTTGCGGCTATATGACAGAAAATTTGAGCTGTTGAAACTTGAAACAATGAATTTCATTGATGAATTGGTGAAGATTCATGGCATTAATACCGTTCAAGAAAACAAGTAGGCATCGAAAGTAGATTGAAGTTTCAAAAGAAAATCAACTTAAAGCCTTCCAAAAACACCACCCAAAGTCCAGATTTTGGGCCAATATAGACCACCAGCAACTAGTTTTGGGCCACAGCTCAAAGCCCTTTCAACGTTTTCTCTCGCCTTCTTCTGCCACGGGAAAATGGCAAAAACCCTATGGTCTCAAACAACCCCTGCATTTCTTTAGGAAAAGGACCAGAGAAATCAATGGCCAGTTCACTTTTAAACAAAGCCTTAAAACCCATGAAACAGTCCTACTTCCTATCAACTCTCCGCTCTCTAAATTTCACTTCCATCGCCACCGTCCATGACATCCCATCCGACGGCCATTCTTCATCATCCTTCACATTCGACAACATCACCAACACCAAAGAACAAGACAATAATAGCATATACTTAAAGCCACCGACTTCAAATGTGAAGCTCGAAACTACGACGTCGTCTTCGGTGACGATGCCGATGTCGTTCATGACTGGTTCGATAGTTGGGAAGAGATTTTACAAGAAAGTTAGTACGAGAGAGTCTGATGATGGAGTTGGCTGGATGGTGATGCTTGATTATCGGACTCTTAAAAGTCCTTCTAAAAGGCCTCTCAAGTTGCCTACTTTGGCTCTTGCTAAGGCCATCGCTGCTGAATGGGAATATCAGGTATCACTTTTTATTGTAATTCTTTGTTTTTAGTTTTACTTTTTGTGTTTTATTGTATTTTATTTCTTGTTTTTCTTGGTACCCAAAATGGTTTCTTTTTGAATTTGAGAAAAGTTCATTAATTTGAGATTGAATCCAAAAGATTTACTATATATAGTTTTAGTTGATCTTGGGTCCAATTCTGAATCAGTGCAGCAGGTTTACTGAGTTCTGTAATGGGATGTTAATTTTTGTAGCAAACAGATGGGATCAGGCCCTTTACAATGCCATTGATGAAACTTGCTTGCACGGCACTGGAGAGAGTTACACTCACACGGGTGAAGATCATTGAAAACCTGATAAAGAAATTTAATCAAGATCTAGTATTCTGTCGTGCTCCAGAGGATAATACTCTGACGGTTGACCTCCATGGTGCGTAGGATATTCATGCTTAACTGTGTCTTACTAGATTTTCTTTGAAATTGAATCGTTAGGCATGTGCTTGATGTAAAACTGAATTCCTTTCAGTATAGTTTCATTATTATATGCTTGATTCAGTATGAAAACTAAAATGCAATAATATCCCACATTATGGTTTTTTGCAGCAAGACAAGTTGAGAAAGTTGATCCTTTACTTGCTTGGGTAAATTCAGAATTTGGCTTTAAGCCTATTGTGTACTCCAGCTTTTTTGGTGGGAAACAAGGGGATGGTCTCACAAAGGCTGTTGAAAACCTTCTAAAGAAGACAGATGACTGTGAATTGGCAGCAATTGATGCCCTTGCAGCTGCGGCACATTCTTTGGTTATTGCTCTAGGAATTTTTCGTGGTAAATTGCAGATTGAGGAAGCCATTGAGTTGATTAGACTTGAGGAAGATTTGCAGGTCCTCTTCATTTTAGTAGATCTCTCATGGAGACACATGCACTTGCATGTGTATGTTACATAATTATATTTTAACTTATTGTGGTTATTTGTGGTAGCATTAACATGAGACTTCTCATATGTATGTAGGTGGATAAATGGGGTCTTGTTGAAGGTGGGCATGATGTTGACATTGCTGATCTCAAGGTACAAATCTCATCTGCGGCTGTGTTCCTCGGTCTTTCAAGGAGGAACTCATTTTCTGATTGAGGAGGTCTTGAGGCTACCCTATATTTTTTTCTACTATAGTTTTGTATCGCCTAATGTGATACTCATTAATTGTTGTAAGATTGAGGATTTTATTGAAATAATGAATAATTGAATACGAAAGAGTTCAAATGGTTTTCTTCAACTTGTATTGCGAGATCAACTGTCAAATGCCTTTGAACTTGTGGGAAAGAGAATGCAGGCAGCAGGGGTTTTTTTGTAATGCTACTAAATCCATCTTGTAGTCAGAGTTCTTGATAATCCTATATCACATTTTATGTGTAGAATGCCAACATCTAGATCACTGTTCTCATTCATGGCTTTTTCATGGCAACATCTTACATGAAATTGAGGTCCTTCCAATGATGGAAGATCCCCTTTGTGTACTGCATTAAAAGATGATGTATGCCTAATGCGTTCAAACTTTTATCCATTAATTGGCAATAGATGCATATCGGTGGCTGTCTCTTGATGTCACAATTACAGCAAGCTGGATCACAGTCAATGTTACCTATTGAATCTGAAAACAGAAATTTTATTAGCGTTTCCTCTGGTTAAATGAAAACTTTTCAAGATGTATGTCTTATGCATCAGTGTTTATGAAAAATCATTGGTTATTTTCATCCTTCTGACGCATCAATTAAAAGTGTGTTGGAAGGAAGTTTCATGGAAAATTAGCGAACGTGTAGTCGAAATAAATTGGACAATCCAGTTTAATTACTTTACCTGTGATGGTAACATACTTTGGTGGCTCGAGCCCCTGAGCTTCCATGCGAACTGAAAGGCGATTGCTGCCTTGAACAACATTAGTCCCGATGTCAGAGATGACGAGGACAAAAATCCATGTCACTGTTGACAACTCCTCCATTCTATGACATGAAGAAATTTAGCTGCTTAGCAGCAGGTGAAATTTTCTCCTTAGCACCTGTTTTCATATATTGGCAGGCATTTATGCTGCTCAAGTCTCAGAGATGAGGAACCTAACTCATTATCTTAGATCATGAAACTGGAAAATTCACTACTTCTGCAAGTATGAGAATGATTCATCCCAAAACCGTTTGGTGATAATGATCCAAACAATGCAAAGTTTTTGGTCTCATTCTTTTTCCAACATGTATAAAAAAGCCATAATTGTTGAATGCTGTGTTTTTGTAAAGTACAAATGGGATATGAATTATTTTCTATTCATTGTGTTTTGCTTTGAACTACAGTTGGAAATCCAAACTCCAAATCTACAGTAAAAACACCATTATTCTGCTGAAGATGAGCAAATAAAATTACCAATCTGAATGTTATTAACTCATTTATTGCATGCAACAGAGTAACAAGGAAAAAAGACCCAAATCAGCACTAGAACAAATTATAACAAAATTAAGTACAATGTGAGGGAGAATACAATTATTTGCATTATTATCTCAAAGCAAATTGTTCGAGGAGACCTCACAAAAATAATCCAGATTAACTTGATCAATACACAACATTTTATTGTTAAAATTTGAAACCTTAAGCACCGATAAGCTGAAGCTGCTTGATGTGTGTGATCTGCTTTCCTGGGTTCAGGCCCTTTGGGCAAGCACGAGCACAGTTCAATATTGTATGGCATCGATACAGCTTAAACTCATCATTTATAGCCTCCAATCTCTCCTTTGTGTATTCATCTCGACTGTCGCTTATCCATCTGCATATAAGAGCATAAGGTTAAGAAGCTTCATAAACTCATAAGGTAATCAATAATCTTTGGCATTCTCTTCGATCTCTACAGAGAAAAAAGATAGTAATATAAAATGAAAGAATTTATAACTCTGAAAAACATAAAATGATATAAGAACTCAACATAATCAAAACAGAAAGAACTAAGATCAATAAGCAAAAATCTAATTTGTGTACTATAACAGACAGGTGCCTTTACAAGCGATAGCCTTCAAGACCAAAGACCAAGCTTGGTTACAATATGTTTAATGGTAAAGAGTTGTATAAAGGAAGCTCCACCACCCTTAAGAGATGGCATTCAACATGTTTGAAGATTAAATCTCAATACCTGCAACACATTATAACAAATGCTGCGTCACTTGAATTTATAGCTCATTAAGCATTGATCAAATACTATAATTCAGCTATTAAATGTTCAACCAGTAGCTTTTGCAGGTTTTCAATCAAAATTCATAGAAAATAGACCAGAAAAATATTTGAAAATTTTGGACATAAGTAATCAGGATACTAAGGTGAATACAGAATACAACCCTTCATCTCAACCAAATAGTGAAATTAGCAAAACCTTAGAACACAGATAACAATATGAATAGTCAAAAGCTACTTCCAATGTTGAATTAACAAATCAAAACTACAATTATGCACCAAGAATTAAAAAAAAAAAAAAAAAGACTCCTCATTTCCCTTATACAAGACAGAGCATAAACCGAAACACACCTTCTTAGCAAACCATAAGTCCAATACAGTCCTACAACTTCAAGTCTTCAACCATCCAACAATCATTAGAAGGATATATTAAACTAGAAAGAACCAATCAAAGAAACCCAATTTTGAAATGATTAATATGAATGGGAATAATCATTATCCAAAGATAGCTCAAAAAAATCCCAAAACCACCCAAAAAAACCATAAATTAAGAAATCAAAAACCTAAAGCATTCCCTTTCTGTTTCCTCTATTAATCACTGAAGATAAAGCTCGCTCTTTTCCTATCAACCAATCAGATAAATGGCAAACCCAAACCACAAAAACCATCATCAACATCAAATGAACAACTAAAACCCAAAAATAAATCATTATTACCTGTTAGCATGAAGCAAAGCAGCAGGACCCAGATAAGATTCAGGGTTCCACCAATAACTGGGACAGCTGGTACTACAACAGGCACACAAAATACACTCATACATCCCATCCAACTTTGCTCTATCCTTCTTACTCTGCAGAATCTCTTTCTCTGCCGTTGGCGGCGGATTCTTCCTCTTTAACCAAGGCTCAATGCTCTTATATTGATTGTAAAAGTTGGTCATATCTACCACCAGATCTTTTATCACAAACATATGTGGTAACGGCGTGATCGTTGTCTCCGACGATCCTGATTCGATCTTGGTAAGACAAGCTAAGCCGTTACAGCCGTTGATGTTCATTGCACAAGAGCCGCAGATTCCTTCACGGCAGGAGCGACGGAAGGTGAGCGATGGGTCGATCTCGTTCTTGATCTTGATTAGGGCGTCGAGAACCATGGGCCCACATTCTTTTAGGTCGATTTTGTAGTCCTGGAGTTGTGGTTTCGTTGGGTTATCTGGGTTCCATCGGTAGATTTGGAAGGTTTTCATATTGGTAGCGGCGGCTGGTTTTGGTTCTACCTTTTGAGCTTCCGTTTCGCTGGCATAGGGCCTGTCAGCCACCAGCCTCGACGCCGGAGAAACAGCTGATGACGAAACGCGTGACGTCATATTCATCGCCCGTCGTATCAAACTGGTCGCCATTGTTTAATGAAAGAAAATGAAAAAACTGAAAACGAAGACCAAGGAAGAAAAGAATGGAGAAAAACAGTTCAATGATATTGTGGAATGACGGAAATGGGCTTCAATGATAAGTAACTGTTTGGTGATCAGAAAGGGTAGTTTGGCGAATTGAAGTTTTGGCCTTTAAAAGCCATGGATTGGGTCGACTTTTTGGGGTTGGTATGATGACATGAGTGAATTTGGATCGTTGGTTAAGGGTTCCTGGAGCATTCATTTTGCTTCGATTTTTCTGTTTCTTCTTAGGCGTGTGCTTGGCATGGCCCCTAGTGGATTGTGAAGGGAAGATATACTCTCATTGAGAAGTGTGTGAAAGGCAAACAAATGCTGCTAGTTCCATCACCAATGTGATTGCTTTTGCTTTTGCTGATTTTGGCAGCTGGCTTTTTGGTTCGAGACTTGGATAATGAAACTTGCAATATCCGGTTTCCATGGAGGACACTCGGGTTCACCAGGTGATTCCAGGAATTCATCAACTTGTATCTGCTCCTGCTGATGGAATATGGAGACATCCGCTGTCTTTATTGAACCGGGTGGCTCAGGGAATTCATCAACTCAACTTCCTTATTAGGCAATCACGAATTTGCAACATAAACTAAACAGTGAAGCTGTAATGCCCCAGTCAAATAATAATTGGGTTAAATAATAATTGGGTTAGATTAATACTAAAACCCATTAATTTATTAAGATATTATTTAATAAAAATAAATATTAAAATATTAGATGAAAGAAATTTAATTATCGTGAAATAAAAAAAATAAAAAAAATTTTTTTTTTCATCTTTTTTAGGGTAAGAAAATATGAAAAATCAAGTTAAAGATTCACAATTAGATGTTACAATCAAGTTAATCCCTTAAAGGTGAGTACATGTCTTTTTTTTATTTAAAAAAATATCAAGTTGATTGTTATTATTTGGAGTTAAAGTTTTGAGAGCAAAAACCAAGAAAAATCATGAAAATTTTCATTAATCTTCATGATCTATTTGAATAAATTACTGAGCTTTGTTTATTTCATGTTCTTAAGATTTATTGATGATTATTGAATGGAGTTTGAAGGCTGAAAGTAAGGATTTGAATTTTTAAAAATTGAAGGAAAAATTCTTTTTTTGGATGAGATGTTGTGATCTGTAATAATGAATTAAAATAAAATTTTGTATTAATGGATAGATTATTGCTGTGATTATTATATATCATTGGAAAGCATGTTGAATCTAGTTTCTAATGAAACAAACGAAAGTCAAATCCAAGTTTTCTATGAAGAGTTGTCTAATTTTAACTTAAGGATATGCAAGCTGTAAGACAACAACATCAGGGTTGAATTACGAAATTCTTCTTAATTTGTATACAAAGATTTACAGATTAAACCATATATATTTGGAAAGCTTATTGAGTATATTTTCCAATGAAATAAGCGGAATTGAATTTGGAGTTTTCTGTGAATAAATATATAATTTTTATTAGAAGGTATACAGGCTATTTGACAGTAATATATGACGTGGATTTTAAAAATTGTTATAATTAATCTATAAGGAATTACTATTTGCTATATATGATTAGAAAGCTTATCAAGTCTAGTTTCTAACGCATTAAAGATATCATAATTTTGATTTGGATATATTAAGATATTACTGTTTTAATAAAAAGAGGTCAGACTGCTAATATTAATTAGTTAAGTTAACTTTTTGTGTAACTTAGTTGATTTTTGTATAAATGGTCTCAAAAAAGGTTGATTAAATTCTGATCTATTGAAATGATCTTAGATAGGCAATTAATTATTTTGGGAGAAAAATTAAGTGGTGGAGTCAAATTGAGGTAAGTAGAATCTCACATACTTTGCTTGTTTTTTAAACTATTTATATATGTATGTTTTTAATTGAATGAATATTTTATTTCATTATTTTCAATGTATGAAAATATGATCAAGCATATGATTATTTTGTGTTTCTTTATATAAATGATGGATCATGCTTATGAATGAAATGAAAAAATGGTTTATGTTCAAAGAATAATTTTATGATAGCTACGTTTTTATATCCCTGGGAAGTGGGATAATCAACACTAGAACTAATTCTTCGATCCTGGCTAACGAGTAATAGTAGTTAGCAAAAACATGATCATACAATCCTAGCTAATGGGTAATAGTAGTTAGCATAAGGTCTTGGCTAGTGGGTTATAATAGTTAGCAATGATTAGGAGGATGAAATTGTTGATACGGTTAATGTCACGGGTTATAGCAGTGACCGTAGCTAACGATAAACCAATGATAATGATGATTTACGATAATTTTTAATGATTGATCCATGATTTGGTTTGATTATGATATTTGAATGATAACATATTTTGTAATGATTTATGAAGTGACATATTTTGATATTGATTTATGAAATTTATGAAATATTTGACAAAACGATAATCTTGAAATGTTTTGATATTATGATTTGATAGATGTTTTGAATTATATATATGATGTGTAAGAAAACGATGCTTGATCTGATAAAGTGTGTGAGCCTATACTTACTGAGCTATAGTGTGTTCATTCCCTTTTTACTTTTTTTTTACAGATGACTAAGTGATAAGTTTAATTAATCTTGTGTGAAGCTAAAAGATGAAATAAAAATGATTACTTAATCGTCGAAAAATATATTGACCAATGAGATCTTAAAAAATAATTGTATTTTATATGATTTGTATTTAAATATATAAAAATGTATCATCAATTAGATTGAAGATATAAATTTTATTTAGTAAATTATTTTATTGAAAAATTTTAAAATGTTTTAAAAACAAACGCTTCTTATTATTTTAAAATTTTTTTTAAAATAATATAATCGTATTACGTCTTAATATCGAAACGCGACAAAAACAGTCAATTCAGATAATTGATTAGTCCAATCATGTTTCTTTTTACAGGTTATTGATTTCTTAATTACTGTAGCCATGCATGATTACTTTCGCTTGTTTGTCAAACATTCCAAAGGATTAACGACTTAAAATGAATGAACAAAAACTAAATGCTGCCGGCCAGCGCATTCGACCAAAATCGAAATATGATTATGGACACAAATATTGATATCCTCCATCATAAAATTTCTATATCCCTAGCAATAACTGATTGTGGCTCTTGATCAGACATGTTGTGGCTTGTATTCCGCTTGAAAGATTTATCGCTAAATATCCGAATGAAGGCGCTCTTTGATCTCTGAACAGGTTGAGGCCCGTTCTTTTTTGACAAATCCTCGGATAGTGTTTTGACAAGTTTCTCAAAATAACGCCTGAAAGTTGGATACCTTGACGCAGATTTGGTAATCCCTTGTAACCTTCATTATGAAGCAGAAATGTACGGTTAGACTGGGAAGCATGACAGACTATCAAGAAAGAAAAGTACATACGTTATATTCTCACCTTCGGGCTAATGCATCAAGTTCAGCTCGTTTACGCTCAGATTCAGATGGAGAGTCGATATTTTTCAACCTTGCCGGATCACCACACAGCAAAACTAATTTGCCAAAGTAATCCTCCTCTTCCTCGGAAAGATTCTGCGCTTTTATTTGCTCCTTTAGTATCAAAAAGGGGTTAAGAAACCAATCAAAGAACACGTCTTTTGGTCTGTTTGTGGCCGTTATTTCAGTATTGTCACCTACATAAAAGCAATTCCTTAGATGCTGTCAAAGACATTTTAAAGTTTGTAACAAGTATCACCATGATTATAAATCTCTTTCACAAGTAACTCTTCTTTGGGGGCTACATAAGAGGAAACAAATTCACTTACTCAATAATATGCCAGATCTATTGGAATTCACAGAGCGCAAGAGTGCCTGAAGAAAGCAATAAGCTGGTAAGCCTATGCTGACCACTCTACTTCCTTTGCTAGACTTGGCATCTTCAATGTCTTCAGGAGTTATAAGCCCTTCGGAAACCAATTTTTCACCTTGCTGGCAGCAATCCTTGAAAAATCCCGCAAGTAGCTACATTAATCATGAACAAACTTTTTTTAGCACCAGACTACAACAAAATAATGAATATCTTTAAAATTTAGCATCAAAGAATCATTAGATGAATGCAAGGAAATCATGGTTTTATTCCAAATGGAAACATCCACAACAAAACAAGTCACCTCAAGTGGCTTTAAATCAATTCCTGTATTTGTATGTGAATCAATGCGAGCAAGAGGACGAGATTTAGAGTCGGATTTCGTAAACGAGCTTGCACTAGAGATGGGTTCCTTTTTGTTTCTACGATACTGAGGCCTGTTTATAAAAGAAAACTTATAAAAATTTGCCAAGGTGTATAATAATAACAATAATAACAAATTATTAGAATGCTGAATGAAACCTGGGAAAGAAAGATCCTTCTGGCATGTCAAGGACATCGTTGCTGTATTCATCATATATGGACAAGGAAGCAACAATGTAACAAAGCCCAAACCAAAATGAGGACTCCTGCAAATCAAAGCCCACACATGCAAGTTATATGTTGGATGGAAAACAAAGACAAGGAAGACACAGGTTTCGCGTCTAATGTGACCCTCAGGCATCTCCCTTAGTGCTGCAGGTTCCATTACTCTAAAACACTTTGGTTGCATTCAAGAAAGTAAGAAGCTCAGATAAGAAAATGGAACACAATAAATTCCAAATTCCAAGATTAAGCGGAACCATTGATGATACAACAACAACTAATAGGAGCCAATACAATCATTGATTGCACCATTTGCCTTCTTGAAAATCACATGAATAACTTCACTCAGTTGTCAATGAGATCTCATAATGCAAATGTCAACCGAAAAAAAGTACCATTTCAAAAAGCAAAATAATAATAATAATAAAAGGAGATATGAAGTTTTTTTTTTTTTTTTCAAGCCAAGCATATAGCCAAATGCTGCATTTATGAAGTTCCATGTCCCTATTCGAATGAAAATTAATGGACAATGATGTTTTATTGGAAGACAAAGCAAAGGCACTAAAACAACATAAAAGATATAAACCTGATAAACAACCACCCCTGCATAGGCACCAAGGAAGATACTGGAGACCATCGAGCCCAATACTGCCCCAACAACAGCCAGTGGCCAGAGTAAGATGGCAAGGCCAGCAAATGGTACACATATTGTCTCCAAGAAAGGGCCTTCTCGACCTATAAGGTCATGAAATAATCGAAGCCAGCCCTTATAGAGCATGTAAGGACTTTTGCATAGGGCAACAAGTGAAATCACTGGAAAATCAACCATGAAACCAAGCACTGCAGCTGTAAGAGCCGGAAGAAGATAAAGAAACCTGTAATGAAGATCATAGAAAAGTCAGTTGACTCAAAAAGAGATATATATTCTGGGAAAAAAAAAAAAAAAACCCTATAAAGCTTAAGTGCCTCACTGTATAGAAACATATATGGTGAGCACACATGTCAGACTCTCTTAATTCATAGTTCACCTAATTTCTTCTACAGTTTAAACTTTAAACAAACTAGCTCATGAACAATATTTCTCATATATACTTTGCAATACCACAATTATTTTTTTTATCAAATTTGCTCATGTCGCATTTCTAATGAAACATTTAGTATTTATAGCACTTGAAGTAAAAATTATCAGTTTTAGGTACATATCTATATCTTTGTGGAACTGAAATTATTTAGCACACATTATTGTCAATCTATAAGCAAATAAAAGAAGAACCAATATGAACATTCATAACACCACCATATTCTTTGTGAGTTACCTAAATGATGAAATAAAGGCACTAGCCAGATGCAGCCACCAACAAAGTCAGGACAGGAGAATTTACTTGATCTAATTTCTTGGCAATAGAATCTATCATGCATTTACTTGACGCCACAAGTGAAAAAAACAGTGAACTCAAAAAGGAAAGACCATAAGTTTTGATCAATTTATTGACTGCAGAATGCCGATAGTGGGAGAATCTTGTCTCTGATCCTAAGAATTATAGGGTCCCAGGAACAAGTCAATAATCAGGAATAGAATGATGCAAGGCCTTAAACTTATAAGTTCACGGGTTCCCAGCTAATATCTAGACTCGTCATGTGGGTTGCTGAGGGTTCCATAATCAGCACTGCTCTTTGGTGATAAAGGATTCATGTATCCAGGCAAAAATGATTCTCTTGGCCATGACATTGACATCACTTAAAAATGGGCATCAAGAGCTTTACATCTACCTGATCTCATAGTATTTTCCATTTGGAGGCCTTTTCTGTCTCAGTTCTTCCATATACGAGATGTAGGAATGGAAACAAACATCTTTGAAATCTCTGACAACAGTGAAGCTGCCCTTGATAGTGCTCCAAGTACCATCCTGAAAACAGGGCAATATATAAGTCTCCCTCTCATGATACAAGAACAAGAGAAGTTAATAGATATAAAATGATTATCAGAATGTGGATATTTAAAACATACATAGAAGCAGTGAATAAACACATTGGTCTTTCCTTCTCCTACAGCATCAAAAGTGGCATATATTGGTGACAAAAAGCCATATAATATCCCCCCTATGATACTTCCAACAATGCCAACCACCATCCACAAGATCAATACAACCGGTAGGCATACGCAGATAATGAGTTTCAGAAATGGCCCTAATAGTTTAGTTCTGCCCATTAAAGAAATTAACGGAATAAGAAGCAAATACAGTAATAATGAGGCAAAGCAAATGGAAAAGTCAAGGGACAAGAAAATCACCTCACAATGCTATAACAAGTCCAGTAACCATGATATGGCAGAAGGCCCAATATGATAGCTGAGTTTCCGATCGTCATGATAAGACATATCAGTGGGCAGAAAATGATCCCTGAAGATATAGTGCATTAGAAGGTTTGAATTGCTTGGTTCAGTAGTGATGCTTCATCGTTAGTAGGTTTATACAGACCAGACCAGATTCAAAATGCATTGCATTTAATCACTAAAATGCCATTTTACTTTCTCTAAACCTACAGCCACAAAATACCATTATCAGGCTTTGATTTTACTTCTTATCAAGCTGAGGAACCATACCAAATGCCTAGAAAGGAAATGTTCACAAAAACAGGAACTATGCTGGATTAACCCTAGAGCCTTTACATCATTTCCACTTATTGCTAAGAATTGGTTTTTTACAAAAGAAAAACAATTTACAGCACCCCAAGTATTTGGCTCAATGCTTGGTGCACAATCCCTACTCAAAGAGCAAGGTTCAAAATCCGCCATCCCCAAATCAAAAAAGGTAAAACAATTTACAGATTACAAAGGAAAAACAACCTCAAAACAAGAAAGAAGACCAATTTAGGGAACAAGAAAGAAGCCAAACAACCTCAAAACAAGAAAAACAATTCGAAGGCATTCACCTTTAATTGTGCCTAACAGCAGCAAGCCAATGAAATAAGGTAGAAAGCATACAAAGCTCCACAAAGTAGCCAAAATTCCCTTCGGAGGCTCCATATTTCTCCTGCCTACTCACCTTCCAGATCTCCACAAAATTCAATATAACCCCATATCAGAACTCAACCCCAAAATCCTCCCTGGAAAACACCACTTACCAAAAAAAGATCAACAAACAAACCAAATACAAGGCGAAGACAAAACCCAGTCCACTAAAACCAATTTGTTTCAAAACTCAACATAAAAAACTTACCAAAAAGAACTATAGTGTCTCTCTTCTGCCTCCAAATCACCATGAAACTGGCAAAATATTTGAGACCTTGGTTTAATAAAAGCTGACAACTTTGAACGCGAAAGGGTATTTGAATGATTAAAACTATTTGAAAAATCTCACATGGGATATATGGGTCAGGAGGAAATTTAACAGTTGATAAACCGTTTAAGGCCCCAAATTTTGACAGGGAATCCTGGACATATCAGTCACTGTCAAGAGCTTGGCATAAGCAAAGAATTCTTTAGTGTCTCCGGTTTTCTTATTCTTTACTTTCTTTTCACTGAAATTCTTTTTTGGTTCCCCTGAATTGGAAGTTAAGCAATCTTGGGATACTGTACCAACCTCTAACTCAGACAGAAACAGTCAATTTCAAAACTGTATTGGTCGTATTAGAAATGCAATTAACGTTAAAAACTTGGATTAGAACACTGGTTTTTGTCTTATTATATTAAAATGCTATTTCCATTTTCCACTCCAGAGAAAACTGTTTATATTGGTGAACAAAAATAAACTATGGCTTCTTTTCGTATAAAATGATTTTTGAAAAATAATTTTAAAAAAATATTTATATTTTTTAAATTAAATAATTTTTTATTATTTGAATGAATTGATAAAAATATTTTTTGTTATTTAGTTATTATATATAATTTTTTAAATAATATTAATATAATTATTAAAATATTAAAAATTATTTAATATTAAAATATATTAAAATTATTTATTATTAAAATTATTAAAATTTAAAAATAATTGTATTTTAATAATAATATTTAATATTAAAAATATTATATTAATATAAAAATACTTTAAATAAAACTATTTATTATTTTTTATATTATTTATTAATAAATTATAATATTATTTATTAATATATTCTATTAATGGTATATTATTTATTAATATATTATAATATAATATTATTTATTTATTAATATAACATTATTTATAATTAAAATTATATTAAAAATATTAATAAATAGTTCTAGTAATATTTTTCAAAAAATGTCTCTCTTCTTAAATTTATAAAATAATTTTAAAAAAATAATCTCATTTTTTATTGATTAATGAATTATTTTTAATTAATTAATCAATTTTTTATCAAATAAATACCCAAAAAATTATTTTTCAAAAATTATTTTTCGCCAAACAAGTGACACTGTATATCATGGAATCATCAAGGCATGACTCTAGCAACACGGAGTTTGTTTTTAAAAGCAAACGTTAGTTTGTTAGTGAATTGCATGGGTTGCGGAGTGATTAATAGAGCGCGTGGCCATAGAAGGTTGGTCTTGCATCAGCAACCAATAGAAATGTGATAATATAAAATATGATAATACGATAATAATATAATAAAAATATAAATATAAATATAATACGATTTAAAAATTTAATACTAATTACATATAAATTTAATACAATTTATATTTTTTATTTTTATATTAATATAAATTATAATATATAATTTTTATATAAAATATTATTTAAATATATAAATTTTAATATTTTATTAGACACATAAGTCATTTCAACTCTCGAAGAAAGGTTAAAGTGCTGCATTTATTAGATAAATATTTATTTATTTATGTGTACTTTAAAATTTTGCAACGATGGACCACTTTATTAATTTTTTCATTAAAAATGTATTTATAAAATAGTTAATTTTTATATATTGATAATAAAAATTTTTTATTTTATAAATGAAATTAAAACATTATTACTTATTTTATTTTTAATTTTTATTATATTTTTAAAAATTGTATTATTTATTAATTTTATTTATGAAATTTAAAAACTTTGCTATCCATAATGCATAATAAACACAATTATGAAAAAAATTAATAAATTCTGTATTACATAACGAAAGTAACCTTTTTATTTTAAGATTTAAATGTGGAATATTTTATTTTTTGTCAATTGAAATGTTTTTTAAATAAATAAATAATTTTTTTTTTAAAAAGGTGCATTAACTTTTTTAAAGAAGAATAAAAAAAATTTAAGCAAGTTGTTTTCATACAAATTATGTAATTTATGACTGATTTTGAAAGATCAAGATGACTAGCAATTACACTGCATCCACACATCTAAGATTCCAAAATATTTTTTGGGGAAATGATGAAAGTGAAAAGTGCTCCACTGTCTATTACTATTACAAAGAATCTTTCAAGTTATCCTTTCTTTTTTTTTTTTTTTTCTTTTTGATTTTTGGGTGATTATGAGTCCTTTATCCATTATCCTATTTTTTTTCTTTTTTTTACGCTTATGCATGTCTAGTTGATAAAAAAAAAAAAGAACTAATGTTTTTTTTGCCAACATTGATGATGTATTTAATAAGGATTAGTTTTACTTAATTACATAATAATTTTTCAAACATAAAAACATGACCACTCATGGTTTTTTTAGACATTTTTTAAGGTGATGTTTAAGAAAAAAATAATTATATATATATTTTGTATTTTTCTCTAATAGTGCTTTCTGTAACCTTCACACTTCAACCATGGAAAATAGTGAAGGAGCTTCAAAATAGTGTGACTGAAGATTCCATATTCCATCAATGAAATTTCCCAAATCTTATCGAGGTTGAAAGTTGGAACCATGAACACGCAAGGTATAGTTTGGATTTTCAAGCAACCTCAATGAAAATGTTTTCCATAATTCATATAAAGTGGTATGTTGGCTTGTGCCAATGTTACTTTCAATCATTTCATTTTTTTTCTTATCAGTTTAGTGAAAAGATCTCAAACGTTTTCAATGCTTTCAAAGTCCTCCAAGCATAGAGAATCTATATTTATTAATCAGATTCATTTTTGTGGGAAGACAGGAAGAATTTTGAGCGTAAATTTTTGAATGTATCTAACTGACATAAAAGAATGTGTCTTGAAATTTTAATTTGATTCATGAAAACTCTAGGTTTAGAATATGAGTTGATATTTTCCTTCCATTCCAATATCTAAAAAGTAAACTTTATGTGACTTTTGTAGATAATACCAGATATCAGCACTTGAGCTTTTGACTGTTGAAATAATCACATGATTCCAGCTTCCAAAGAACTTTTTAAGTTGTACTCTGATTTTCCTTTGACATTTGTATCCATTGAACTTTAATGCATTGATTATAATTCTACAATTATGAAAGTTTCTTGTTTTAATGGGTTCCATGTCACAATCTGCTCATCAAATTGTAATCAAAATGTCCATTTGTATTGTTGTAATGATAGAGAATATGATCCTAAAATTACAGAACTTGGAAATCTGAGGCAGATGTGAGGCGCATATATGACAGGTATGGGAGAGCAGAGAACCACCCTAATGCACTAAATTATGCCTTTTGCATATGTGAGAGATTGCAGAAAGGGTAATGGATGTTAGGCTGTACCATTAAGCCAGTGTTATGGGATTATGAACAGCAATCAACAACTACCATGTACCCTGGGAAACTAATAACAAGCTTATCCTGATGATGCCAGTGATTCAATGGCAGGCAACACCCAACACGGTAGGAATCCATTATCTAAATGTCACCTTTTAGATGAGTCCTCAAAAGATGCCATCTTTTTTATTTTATGCAATTAGATTAGTAATCAGTTAAAAGGCAAATTGCTAGGTTAGAAGCAGTAAAGAAAGAGAAATAGGAGCTGTATATGTATTATTTCATTTTGAATTGTACCTGAAAATCCAAATGTACAAATGCTCATTGGTCTCCTCCTTTCTATGGGATGTAAATTTCCTTCCTATCAAATGGTTTACTTCTTCAACGAACATCAGCTGAGTCGCAGAATTCAGTCAAAGTTTTCCTAACAAAGAACTTCAGAGCTCCATTTCCATCTTCCATTCTCGGATAAGCCAATGAGGCTGTAGAATAGGATACTGGTGATGGACTGAAGCCCTTCTCTTGAATTTCCTCAAGAACATTAAGGGCCTTTTTGTAGCTTTTCCTTGCTCTAAATAAATTGCCATCAGAACATTATAAGTAACAATATTGGGAATAAACCCCTTCTCGGCCATATCCTCCAAGATTTTCTCCATTTCACCATAGTGTACAGTGTTTCACAGCACCCAATAAGCTGTTTATATAAAAAGGTTTGGGTCAATACCACCACCTCTTGACCCAGTGACAAGGGCCATAGCAGCATCCTTGCACTTGTCACTTCCAAAAACTCTAATCATGCTTGGATGTACCTGAAAGGGCAATTCATCCATATCGTTTGTGCTTTCCGTGTCCGATAGATGGGGCATGGTCCGATATGCCTAAGCTAAGCTTTGTCTCTTTAATGGGCTCTGGTTTGGTTTTGTTTCATCTCGAAAGTGACCTTGAAAGCATTAACACAAGCCTATCATCCAAATCTGGCACAAAGGTGCCCAAAAAAATGATCCCATGGTATCTATGCTTTAGCAATCTTATTCAGTGCAATGGTTTTTTTTTTTTTTTTTTTCATTTCTCTTTTTCCAATGAAACTCTAAATCCAAGTCTTATGCAATATAGTAATTGTTACCACAATAATCAAAATTTTGTAGTACATTGATCAATTAATTTCTTCAATTCTTTATAAGTTTTGAGCTTCATTTTTAAGTTTGCCGGCCACTAAGAAAGAGTTATCAAGTTTTAAGCAATCTTGTGTCTAAAATGGGAGGTTTGTCCCTTGATTTAGTGAGAGCTTTGATCAAGTTTAATGCTTATAAAAATAATTACTTGGAAACATTAATTAAGTTGAGAGTTGAGACTTTTGAGAGATAGACAAGAGAATCTCCGTCTCTCCCACATGGGCTGATAGTTGATACCATATAAAATAGCTAACCACCCATACTGAAAGTAAAACCCCCCCAGGACATCTCAAAAGACATGACAAGACTCACTAACTAAACCTAACTAAACCATAAATAACAAGCTAGAAAGTCAAGATAAACATCTTTGCTTCCTTTCTGCTCTCTTTGGGAATCTGAAAAGACCAATGAAAAACAAAAATTTGCCTATCAATAATGCTACCTTTTCTTTTAAGTGAACGATGTAGCTACGATTCGAAAACATGTAGTGCTGTCAATTGATTTAATATAGAGATGAAATGACATGTATGTGGATAAAGATTGAAGAGGATAATATTCTCCTTCTTTGCTACAACTTAGGTGACATAAAGGGTCTTCAAAATTGAAAAAAAAAAGGTACCATTGCTTTTAACAAGATGTTTGTCTCTGGTGGAAAAGGAAGCAAAAGGGTTACTCAATCTTGCCAATCTTCTCTTTAGCTAATGGTCTGATCATGAAATTGCTGTCTTGTTGAAAAACCAATGTTGGAAGAGGTTTAAATGAAGGGCTTTTAGATAATTGTCTAAGTTACTTGTTGCCACTTATAGAAAAGAGTAAAAGCAAAGAAACATGATTTATGAAAATCTTATAATCAAGAGAGTTCTTTAGTTGTTGAACAACCAAGTTTAGTTTAATATAGTTTGTAGATTGACAAGAGTGCAGTGATTAGAACATGACAATCTTTATGTTTTTGGTCCACCAATCAAGCAAACGTGTTCCATAGCATCCATCCCCCATGTGCTTTAGCCTCCCATAAAATCAGCAGACCAAACCCACGCCCTGATTATACTCCATGTGTCTTCATCTCATTTGCAGCACTTTCCGAAAGTCTTCACTTCTTTTTGGGCTATTCCCTTAGCCTTAGGCGGCTTGTTTTTTTTATTCATGTCTGCTTTTGCCCTAACCCATGTTCTCTGCTATTATATAACTAGCTAAAGCCACACTTTCCGCTCCCCATTTGTAGCTCGAGTTTTTCATAAAGACAGAGAGGTCAGCTGAAAAAAAAAAAAAAAAGAAAAAAAATGATCAAGTTGAAGTCAAAGAGGTTTTGCAGAGGCAGCTTTAGGTTTGGTAGTGGTGGAAATGGTGGCAATGGGAATGGTAGTAGCAATGTGAAGGGTGGTGAAAAGGCATGTGGAAACAACAATATTAGTGAAATCAAATGGGAACTTAGGCTTGGTGGGATGCTTGTTCAAAAGAGAGAAACCGGTGGAAGTGTTGGAGATGGGATGATCACTATCAGAGTCTCAACTGTTTCTCAATGGCATGATATTTCCATGGAAGCAACTTCCACTTTTGGTAAGCCTTCTTACAAGTTTGTCACCAAATTATCAACTATATATTTCATATCAAAATCAACTTAGGCTTCATTTGGATGGCCGGTAAACAGTATCTATAAATTTCTTTTAGCCAGAATTAATTTAGTCCTTTAATTTTTTGGGGGTATTGAATGAAAATTTTTGGCAAATTTCTTCAGGGGAATTGAAGATGATTTTGTCCTTGGTAACAAGTTTGGTGCCAAGAGAGCAAAGGCTATTATTCAAAGGGAAAGAAAGGGAAGATGATGAATATTTACACATGGTTGGAGTTAGAGACAAAGACAAGGTGCTTTTGCTAGAAGATCCGGCCATCAAGGAAATGAAGCTTCATGGATTGGCAGGAAGCCAACAAATTGGCACTGCTTATCACACCATAAGTGTATGACACTGATTAAAAACAACTATATTGTACTCACTAACCACCAAAAAAAGCAAGTGATCAAAATATGGTGAAGTGTTTTTTGTTATATTTCACTGATGCATGTCCACATAATTTTGCGTAGTTTAATATGTTTATAAAAATGTTGATTCCTCATTTTATGTAAAATTTTACTAATATTTTTCCTTTCTCTCACTTGTAGAAAAATTTGTCATAATCAAGGAAAAAGAACACTTAAAGTGAGAAAATTTTAAGGAATAAGAGCTGGCAATTGATGGGTTATTGAGTTTAATTATAATGCTTAAGCCAAAAGTCAGGTCCTTCATAGTGTCAAAATCATTTCCTTGAATAATGAAAGGAAAAGATTTCATGTTCAAAATCATATTCTATTTATTCATGTTTGTACTTTTGCATGCCTAAGCACATATGGTCCCATGACAGGCACTACATTCCTTCTGTTTGAATGCAAATCTGATAAGTAGGGAAGCTACTTTCAGAAAACTTTGAACTCTATAATTAATCTGTAAGTGGCCAACACTATGATACATATATATGCAAAAATGTTTTTATGGATTTGATTTAAGTTAGAGGCAGGATTTGACATATTGAGATTCGGGTCGGATCATTTCAGATTATTTCGAGTTCTTTCTAGTTAATTTTTAACTCCTCAGGTTAATCTTTAATTAGTTCTTCAAATTCCAATTCTAACATGTTTTTGAAGGCTTCCATTATGTTCCAAGAACAAGGCACACCAAGAGAAATCAATCAACTTTATTTATTATAGCTTTGCATGCATTTAGTACATGACAGAAGTACACACATTACATGAAAATGCAGAACAGAATAAAAACACTAGAGAAAACATGAAAACTATTTAATATTCCAATCATTTCTATATATGAACTCAGTTTCTCAACCCTTGATCTCCTCAATCTCTATCACTTTCTTCTCTGGTTTCTTCATTTCTTGTTTGGGGACAGTCACCACAAGCACCCCATTCTCCATTGATGCCTTTAACTTCATCAGTCTTCGCATTTTCTAGCAGCCTAAAACTCCTATGGAACTCGCCTCGCCAACGTTCAAATCTATGCCACTTATTATTTTTATCATCCTTTTCCACATTCCTTTCTCCACTTATTTTAAGCACTCTCCCATCATCGACCTCAACTTTCACTTCCTCTTTCTTGAGCCCTGGAAGATCAGCTATAAACACATGGGCCTCTGGGGTTTCCTTCCAATCTGTTGGGGTGTTAAGGACAGGACATTTGTTGATCATAGTAAGGAAGGGATCATAAATTTCATCACCAAACAATTGGGAGATGAGAGCCATTTTTTATTTGGATTTATGAAAACAGAATATGGCTAGGAAAAATGGGTTGAAGTAATGAGGAGAAATAGATTAGCTGATGAAATTGATTGATGTATCTCTCTGCCTTTGTGGTTTAACATTACAAGTGGAACATCATATATAAAGGATGAACAACCTGTCTCCTGAACTTTCTTGGGACTTCTTGATTTCTGCTGTAACTAATAAATTCATGTTCTACTGTCTTCTATTGTTGATTAAACCTGAACATTCCCTACAATTGCCAATGGTAGTGTCTGGAACTCATGCTTTTTCATCATTAAAGAAACCAAGTCGTCAACAAGTATTTTTGACATTATCTAATGCAAGTTCCAGAAGCTAATGGATGCATTATTTTAGGGAAAGTTCCTGAAAAAGGACTAAAGCAGGCCCATACTCTAACCGATGTCAGTTTTCGGCCTGAAAAAACTGCTACCCTCTTCAGGCCCATGGTTTTGCTGCTTGAGAAATCCAATTCCATTGCCTATCACGCCTTCTAATATATGTTGAGGAGGAGTTGAATACAGCTTTAACGGCCTCAAGTCCCAAGAAACAAATCTAACTTGGCATAATATAGCTATTGTCTGTCAAGGCTTAAGGTTGCTCTGAGTAGGCAATTAATTCATCAAGGTTAGCTCATTTCTTAATTAGGCTAAACCAATGTTGATACAACATCTTGAAAATTGATCAACAGACTAGCATGCTACAACAATTTCGACATTTATAACAAGCGGTCCCGTTTCGAATCTTGTCTGTGTCACTGGATCAGCTATAACCAAGATGTTACGACGTCAACAAAATATATATATTTGATTGCATTTGCAAGAATATATGTATCAGCTCGGTGAGAGTTTACTTGTATAGCTTTTCAAATTCAATCCAGCTGAAACATATCTGATCAGTAAGGTCACAATTTGTATATCAACTGGAGGAGGGTAGGGCATGCATTTCCCCAGGCTCTTCAAACTTTGATTGGTTTGATTGATCTTTTGCCAACATGGTAAGTGATCTAAAATTACTTGAGGTATTACCAATGCGCTGTTAGCTTAGCAGTACTGAAATCAGCTCTAAGGCTAAAGGTTTCGAGTTCAAACCTTAGTAGTATCCGAATAGATCAATGCATAGTTAGCTAGGAAAGAAATATAAACATCAAAGTCTTCAAATCCTAATTAAAATGGACGAATGCATACTTGACAACACTCCCCTTGACTGTTTCAGCTTAACTACCTCATTACAAGAAATTCCTCTACCAATAGGAAAACTAAAGATAATCAAAAGAGGATTTATAAGCCTATCACATGAAATTCCTCTACCAATAGGAAAACTAAAGCTAATCAAAAGAGAAATTTTGAATTGGTTTATTAATAATATGATGTTGATACAATATTGATAAAAAAGTATTAAATTTGCCACTTGTTTTACATGACTTTTCCCTTTTTATCATCATAAATCTAGCTAGGATCCACCAGTTATATATCAGTATCCCTTAAACAGCGCTCAACCCTCTCTCCGACAACCATCTTCTTCCCCTGTCCAATCTGAGTTTTTTCAAACAAAAAATCACTCCAATTTCCTTTTCCTACTTTGGAAATTCAGATATAACTATACTTGAAGATAATAAATGAATTAGTTCTGAACTTCTAATATGTATTGATGCATGAAATTAGATTCCTAGCTAGCTTATTTTTCTTTGAAAAGCTCTTGGTTTTTTCTGCTGGCAGGCTACAAATTAAGAGGGTGAAGAACGTTGTACAGCTGAGCAATTTTCATGATGAGGATGGATGAAGATGCTTTTGTTGACAGAAGATAGAGAGCACAACTGAACATACCCAGAATAGGCCTGTGTATGAGCAGCCTTGTGCTCTCTTTCTTCTGTCAACTAAATTTTCTGTCAGGATTCACTTCATTCGATTTCATTATACCAAGTTCAACCAAAGGTAAGATAAGATTATACCCCCATAGATATTTAGATTTCTACACAACTCTCCCTGCTTTCTCTTGTTATACCTTATGCTCTCTCTTGTTTCCTTTCTATCTCATTGACTTTGAGCATTGGAGCGAACCTCCGGAATACTAACTCCGGCACCCCTGATCTTCTTCACAGGTCCAACACACTCTTCATCACAACTTCTAGCAAACCTCTCAGATCACCAAACCAGAAAATATATCAACACATTTTCTTTTCCCCAAATATCTCCATTTTTTACTAGGTTTCATCTATTGCTTAAACTATATCTTAACAAGTAACAACCTAGCTAGGTGAAAAGACAAGGAAAAAAATAATCATAAACCTAAGAATTGGTTAAGGAGAAAACAAAGACCCAATACAAATTTTTAAGAAAAGGTCATCATGTTTTTTTCTATTCTCTGAAAGAAAACATATATGTTTGATAGCTGTTGGAATCTATTTTATGCACCATCTCCATTGAATATTCTAATATTAAAATTCTGTCAAATATTCTTGGTGATTGTCCATGACATATAAAGATAATTGATAAATGTAAGCAGCAGTTTTCCTGTACAAGTCCTTTGTTCAAAATAAAAGAATAATTGGAAGTCAATGTATCAATTTGATGTTTACGAATTCTTGTGTCTTGATCAGCTGATCATTATTTTATATTGATTGTGACTAATTATTGTGCTGCAGTTAGGATGAGGAGATTTGACCATCCATGGTAATTGATGAATGAAAGGTGAATAGCTTGCATGGTTACTTAAAACATCAAGATTATCCATCTGATCTTTTATAGGTTAAAAGGTATAAACTGTTTCCCATGTAAATTTAATTGAGAAACCTAACTGATTGATTGATCTATTGTGTACTGTTATATGTAATTGTTAAAGCTTTAATAACAATGATTAATGAGATTCTCCTACAATGTAAAACTATTTCTTTGTTTACTTCAATAATTTGGTAAAAAAAGTTTTGAACTTCATTTGCACTTTTTCACTTTTTTCTGTTTCAATGAATCAACTACAACTTGTTTCTGTCCTTTATGAAGTACTAAAGAACTAATGCCAACATTGACATTATTATCAAAATACACTGTTTGGATTAACAAATGCATAAAAATCATCTACAATCAAAAGGAAAGCTAAAGAAGATAATCACTTGATATTGCTCAATCAATGTGATGTTGACGTACAAGAGGGACATCAAATCAGCCACCTGGTTACACAAAGACCATTTCCTTTCTCATCCCTTACTCACAGTTCAGTGACCTTTGAACCAACTTTTCTCATCCCTCTCCATATGCATCTTCTTCCCTTGTCAAACATGAAGACAATTCTCTGTTCTCTCTTCTATTTCATATTTCAGCTATGAATTTCTCTTATACTAGAAGAAAAACATTCTAGTTCTAAATTCTTATGTACATGTATGTAACTTTGCTTCTACCTTGTCAAAAGGGATGTTCCTCCTTGCTAATTAAGAAAGTTCCAAAACTAACTTTTCTTGGCAGGCCATAATGATGCATTTTGTTGACAGAAGAGAGAGAGCACAGCTGAACATACCCAGGAAAGGCCTGTGTATGAGCAGTCTTGTGCTCTCTGCTCTTCTGTCAACTGAATTTTCAGCCACTGCATCACTTCTTTGATATATTTCTTTCTGTCATCCCAAGTTCAGCCAAGCTGAGGTATGGTTATCTAGCATATTTTTCTGCTTTTAAACATGCCAAACTCATTGATACCAAGGCTTCCAGGCCTTGATAGCTATTGTTGTTAAACATTTCTCAGAAATCTATCTTCTTTCTTATCTTAGGCCCATAATTCATGATGAAGTCTGCAGGCAATTCTTTTTTTTTTTTTTTTACTTTTTCTCTTTTTTCTTTATTTGTTTTCCTATGGAGTCTTAATTAATTTAGTTAAAAATAAAATAATAATTGGAAAGTCAATGCATTTGAAAGTAGGGAGTTGTTCAGCTGATCATTATTAACTTGTGATTGGGACTAATTTTTGTACCAGAGGGAGGTTGAGGACTTGATCATCCACATAGATTTCAAATGGATGACAAATGAACAGCTTGCACAATAACTCAAGAATCCTGTGAAAGCATCTTCTCTTTTCCTGTTTGTACAAAGCATGTTTTTTTAAACTCAAAATCTGCAACAATCTTTTCTCCTGGATGAACTGATCCAAGTTCCAATCAGTAGGGAGGCTAGTGCACTGCCAACCCACTTGCTAAAATGATTCAGATTCAGAAAACAATAGTGCTTGAAAGCTAATAATGCAGAAAGGTACTAAAATTTCATACCTGAAAAAGGTTTGATCATGTAACTTTCTAGACTATTGAATGAAACAGTAATGCTTGAACTAAGGGCAATGGGGATGGAAACCAGTGACCAAATACTTGAAATTAATAGAAATTGGAAATCAAAGAAAATCCTCAAACGTAATCCAAGCATTATTTAAAAACACTGAAAAGGCAAGATATAAAAATGAGGTTAATTCCTTCAACCTGGGGGGCTTTTTAGCATTGAGCTTTCTGACTTCATATCGAATAAGCCTAGAGAGGAGCCTATTTTGCCTCTTTTCCTTGTATCTCAACATACATGCTTCCCTATGCCGCCTTCTCCATCAAATTCTTCCTTAATATTGAAGCTTCTAACCATTTCCTAGACCTTCCACACAATGGAATTTGGAAACACTACCCCAACCATCCACTAGCACTTGCCACAATATAAAAAATACTTGAAACTGTTAAATTTATTTCATTAGTTACACAATTGGTAAAAAAGTCCTATCTCGTTTCCTGAACAACATTTTTTCGTTAGGAAATTAAAAATGAACTTTCATTTTCCCCGGTAAAGCTCATGACAGGTTGATTATGTACATATGACAATACTGGAAAAGCAGGGTTCTGTTTTGGCTATAGCAACTGTTGCTTCCTACTATTAAGAAAGTAATTAAAACGAATATGGAATCTAATTCAATTAGATTATATAATTATCTTTAAAATATGATATTTAACATATCCAAAAAGAAAATTAAGCAGTTAGTTAAAAGCTAAAAGGTATGAGCAATCCAAGCATGTTGGACGCATGTAATTAATAAAATAAAGTAATAAATTACAATAAGATTTAAAATCAAGTAACTGGAAACTATATAGTAATCTATATATCAACCACAAAATGTTGCTATATCAAAAAAAAAAAAAAATGTTGCTAAGCTAGGCCACATCTCCAGCTGGTTTAAAAGGTCTATTGGACCCAACAAAAATGCACAAAGTGCAAAACCCCAAGTACGACATATTCAACTGTAATATTATTACCCAAATCTAGCTTATTTAATCAAAGGATAATGATGAATGCAGAGCACTATTTTATTATTGAATGTAATTAATATTACAAATATTAAAATTAAAATTAAAATTAAAATATTATTGAACGCCAAATTTTTTAAAAAATAATTATATAAATTATGTTTGTGGACTATTTACCAACATCATCACAATTATGATTTAAGTGTCCTTTGATGTTCTCTGGCTACCGGATTCAATTATAGGACAAAAGTACAATGGTGACGCAAATGTACGGCATTAAATTAAAGTTAATGTTGACTTAAATAGGGAATTTGTAAATGCCAGCTGTATCGACCAAAACAAACAGCCCAATAAAGGCGTGTTAGTTACTTCTTGTTATTAATTACTATTCCTAAAAAATAAACTCAAGGGCTCAAAGCTTCCTATTTTTGTATTATCTTTGGACCAAAATCTGATAAAAAAGGTAAATAAAAATATCAAATGGACAAATCTTAAGATTAGTTCATGCTCTCTAAACATAATAAAATAATAAAATAATAATAATAATTATTATATAATTTATTAATAGAATGTTGAATTTTTAATTTTAATAATTAAATTTTAAATTATGATGATTTCAAATAAGAAAATAATAAGAATAGTAGACCATATAGCTCCAAATGCCACTTGGTCATTTTAATACCATTCTTTTAAGGGTAAGATAAACAGGTTTTGATTTGATTATATATCCTAAATAAGAATAAGAACTTGCTTATTCCAATTAGGTTTTAAACGGTTAAGAGAAGGAAAATATTATTAATTTCCTACTATATATATACCAATCCTTCCAAATTTCTTAATTAAAACCCCATAAAATATAATCTCATCTTACTTAATTTTGATAAGAAAAACATCTCTAAAAGACTTATGCACATTCAGTATACATTAAAAAAAAAATCCAAAATATAGACAAAGTATAAAAAGCATTATGATATATAATTTTTTAAAAAAATTACAGATTAAAGATAAAAAAAAAGATTGTCGGATTTGACATTTGAATATCATATATGTTGGATAAAGATTGTCGGAGTTGACATTTGAATATCATATATGTTGGATACTATTTGTTAAACGTAATTACATGAACTATTAGAGTTAAGTTTCAAATTCTACCTTTTGATCGTCTTAACAACAATGGATTTAACTCTTGGATTACTGCCTTGATTTTGGGGATTAATGCTATCAAAGATGATAGAATATTAACTCTTGGAGTCAATTTTCATCGATCCTGCACAGTGGAGCATGAAGAAAGATGATGCACCTTACCCATATGAGCAAGTTTGATGAGATTCTTTGCTGATATTAAGGAACAATGAGAAAAAGGATAGAACGTTTTACAGATTTTCCTTGTTAGCTATGTATCACATCCTAGCAAGTCAAAAAAAGACATCCAAAATTCCAAATTTCATCTCTTCAAGCAAAAAGGTAGTCTAGCACCATTTTTTTTTAAAGAAATGGTTGGCAAAACATGTTCCATTGTTGAGCACATTATGGATCTAATTACGAAAGTTTGATGATTTCTTTTTCTTTTTTCTTTTGAAGAAAGAGTTTGATGATTTCTTTAACTAATTTTTCCTCAAAAGTCTATTAGCTATGTCAAAAATATTTTAATTGTTTTGGTTAAAGATAATTTGGGATATATACAAAATATTAATTGACACTTGCGTTTGACTCATGGGGTAAAATGAAGTAGAAAATTTGAGTGTAGCATGTATAAAACACAAAATTTTTAATTTTTTTTTTATGTTAAAGAAGTCACGATGACAAAAAAAAAATTGTAATTGAAGACAAAAATAAAAATAGTAAATATTAAAATTTGAATCTAAATCTATTAAATATTATTTTTTAAAAATGATTGTACAGAAACTTGAATTCAATCTTGGGTTGAAATTTTTTTCCTATTCTTTTGCTGTTTACATTACTAATTCCCATGTTACTGGCCACTGGCAAAAGGAGAAGGTTGGCAAAGGATAAGATAACACTTTTCGGCTAGGCAGAGGAAATACAATACTCAATAAATTCAATAAAATTGACTTTACTTAAGAGGTTTTTGAATTTCTTTAGGCTTGATTAACGGTTTAAACTAACCAGATGACTCCCAAGACCTAAATACCCTGAAATTACGACTGACTTTGGACCTACTCGCTAAGATTAATCACCGCATCACGCCGTACCCCTCGGCTTTTACCCTTTATATAAACCCCCATGGAACAAGGCTTGGCTGCCCATCATCACCTGCTTTGACTCCCATTTCACTATCCAAATTAAGAAACGAAATAATGGATTTGTCAACATTTTCGTTGATCCTTCACATTTTCTTCATTTCCTTCCTTGCTCCAAATCTTGTAATTTCTTCCTTGGCAGTTCAAGACCCTGAATTGGTTGTAAACGAAGTCCACAAGTAAATAATCCTATAACATACTTGTTTATATAATTTATAGATTTCGGTTTTTATAATTCACTACAATGTATAAAATTATTTCATTATTATTTTTTGTTTTATAGGAGTATCAATGCTTCGAGGAGGAACTTGGGTTACTTGTCTTGTGGAACAGGAAATCCCATTGATGACTGCTGGAGGTGTGACCCGAATTGGGAGAGTAACCGTCAAAAGTTAGCTGATTGTGCAATTGGGTTCGGTAAGAATGCCATGGGAGGAAAAAATGGTCGAATCTATGTTGTCACAGATGCTGGTGACGACGATCCTGTGAATCCTAGGCCAGGTACTTTGAGGCATGCTGTGATTCAAGATGAGCCATTATGGATCATTTTCAAGAGAGATATGGTGATTACGTTGAAAGAAGAGCTAGTGATGAACTCATTCAAGACAATTGATGGTAGAGGTGCAAGCGTTCACGTTTCAGGAGGACCATGCATCACCATCCATTATATATCAAACATCATCATCCATGGCATCAACATACATGATTGTAAGCCAGGGGGTAGTACCATTATAAGAAACTCTCCTCATCATGCCGGCCATTGGACTCCATCGGACGGTGATGGTGTGTCCATCTTTGCCAGCAAGAATATCTGGGTTGATCACTGTTCACTGTCTAATTGCCATGATGGACTCATCGATGTTATCCATGGATCCACAGCCGTGACTATCTCCAACAACTACATGACCCATCATGACAAAGTCATGCTCTTGGGTCACAGTGATGCCTATACACAAGACAAGGACATGCAAATCACTGTTGCCTTTAACCATTTTGGGGAAGGACTGGTGCAAAGAATGCCGAGGTAATTATTTTTTTATACTCAAAGTTATCGGGATTCAGACCCAGTCACATAAACTAAGAATCCAGTATTTTATCAACAGACCACGTGATATGCTCATGATTGTCATGTGTACTCTAACTTGCAGGTGTAGACATGGATATTTCCATGTGGTGAACAACGATTACACTCACTGGGAAATGTATGCAATTGGTGGTAGTGCTAACCCTACTATCAACAGCCAAGGCAACAGATTTCTTGCACCTGATGATAGCTCTAAGAAAGAGGTATTAAATTAAGACCTGATCAGCAACACTTAATTTTTAAGACCTAAACGTAAACATTGAGTTGAGAATTAAGTTGGAATATTTCATGTAGGTGACCAAGCATGAGGATGCACCGGAGAGTGAATGGAGAAACTGGAATTGGAGGTCAGAAGGTGACTTGATGTTGAATGGAGCCTTCTTCAGACAAAGCGGCGCCGGTGCATCTTCAACCTTTGCCAAGGCTTCTAGTCTAAGTGCTAGACCATCTTCTCTCGTGGGTACAATGACCGCGACTGCTGGTGCACTCAACTGTAGGAAGGGCTCCCGCTGCTAGTTTTCCTGTTTGGTTATATTAATATAGCTAGCTAAGAATGTAATGAAGCGACAACCTCTTCATGTTGCCTTAGAAAAGCAACTTGGGTTAATAACTAATCCTACTGTTTGTACTTTGACATATATATCCATTGATGGAGCAAAGCATATGCAATCGCAGTTTAGTGTTAATTTAATATTATCTCTATGAATGGCCAAAATACTTTTCATGATAGTGACTGTCTTTATTAATAAGACGGTTTGCTTATTCAATCTATAGAGAATATATTTTGACTTAAGCTATACTCCCTCCTTGCCACTTTATTTGTTCATATTTGAATATTTTTTCAAATGAATTTAACTATGACTATTATTTTTTAAAATATTATATTAAATTAAAATTTTAAAAAATATATTTTGAAAATTTGAAAATCAAATTATACAAATATTATTTTTAAAATTTTAAAGTTTTATGATTTTATCAAAATTAATGATCAAATTGAGTTCGTTTGACTTAAAAAATTATTAAGAGACAAATAAAATGAGATAGAAGGAGTAATTATACTAACTCTCCCATAAGATAATCTTAATTTGACTTTTGTAAAACATTTTGGATTTTGATCTAAATTATTTCATTAAATTAACAAATATATGTCCAAAAATTAAAAACAAATCATCCAATAGGTTGGATGGATAAAAGTCAAATTAAAACATTAATTATGAGACATAATAATGGAAAATTTGAGGACAAAATGTTGTGAACGTTTGGACTTATTGTACCCTAAATACCCAAATGTTATTGCTTTTGAAGTACCCAAAATAGTCATGCAAACAAACACAGTTGAAATTAATTAATGAAACAAAAATTCTGTCCCTTTGACAAATAGTAAACCGTCAAGGGTGCAAAGGAAATTAAAAAAATCCTAATAATTAAGACTTAGCTGCAATTGTTTCTCCAAATATATATATATATATATATATATATATAGGGATTTCTAGCTAGTTTTGCTGTGTGAATTAAACTCTTGATTATAAGGGGCAATTAAACCCAAGTTTTACCGTCAATCATGGAGATTCTCAACCACAATGTGGCCTGAGGCACTTGGGAGGGGAGTCTTTGTGTTTTAGGCCACGATGCTTTTGTCTATATTGATGTCATGTGGGTGTTGGAAGAAAATGGGATGAACAAATCTTGGACTATATCCTTCAAAATTTCTCAAGAACCAGATTGGATGAATTCTCTCGATCATTCTTTCCTATATGTTTTACTGGGAATGGCAAAATCTTGATGAGTTTGGAGCATAAGAATTTCTTCCTATACGATCTGAAAGATAAATCCTTACCCAACTTGCTGTCAATGGCATCCAAATTTGGGACTACAGTAATGCCATATGTGGAGAGTTTAGTTTCACCATGTGGTTGAAGGCATGATCAACTGATTCGATCGGGTGTGTTCTGATTTTCAATCATTGCAGTAACTCTATTCTATGATTGTTTGGGTGGGCAGAAAATCAAGCATAGATTTGTTTTGTCTAACTGTAACTATGAAAAAATGTTTTTCAATTCATGGTTATGAACCTTGCTCAATAATATAAAATGTTCATATAATTTCATTACAGGCAAGAACAAAAAGCAAAGATGAAACATGAAATCCTGTTATAAAAATGATCGAGGCAACCAAAATTTAGCAGTATAATAGTAATTATTGGAACATTTGTATTATGAATGAATAGAAACACAAAACATATTAAGAATCCGAGCCTTTATGAGGCCTCTAGAACATCTTTCACATATGAATACAACTGTTTTGCTTGGATATTACATACAAAAATTAGAAAAACATTAATCTCAAAACCCTCGATGCATGTGCATGTCAAGCTTAGAAGAAGAAGAATCCTGCAACAGCTGCAACACCAACGATGCCAAAGGCTTGGAGAGCAGCGGCATCAGATGCACTATCTGGTGCTGCTGCGGTAGTTTCATCGCTGGCTGCAGCATCAGGGCCATCAGCAGCAGCAGGGCCAGAAGCAGGGGCGTTAGCGGTTGGTTCAGGGGGGGATGCGAGCTCGGGGGACTCAGCAGAGGGTGCCTCGCTGCTGGCACTCTCGCTTGAGCTAGAGCTGGTGGGGGTAGCAGCAGGAGCGCTTGAAGATTTTGGGGATTCAGCAGAGGACTTGGGTGCCTCGGTGGATTTCGATGGTGAGGAGGCGGGGCTGCTGCTAGAGTTGGTGGTGGAGGATGGAGATGGGGCGGCAGAGGATGATGACTTGGGGGAGGCAGCAGGGGAAGAAGATGGCGACTTTGCAGGTGAAGAAGCCTTGGGAGCCGTTGAAGGGGCAGGTGAAGGTGATGAATCGGCGGCAAATGCCCCAGCAACAGCCATAAAAACAAGTGCAACAACAATAACTTGGCGGGCCATGATCTTTCCTTTTGTTTTATTGCAAACTATATATGTGATTCAAGAGAAATGCAGCACTTTCTCTAAGATATATAGAGAAAAACACTGCAATGCTGATGAATGATTTGAAAGAAGCAAGAGGCAGAGGTTTTAAATAGATGGTAAAGAAGAGAATGGGGCCAAGGAATGGTTTGGAAATGCCAGGAAAATGAACAATTTGGTTGACCGAGTTTCAGGGTTTTTTTTGTGGGAGAAATGAATCTTAAACACCTTGTAACTTGGCTACAACGTGGTTTGGCTTTTTCTACTTGTTAGAGACTTGATTTGGTAGTTAATGTTCTATATATAACCTATTCCTTTCTAAAAATTAAACTTATAACAATGTTTTACTATAATTTTCTTTTTCCTGTTAGAGCTCCAGATTTCATTTTTAAAGTTTGTTGTTTGAATTTTGAGAGAAACGGATTGAAATTTACGAAATCTTTAACTTAATATCACATGTAAAAATATATATATTATTTAAATTATATTTAACGGTTTGTATATTCGTATTATGTAAAATATTAAAAATTATATATACCAAAACCCCAACAGAGAACAATGAGAGCGGAACCCTCAGCGAAATCCCGATCAAGAGGATGCACCGTTAACGAATGCCAAACCATGATTCAAAGAAGTCTCCGGAGTAAACTTTCAATTTTGTTTTCTTTTTTTTTTGTTAAATGTATAGTTTTTATGGATTTCATATGGTTTATTGCATTTTTTTTTGTCAGAACTATTGGTGTTTATTCATAGGAAACATAGGGAAATGTTGCAGCTGTACTTGCTGGAATGGGGTGTTAGGGTTTAAGTTTTTAGGATTTTTTTATAAATTTTCTCGGGTTTTTGGGCTAATACCTAGTTCATAACTAATGGTAATTCTTTGGAAGGGTAAATGAAAAATGTCAAATTTTGTTGCTTTTTAGATCGAAGCATTGAGGGTTCAGGGTTTAAGGGTTTCTGGGTTTAAGGATTCTGTTTTTAATCCAATTCAGTTTCTAAGATTTATCAAGAAGGAAATCAAATAATTCAAGATTTTTATAAATGCTTTTTTTGGCTGGAGTGAATTGTCAGTTTCCAAGTTTTGAGTAATTTTTCTCCTTCCTTTTTTCCCTGCAATTCATAGCACCAACCAGGGCTATATATGATTGAATAGGCCATTTATTTAAATTTTTTTGTGTATATATTTCGCATAGCTTCAATGGTGAAATTTTTGAAGGAGCATATGGAGAAAGCTGGGTGTAAGTTAGGGGATAATTTCATCAAGGCAGTTCATTGCGATAGGCGGATGGGGGGACACTTTCTTCGTGGTGAAGGAATAAGAATCTTTTAGCTTATTTGTCTTTATGTTAGAAATAATGCTTTGAGAATTAGTCCAACTAAGGTAGCTTATTAAACATGGTAATTTGACTGTTAAAGAGTGTGAATTGCTTAAAGCAGTTTATACAGAGTGAGTTTAAGTCATATTGCCTTTCTATCTGTTGACATGCTGGTAAGAGCTTTGTTTTTCTGGTTAAATCATTTCCAAGGATTGTGAATTTGATGCAACAGTTCATTATGATTAATGCTTTGTCTTTTTATAATCTTTGTCTATGTGTTTGTAGATAATGGTGTGTAGCAACCATATCAACATGCAAGACGAGGTCAATCAAATGGTTATACATGGGCTTATTCATGCATATGATGAATGCCATGCTGCAAATTTGGACTGGACAAACTGTGCTCATCATGCCTGTAGTGAGGTTTGTGTCAACTGACAACTACCTTAGTTTAACGTTTTTTGCATTTGGTCCTCTAGGCTCTCTTTGCACATTTGGTAAGTAGAGGACTTAAACTTTTTCTACAATTATTGCAGATTCGAGCTGGCCATCTAAGTGGTGATTGCCACTACAAACGTGAATTGCTGCGTGGTTTTATGAAGATAAGGGGCCATGAACAAGCGAGTTCTTTTATCCCTTATTTTGTTTCAGTATAAAATCTTTTACCCCTTATTTTGTTTCAGTATAAAACTTTAGATTTAAAATCTGTCTCAAGCGGTATTTTAAATTTAAAATAAGTGTAAGGGTGGCAACAAGATGGTAGTCAAGTGACCTTTATCTCTTGAACTTAGTTAATTATTATTTTATCTTATTTTACTTGTGTAATTCCTTGAAATTATTTTACGTTTATCTCTAGGTTGTATATCAGTTGGCTTTATCACCAAGGTTTGATTATCTTGTAAGAGGGTTAGCTTCCTATAAAACCAAACTCTCAAGTAGGAGTTGTGCTACGAAGTTGAATTCAAATAAAACATTAAGGGGGTTGGGTTCCTAAAAAGGAGCTCATCATCTACTTCTCAATTCCTTGTTTAATACTTCCATTTTATTTTTGTAAAATACTCTGGAAGACGAAGAGGAGTGGCCACCCCTGTTCTTAACAGATTCATGTTGAGAAATGTATTGGTGGACCAGCCCATCACATCTACTTCTTCCCAGTTACCCACCCTTGGTTTCAGCTTGTTATATTGTTGCACTTGTAGAGCTAGAAATTAAAAAAAAAAAAAATTGTGATGGTAACAGACCTTATCCTGCTAAGGTTTTATTTATATTAAATTGCGTTTTACTTTATGTACTCGTCTCTTCATCATTTACTTTAACCTAGTTATGATCTTTCTAATATAGTTTCTTCTATATTATCTATCGAATCTAAGTAATTTATGTTTTGGTTTTAAAGGACTGTGTGAGGAGAAGTGTTATGAAATCAGTGACTGCTAATACTTTCTGCTCCGAAACAGCTGCAAGGGATGCCATGGAGGCCGTGTGGGATATCTGTTACAATGACACAAAGCCCTTTGACAGAGCTCCTTGAAATTCGGTCATAGCAACCCTAACCAGCTTCTGCTTGACATTTCATTACAAATGATTCATGAATGAATCCTATTTTTGTATTGTAGAATAGGAACATGCCCTGGTTCTTTAATTGCATGCATTTCAATCTAAAAATAATATTCATTTCTCTAAGAAACATTTTTCCCCTCTTGGAGATGACCGGAAGGAAAGGATTGTACCCTTTCTGAATGTTCTACAAATTCTAAACTAATGGTTATTGAGGTCATATTAAGAGAATAAGAATTCCTTATTACTACTCATTGTTAAATGCTAGGCATAATAATAACAGTATTTTCCTTTGATCTTCTTGGCTAATAGTATTACTAATATTTAACATAACAATTTCCGTTTCTTTTTTTCTTTTCCAAGTCCGGTTCGTTGCCAAATGTTCTATATTTCCAGTTGCATGCCACTTGGCATGGCATGCGGTTTTGAATTAAAATCTCAGTGGCCTGTGTACCTGTGCATCTGACCAACCCTGTTGGACAACAATATATTGAGCCACTGGGAGTGGGCCTGGCATCCTCCTCTCAATTGGCAAGCTCAGACATTTCAGTATGGACCCAACACCCAAGTCAAGTTCCTTAATTGTTCATCAGGCCATGAACCATAATCACTGCTTCTCCCACTTTTGTCTTAGCCTTAACAATGTTTAGTGATTCGATTTTTGTCTATTTTACACTTGGAATTCAAGTTAAATAGGTGATTTTGATTATTTTCCAACCAAGAGAAAATCAATAAACCCCATAAAAGAATTACAAAAATTTACCCTAAAATTCCAAAGATATAGAAAAAATTTTGCAGAGTAAGGGTCCCACGTATAGAGAGTAACAGGTAGGTTTGATTTGAGAGAAAAAAAAAAAAAGAAAGAAACAAGGAGTAGATCGCCAGACTCAAGAAAACATAAAGGATAACACTGTTTCATAGTTTCTCACGAAAACTCGTCTGTCATCTCCGCCTCCATGCGCTTTCTTTTCCCATTATATTCTTCTTCTTCTCTCTTCTCTGACTTCTCTTCCTCTCCTTATAATTCCTTCATTTCCTCATTGCCACTCCTCTTTTCCTCGTCTCATTTCTCTCCTTTCCTTTCCATGGCTCCTGCCTTTGAACAAGACCCTGTCCCACAGGAGGGTGAAACTGGAACGGAAACCGCAACGCCCCATAACACTAATACTGGAAACAATGGTGGTAATGATGGTCAAGTTGGGTATAAATCAAGGGTTACTGTTGTTGGTAGCGGCAATTGGGGTAGTGTTGCTGCTAAACTCATTGCTTCTAACACTCTCAAGCTCAACTCTTTTCATGGTATGTGCCCATCATTTTTTTTTTCTTGTTCCATGCAATGACTGAATGGTGCTAATTAGAATTTGTATTTACTTTAACTTGTCTTTTGGTTGATTTAAAAGCTGAGGACAAGACAAAGATGTTAAATTGTGAAATTCATATGGTTGAATGATGAAAAATTTACTAAACTGTGTTTTAAAGTTTTGAGATTGACCATGGTAATTGGAAGTTTAAGGCTTAAGATAATTTGGAGCTATAAAATACTGAGCTTGGAATTGAATTTGAATTTTTTCTAATGAAAATTCAGATGAAGTGAGAATGTGGGTATTTGAGGAGACATTGCTAAGTGGTGAGAAGCTTACAGATGTCATTAACAGAACTAATGTGAGCACTTGAAGACATTCATTTGCAATTCATTTCTGTGCTTGTAAATTTCACAACTTGTAACTGAACTCGTTTTCTTTCACAGGAGAATGTTAAATATCTCCCAGGTATCAAGCTTGGTAAAAATGTCATTGCGGATCCAGACATCCACAATGCGGGTAGTTAATTTCCTGTTTTCTTTAGATTTCTTATAAATTTTTTGGTTGATTTAGATTTTTGAGTGATTGTATTAGGGGATAGATGTTCACTCCGTTTACGATCATAATGGAAATTGTGCAGTTAAAGATGCAAACATGTTGGTTTTTGTGACCCCCCATCAATTTATAGACGGTATATGTAAGAGCCTTATCGGTAAAGTGAGGGGAGATGCGGAGGCTATTTCCCTTATTAAAGGAATGGACGTCAAGATGGAAGGCCCTTGTATGATCTCCACTCTTATTTCCGAGCAGCTTGGTATCAATTGTTCTGTTCTGATGTGGGCAAATATTGCAAATGAGGTAATCATCTGATTTTGCTAGAGAAATTCACATACAACATCATTTTGCCATTTGCTTTCTTAAAAGGTTAACTGGTCCAGTCTGCAGATTGCGGTGGAGAAGTTCAGTGAAGCAACAGTTGGGTACAGAGACAATAGAGAGATTGCAGAACAATGGGTTCAATTATTCAATACCCCTTATTTCATGGTCACTCCTGTGAGTACTATTGATGTGATATTTTTTCAAGTTTCAGTTAACATCTAATTTATGGACTGTTTTACAGTTACAACTAGTCTAGCTTATAATTGCAAGTCGAAACAGTCGGAAAAATTGCCATGACTAATCATTGGATAGGAAGAAAGCATAAATGAACAAACTGTAATGCATTTTAAAGAAATGTTTCTGCTTTTGTTTTCTTGAACGAACAGTTCCAGGATGTGGAAGGGGTTGAACTATGTGGCACTTTGAAGAATGTTGTGGCCTTAGCGGCTGGTATGTTGTGCAGTAACATCTTGTTTTCATCCTTCTACATAGCTTGTGAACTAACAGCGATCCTACTTCCTAATGTTACAGGTTTTGTTGATGGACTTGACATGGGAAACACCACTAAGGTTTGTACATAAGATTTTTTAACATAGATCTTACCTGTTTGGGCTGTATCTTTTCTCACTGTTATGCATATTATTAGGCTGCAATAATGAGAATTGGTCTGAAAGAGATGAGAGCTTTCTCCAAGCTGTTATTTTCATCTGTTAGGGATAGTACCTTCTTTGAAAGCTGTGGAGTTGCTGATGTCCTCACAACATGCTGTAAGAAAGCAGATATCTTCACACCTTCTATTTGAGAAAATTAATCTCCTTTGATACTAAGAGCATTAATGTCATACTTGACCCTTGTACTTTAGGAAATTTTCCAATATGGTACCTTTACTTTTAAAATGTGTAATTTGGTATCTCTACTATAATTTCGTTTGTCAATATAGCACTCGAGGTTAAGACAGTTAACTTAGGACAATAACTGGCTGTCATCCAATCACATGATGGTATGTGTCATGTTTTGTCATGTCAACTTGCCACATGGTACCCGCGTGGATGCCACATGCCACATGGCATGATGACATGACAGAAACATGCCACATGCCATCATGTGACTGGATGATAGCCATGTAATTGTCCTAAGTTAATGGTGTTAGGCCTAGGTACTGAATTGTCACATGGAAGGATAATACGTGTACCACATTACACTGTTTAGAGAGTAGAGGTACCGTATCAAAATTTTTCTTAAACTGTTTGGGCCAAATATGACATTAACCGATACTAAAACTATGTCCTTTGTGGCAGTGGGGGGAAGAAACAGAAAAGTTGCTGAGGCATTTGCTAAGAGTGGAGGAAAAAGGTTAGCCTTAAACATTTGGTGCACAAGCTCTGTAGAAGGATATAAAGCAAATTGTGACCATACTGTTTGTCATCTACAGATCATTTGATGAACTAGAGGCTGAGATGATGCAGGGCCAGAAATTACAGGTAGATATTAAACAAGGAAAGTATGGTCCTAAAAATATGGAAAAAGAAATTCTGAGTAAATCTAAAACACAAACATCCTTGGACAAGATCTTAAAATTTGTCCTAAACGTGAAGACACTAATAGACTTCCTGTTTTTCTAGATTGGAAAAAGGAATTTCTGTGGGCAAATTCAAATTGATTATGTTTGTAAATGAAGTCCTGGTAAAAGAAAAAAGAAAGGTTTGACATCTCAGTAGAATAAGAGTTCTTATCCTTATGCTGAAGAATAAGAGTCCATATCTATCCTATGAATTCAACAGATACAAAATGTTGAAGTTCTCTAGCTGTATTAAAAGATGCTTTTGAGTATAATATGTTTGTTGATTCCGAATTAATATCTTATCTGATATTCTTCTCTTATGTTTAGGGTGTATCCACGGCCAGAGAGGTCTATGAAGTTTTAAGCCACCGCGGATGGCTAGAGTTGTTTCCTCTATTTGCAACAATGCACGAGATCTGTATTGGTCGTCTTCCACCATCAGCCATAGTTGAATATAGTGAGAAGAAATCACGGTTATCTCTGTCAGAGGATTCTACCCGTTGCTGTTGACTTAACCATGGATAGACTAAAATATCTTGCGTTTCAGTTTACAGAAGTACCTTTCTTCATTTGCTCATCATTCAGAAAGTATAAAAGAGAAAACTTAAACAAAAACATTGGACAGGTAATTCAAGCAAATTGTAGTGCCAATGACAACAAAATTGGTTGGAGGGTTGATATTCAACATGGTAGGAAGCTTCTGAGTTACCGCTAGAAGTCTTTTTGACACTTCTTTAATGAGGTTCCAAAGTCTGGTTTCAACTGGTTGTTCTCTTAAGATGGATAATAATCAGCGACAGTTTGACATACCTTAATGAAATGCACCGTATGAAAAAAGTTGAATAACCTTTCGCTCATGAAAATGCCCCTAACCTTCCTCGCTTGGTTTATGTTACAGCCTGCACCGATGCACCCTGGAATGCATCCCAATGGGAAACCACTTGTTCTGCTTAAAACATAAATCCTGTGAATAACATGCATGAATTCATTGCAGCTTTTATTTGTTCTTTCTCCTCTTTGTAGGAATGGAACATAGGACTAATCTTTTTATCTTCATATCTTGATAAACTTTTACAGAGATTTTTCTCAAGGAACTTGCATAAAACAGGGTCTTGGTTGAAGACTACAAAATGGGTTAAATATAAAAATGACTTTTGTACTATACATTTTTGGTGAGTTTGATACTTAAAAGAAATAAAATTATTAGTTTGGTATTCTAATTTTTATTCATTAACTTTGATAATTTGAATTAATGTCGTTAATTAATTTGTTGACGTGATATAAATATCTAAAAAAATGTTGATATGAGTAAAAAAGTTTAATCAATATCATATCATCAATTGTCTCGGGATCATTAAAAGAATTTCACTTTTTTTTTTAATTTCAAATATTTTTAAAAATTATAAATAATTAAAAAATGAAATATTTTTAAAAAATATAAAATTGAAAAATTATAAAAATTTATAAAAATCTAAAAATTTTAATAAAAATTAAAAAAATGAAAAATTTTAGTAAAGATGAAATTTTCTTAAAATTTTTTAAAAAAATACAAAAACTTAACAAAACTGAAAATTAAAAAAATCTAAATTGTTTTTGAAAATTTTTGAAATTTTAAAAAATTAAAAATTTTTCAAAAAATTTTGAAAATCAAAAAATTCAAAAAATCTAAAACATTGTAAAAAAATATAAAAAATTAAAAATATTCTAAAAATAAAAACTTAAAATTTTAATAAAAATAAAAATAAAAAATCTAAAAAATTCTAAAAATATATAAAAAATTAAATCTGTAAGATTCAAAAAACAAAAGAAATTTTCAATTTTTTGTCATTTTTACATTTTAAAAAATTTTGATCTTTTCAAAAGAAATAGATTTTTTATTTTCCAAATTTTAAAGATTTTGTATTTTTTTAATTTTAAGAAAATTTAATTTTTATTAAGAATTTTTGAATTTTTCTTTTTTTGTATTTTTATTAAAATTTTTAGATTTTTTGAGTTTTTTAAGTTTTCATATTTTTGTTAAGATTTTAAAATATTTATTTTTTATTTTTTATAATTTTTTAAATATTTCAGATTTTTTAAAAAAATTTTTAAAATTTTTAGAATTTTTTATAACATTTTTAAATATTTCTTTTAATGCTGAAGTGACAATTAATTATTTTACATTGATTAAAATTTTTTTAATAGGTGTCAATATCTTATTTAATATTCATGTCAAATTAATAAATTGATTAATAGTATTAATATAGAATACTAAAATAAATTATAAAATTAAATTTTGAATGTTAAACTGACAATTATATTTCTTTATGTACTAGATAAAAATTATACACAAATAGACCATTTTTATATTTTAACTTTGCAAAATCTATTGATTTAACTAGTTTGGTTATGCAGGAAAACGCGCGCAGATGCAGCTAACGTCCTTAAAGCATCCATGCCCCTGGCCTGTCTATTTGTGAACTAATTGACAGGTGCTTGGTACTTTTGTCTTCACGAGCAGGCAGCAGTCTCTTTTAACTTCGTCTGCCTGCTGTCTGCCTGCAGCAGACAAATTGAAGTTTTACCATTTAGCCAGGTTGGTCACCAGTCAGGCCTGTATCAGTATTTTCTGCTTCATTCCGTTCTTGCTAGGAGGTACTATAAACCAAAACATGCCAGGAAGGTTCCGCTTAACCTTTTCAGCTTTGCAACAAGCTGCTCTCCAATGGTATTTTCTGCAAATAGAAATGCCCATAACAGAGGAAAACTAGCTTGGGTTTACAAGATGGATATAATAACAGAAAGGTTTCATGGCACTGTATTATGAAATGATATATGCCAAGCCAACTACACAGCCCCAAACACCATGATAATAAATTAAAAAGAAGAAAAATTACTCATCACAACAGCAAACACTTGCATGCATGCATTTTTTTTTTTTTTTTGGTTACATGAAAGTGTTAACCAGTTCGTATTCTATCCAACCGATCAACACTTTTCCGTGCTCTTTCTAACTGGTGATCAATGCTTTTTTCGGGACTTCTCATGGCAATCCACACTCCTGCAAGACCTTTCCAATTGATCAAAGGAGACTCTTAATTTTTCTAGCTTATCCATGTTATTAGACTGAGTTTTCAACTTCTCAGGCCTGTCAGTGCTCTTCCTTGGTTTCTCTCTACGATCAATGCTTTTCCTTGAGACCTCAAACACATCCATACTTTTTCGAGACTGATCAAATTGGTCTGTGCTTCTCCTGGAACTGTGCTTTTGAGAAGGAGATTTCTCTACGGTTGATATGAACTTCCTGAGATGTCTGATACACTCAGGATAGTGCTCTAGATCACAGTGGTTCCCTCCTTTAAGCCACAGTGGTTCGCACTTCTCTTTGCACAGCTTCCAAAGCTGCTTACCATGAGAGCAATCGACAACTTCATCTGAAGTTCCCTACACAATGACATAAAGCGACTAGTCTCAAAAAGCTACAATTGGTGGTACAGGAAATCATTTTCACCTTGTAGACAGTTATCATTTACCGATCAATAAATGAAGACCGATATAAGCAACCTCACAATTATTACATGCCAAAGAACTTCAAGGAAAAACTAGATAGTTTCCAGTATCAGATCTTGCCCTTCAACTCGCATTTGATTTCTTTCCTTGCCCATCCCTCAAAATTTTGTTAAAAGGCATAGTCAAATCTTTTTATGCACTATGAAAGCAGAACTATATTAGGGGAAATCAACAAATTGACTACAGAAAAATAAAAATTTTAGTCATAAATCCCAACTCATGCATTACATTGAATATATGAATGAGTATAACCAAACTTAGCTTTAATTAAACAAAAGCTATACAGTGTACAGAAGATTTACTTCTGACTAAGCAAAAGGAGCCAAAAAAACTTTCAGCTACTGCAGATATCCACAACCTAATGGAATTATCATGATACTATAATTTAAAAATAAAAATAAAAAAAGCCAAACCATATTTGGCAGAGACATACAAAAAATTCAGCAATGTCAACATACAACATGATTTTCAAAACCAAAAATCAAGTATAGTAATCAGGGTTAGCCATCAAAGTGGTCCATATAGGTCATTTCTTTTCACTTCAAACCAGACTTCAAAATACTGCTCAACAATCCTGCCCACATATGGATAATCATTATCTGCTCTAACAGTTGCCAATTTGATTTTAGTCCTCATAAGAGCTAAGTAAATTAGAAGAGATTATTATCTTTTCTTCTTTCTAGGTTTCAAATCAAGAGCGCCAGGCCTTCATTCTTTTCGATAGGTGTTTGTTGACTATATGAAGAATAAACTAATACTTGAGACACTTGCATGGGCCAAAGTCCAATGCAGATCTAGATTTGTCAGACTTGATTGAAAGAATTGGACCTTCAAAAGAAACTCCTAAGCAAGAAACATCAATGTAAAATAGATGATAAGGTATGATAGCATGTGAATTAACAGCGAAGGAAGACCTGGAAAATTCAGTGATACCCTCATATTTCTGTTTAGACTTGCTGGTTAAAAGCTCTGATTTTTGTTCAATCAAAGCACTCTTGGGAAACCTTTGGTAAGAACAGACAAATCATTACAAAAGATCAAAAGAAAATGTAGGAAACTGGAAAAGTAAAAGGCAGAAAATTCAAACTTCAGAGTATATCATATAACGAAGAAAGAAATTAAAAAGTGCATAAGTATCTCATCTCTCAATATTGGTGTTTTCACTTTCAACCTAAATCGAGTTCAGAGGTAAATATTAGAATTAAGAAAAAAAAAAGAAATAAAAAACAAAGACGGTTCATTAAATTCCATCATCATTGTCAAGAATTCAGTGGTAAAAATAAGAATTATATAATATGATGTAATGGCTCAAATATCTACTACCTAAGGGGATATGTGCAGATGGTAGATTATGAAATTTATAACACATGAAATCATCAAGGAGAGTGTTAAGAGTTATAGATACTTACATGAATGATAAGAACAGGACAATTGATAAGTGGAATTTTATCGATATTCTGCACACAAACAACCCAAAAAAGAACACATTATATTTGCAATATTCACATAAACAAATCCAATAGGAGGAATAAACTGGACAAGTAAACAAAGAAAGCTTTCTGTTACCTTCCTTATAAATGTCAAACCAATATGTGCGCTTTACAGGATACATGACCCTTAAGCCAGAAAGTATGGGACTGTGCAGAACTACAGCTCTTAACTGAGGCAGCCGAGCTGCTAGATCCAAAGTAGGGCCACTACCAACAGATTGGCCATACAAGATGATATCTTCCTGTTTTGTACCATACCTCTCTTCAAGACATTTATACGCAGCTTCAATATCTGCATATGTATTCTGCTCACTTGGCTGTAAAAAAGGAAAGATATGGGCTTTAGACAATCCTATCAGCTCCACGAGTACAGCCATATCTTTTACAGAAAGATCATTTTTTTCCTTTCCTTGTAAAGCAATATCAAGTTTGCTATATACCTTTCCAGAAGATTGCCCATACCCAGAATAGTCATCGCTGCACAATATCATAGAAAATCTATTAGTAAACTGTAAACTTTAATTTCTTAATAAGCTGCTATACTAAATTTTCTTCAATGGACAAAAAATGGATAAAGGTCTTTCCAAGACATGAATCCTAGATCCTATAGGAATGAACAAAGAACCCCATCATTCTCTCTTTGGCACTGCAAGAACTACCAGCACTAGACAATAGAATCTGCTATTGCCAAACTGAAAACATGAAAATGTTAATTGCTAGCTGGTGCTCCAGTCACAAAACAATTTATCAGGTTAAACCAGCAATCTAACCACAATAACTATCAAGTATCGATTAGAACAAGACTAACAGCTAAATAAGCCATAATCCGCAGAATTATCACCTAAACTTGGTAAAGCAAATCAATATTTTCTCACACTCAACACCATAAACTGATTTGCACGTTCACTGTCTAGCAACATCATCTTCCAGAACCACGTCACTCAATTCCTTTCCAATTAAATCAGAGTGTTGAAAGGGTCCAATAAAACTTGCATAACACCAAGCACATCTCTATTTCCAGCTAATTATACCCATTCAAGCTCCGTTCACATAGAAATCTCCCTTTCTTGTTTATGCAATCAACTCAAAAACTAAATATAACTAAACAAACACAAAAACCAAAATCCCAGATGT